CCACAACAAGCCGGTCCTTCACGTAGTCGACAAAGCCACCTCCTTCCAAGCAGCCAAGTTCATGAAGGACATAACGGCCAGACATACATGGAATGTACTTAGGATGGCCTGGATCGATACCTATCTAGGACCACCTGACAACATGGTATTTGATGCTGGCAAGAACTTCACCTCCCAAGAGTTCACCAGCAACGCAAGGGCAATGTCAATTACTGTTGAAGAAGTCCCCGTCGAGGCTCATAACTCAATCGGTAAAGTTGAACGCTATCATGGACCACTCCGACGTGCCTACGAGGTAATCTCGGGTGACCTGCAAGGCACCGAGGCAGATGAAGCATCTATCCTACAGATGGCAGTCAAGGCGGTCAATGACACAGCTGGCCCCGATGGACTTGTACCTACCCTCCTCGTGTTTGGAGCGTACCCACGCCTTGCCGACAGTACACCACCCGCACCCTCGTTGACAGCCCGTGCAGCAGCAATAAAGAAGGCAATGCAGATCGTGCGAAGGCTGAAGGCAAATCGACAAGTTAAAGAGGCCCTCGGGATGAGAAATGGCCCCTCGACCATCGACACCCTTAACCTCCCGCTACAATCAGAAGTGCGAGTATACAGGGAAAACAGAGGATGGACGGGCCCCCATACACTCATTGCACGACAAGGAGAGACATGCACGGTAGACGTCAACGGCAAGCTCACCAACTTTAGGACAACGATTGTCAAACCGTACCTACGCGATGAGAACACGGAGACGCCGATGGCATATGACAGTGAATCTGGTTCAGACAGCGACGGACAGAACGACGAATACGTTCCGACTCTTGAGGACATTCCCCCGACTCCACAACGTCGCGGACGTGGACGACCGAAGGGAAGTAAGAACAAGGCCCAGCATGTTACGTTTGGAAAAGTGTCCTACATCACAACCAAGGAGGCCGCTGATGCGGAACTGGCAATTCAACTCAGGAAGGAAGGAAAAATAACTACACCTGGGGAACCGTTCGAAGCATCAGATGCACAAGAGATTGACTCTCTTATTGAACGCGGTGTTTTCCAATTCGAAAGGTATGATGAGCGCCGGCATGGAGGGAACAGGTTGTTCAACGCTAGGATCGTAAGGGAGATCAAGGGCAAGACAACAACGCCTTACGAGAAGTCGCGGTTGGTCATTCAAGGCCACAACGACGCTGGCAAGGACTTTGTTTTGACTCAATCCCCCACGATCCAACGATCAAGCCAACGAATCATCGTCGCCCTGGCGCCCGCACTAGTAAAGGAAGGTATGAAGCTATGGCTTCGAGACATCACCCAGGCCTACACACAGTCAAACACAACGCTGAACCGCACCATCCTCGCAAAGCTCCCTCCGCAGATCGTACACAAGTACCCCAAGGGAACGATCATGAAGGTAATCAAACCATTGTACGGTATAGCCGAAGCAGGAACCCACTGGTGGGCAACATACTTCAAACACCACCGGGAAAACCTGCGGATGATAACCTCTACGTACGACCCGTGCTTACTGGTAACCGAATCCGACCAACGATTCGGCCTCATTGGCATGCAGACAGACGATACACTGGGACTATCAGACGATGCGTTCAGTAAGCTTGAAGAGGACGAACTCAAGAAGGCGGCATTCACTGCGAAACCCAAGACCTATCTCACACCAAGTGAACCACTACTGTTCAATGGTTGCACGCTCTCTATAGAAGAAAAAGGATCCCTTCATCTTCAACAGAAAGCACAAGGAACGAAGATAGAGCTTATTGAGCACAACCCAAAGGATGCGAAGCAGCAGTATGTGCAGCAACGCGCCCGAGGTGCCTATATCGCCTCAATTTGCCAGCCAGAGGCTACGTTTGATCTGTCCGAGGCTGCACAGCACCCGGACCCTGATAAGGAGGCTATCGTGAGACTAAACAAGCGACTCCAATGGCAGATGGACAACATCGAGCGAGGCCTGCACTATATCCCAATCGACCTCGCAACGGCCAAAACATACGTCTTCGTTGATGGCTCGTTTGCCAACAACAAAGACTTGAGTTCCCAGATTGGATATATCATCTTTGTTGCAAATGAAACCACCCAGGACAACACGTTCACGATGGAAGGGAATATCATACATTGGAGCTCCACCAAGTGCAAAAGGGTAACTAGAAGCGTACTAGCTAGCGAGATATACGCCATGATCCATGGTGTTGATATGGGCATCGCAATCTCTACAACAGTCACGTCGATCCTCAGTAAGCTAGGTATCCCAGCAACCCAAATGATTGTGTGTACGGACTCATTCTCGCTATACGAATGTCTGGTCAAGCTGGGAACAACGAAGGAAAAACGCCTGATGATTGACATTATGTCACTACGCCAATCATACGAACGAAGGGAGATAAGTGATATCAGATGGATCCACGGTGAAGACAACCCAGCCGATGCGATGACCAAGTCAACCGCCAACAAAGCACTCAAGACGTTTGTTGATCACAACCGCATCACCATGCGCCTACAAGGATGGGTGAAGAGGAGCTAGGAACATAGCCTAGGCCTCATCAGAGCCGTAGGAGCCCTCCCGCTTGCCCCGGCCACGCCTCGGCAGCCCAGAAGGAGGACCATGGACGATACCATCATCACCATCGTCACCACCCAAGTCAACGCCCGAAAAACCACCACTCACCCCATCCCCAACAACAGATCCGCTCCCGGAACCCACAACCCCATCAGCACCCCCAGCACCACCAGTAGCAGAAGCCTACGGCCACGATTAGCGCCACCCTCACTTCGGGCACAGAGCAACATACCTGTTCCAACTGCCCACGAAAGGCAGACACATTGTCAACCAGCCTGGTTATTTGCACAACCATGTCCTGCGCGGCATTCACCATCGCGTCCTTAAAGTCTTCCTCGGCACGGCGACGATGACGAGCAGCGCGAACCTCGCTCATCCCATTCCTATTCTTCACGTCCTGAAGACACTTGTATAACGCCATCTGAGCACGACGAACGGCGATCTATACACGAGCAGTCAGACACCACAACGGGACGACATTCTCTTCCAACCACCTACCGAGCGCACTCCTGCATCCTCCCGCAACGCACGGTAACAGGCCACGGCAATCCGAGCCGCAGCCGCCTCGAGCTAGCCAAGTATCAGCAACGCAGTTACTTATTCCTCCTCTCCTTGCATACATACCTGAACACACGGTTTCTTCGCATGATAACAACGATCACACTTTGCCGACCCGTCTAAGGCAAAGTCAGCCCCGCGAGAACCTAAGGGAGTAGACGTACCTACTATCGGTTTCGAAACACCCATAACAAGTATGACCGTCATCGATATCATCGACTCCGGGTACCCACCCTGTCATGGCATAGGCGCAGCGGCGACACGGCATGGAACGCGATGACATGTTGAGAATTCAAAAAAATATACAGCCAGAGGGATTGACTTGATGGAAGAAAAGGACAAAAGATCAAGGAATAACGTAGAGGGAGAGCCCAGCCTTATACACCTCAACTCTCCGGTACCTTTCTGACATATCACAAAACGGTACCATAGTGACCGATAGGTGACTCAGGAAGGTACCACGCGTGAATAAGGCTCACAGAAGCAGTAAGCAAAACGATGTGAATACCTTCACCTTCTTCCTTACGAAAGAAGCACAGCAAGCCCTTTTACTTTTGTTACCCCTCCTTTACCCCTTGCACGCCGACGCCGCAACAAGGCAACCACGCACACCAAACGCGCAACCACGTAATAATGGCCTAATCTACACCTCGGCGATGCACCCCTCAAGCCGCTATCTCACACTACCGTAAAAAGAAAAATTTGCCAGTGTTGGAATACCACTGAAGGAGAATGAGGAATATGGGTTAGTCATACAGTGATTAGTAATGCGTGATCACGTGACGTGATTACGCATTTAAGTAGATTCATTTAGATAGCCATTTACAATAGTCTTCTCTTGCTCCTTAGATATTAATACAGTTATACACCACGTGTTTGGTATCCCACCCAGCGCTGCTGCAACGCAGCAGCGTATACATTACTACCTACCATTGTATTGCAATACGTGATATATTCGGTAGACCTTGTCCACCGACACTCAATTAGAATGTCAAACAACATTCATACTATTGAGTGGTAACGTCTCGTTAACTTTCTTGGGTAGGAAGAAACAAAGAGTATATAATAAGCATTGAAGCAATCAAGGGTCCAGGCCAGTTCAGGAACCCGCAGACAGATTTGATTGATTGATATAATAGTTAGAGGTACAAAAGTACATGCATATACGGGGAAGATTTGAACTTGTGAGCTGGACTGAAAAGAGAATCGGCCCCGTATTACTGCAAGTCTTGATAGACCCATAAATACGTCGGTACCCTCAGGTACATGTGGGTACTTGACTAAGGCCCCACATAGACTCCCATCGCTCCTTCCCTCACTCACTCGTGGGTTAGGGTAGCTGTTGCCCATCGAAATCCTCCTTGGGCCATCTCCCAACTCTCATTCTTTCTCTTCCCGTCCAGCCTCTCCACCGCTTATTCTCCCCTCCCCCTTCAAAGCAATTTAGGTCGTTGGGGAATCATTGAGCCTCAAAACTTATCTTCTCTTCTTTATCCCAACATCGCATTTCGCCGCTTGTTGACGCCTGCTGGCACCTTCACTCGCGCCTTAAAATACCCCAGGTAGCTTAAGTAGGTTGTCGCTTGTTACGTAGCGGCTGGCACGTTAATAAGCGCTCTTGCCTAAGCAAGTCCAGCATCCCAATATTTACCAAGTTGCGACCGTTGGCCTTACCACGATTGTCGTCTACTTCCTCGACAACTTCCATCACATTGCATCCCATCGCAACACACCAAAAGCGCTTTTCCATCCCTTTTAATAAGGCTGCCATTTCCGTCACCCTTTTCAAAATACACGTCCTGTTCCCTATAATTTCCTCGGCGAGCGTTCGCGATAGATTGATTATCTGCCATCATAGGCTTTGATCCATAGCTTTGTTTGTCTCGTCCTACTGGGCTTAGTGTATTAGATTCGAACCCTTTCACATATCCAATATTATCACGACTGGTTTAAACCTGTACGCCGAGAAGCCTCATGGCGAACCATCATCCTTCGCCGCAGATGGCGATGCAAATGCAGCATCATGGCCCCCCAGTACCTCCCCCTCCACCTTCTGGGCCGGCTCAAAATGGTCAATGGACTCCGTCGCGACATATTGTCGCCGTAAACGAGGCACTTTGGATGCAAATTGGTGAGCGATATATGAAAGCGCTATTCATTCAATACAGTCAATTGACAACCCCCTACAGGTAGTTTCTCTGAGCTTCTCGGCAACCTCGATGATGCCATGATGGCCTACGAGCACGCGCTTAATGCGAACCCGAACTCGATTCCAGCCATGAACGCCATCAGCCTGATCCTTCGAACGCGCGAAGATTTTCACAAGGCAGTAGAGTACTTACAAGCCATCTTGAAAATCGACTCTAACAACGGCGAAGTTTGGGGCAGTTTAGGTATGCTCGGATTTTTCTGCACATTGCACGTTTACGTTCATATGAATCTATGAAACTGACTGTTTCCAGGCCATTGCTACCTCATGATGGACGATTTGCAGCAGGCATATGCTGCTTACCAGTCTGCTCTAGTCAACCTGCCAAATCCCAAAGTACATATCTCCATAGCCCCCTTTTTAATGATGCGCCTAACTAACGTGTAGCAGGAACCCAAGCTATGGTATGGCATAGGCATTCTCTACGATCGGTATGGATCTCTTGATCATGCTGAGGAAGCCTCTTCGCAAGTCATGCAGATGCAACCCGACTTTGAGAAGGCCAATGAAATCTACTTCCGATTAGGTATCATATATAAGCAGCAATCCAAGTATGGTTCAAGTCTAGAGGTACAGCTACTTAATACCCCCTAGATTGCCCCTTGATGGTCGTTCTAATACTTTGCAGTGTTTCAAATATATTGTAAACTCTCCACCTCCACCATTGACTGAGGAAGATATCTGGTTCCAAATTGGACATGTTCATGAACAGCAAAAAGACGTAAGTACCATTGAGCTATGCTTATTCCCTGACGTTTACTGACTGCCATGCAGTATGATAGTGCCAAAGCAGCTTATATGCGAGTGCTCGAACGTGATCCGAATCACGCCAAGGTATTGCAACAACTAGGCTGGCTTCATCATCAACAGAGCAGTAGCTTCCAAACTCAGGAGCGTGCGATCGAGTACTTGGAGAAATCTGTTGCAGCAGGTAGGCAGTTCTCGTTCTTCAAATCGAATATACTGTATGTTTCTCACACGTGGCAGATAATAACGATGCTCAAAGCTGGTATCTTCTTGGCCGATGTTACATGTCACAACAGAAGTATCCCAAGGCATATGAAGCATATCAACAAGCGGTGTACCGTGACGGGCGGAACCCTACATTCTGGTGCTCGATTGGTGTCCTCTATTACCAGATCAATCAATACCGCGACGCCCTGGATGCGTATTCCCGGGCGATACGCTTGAACCCGTATATATCTGAGGTTTGGTATGACCTAGGCACTCTGGTAAGTTTAGTTTGCTTTATCCTTACAGGTACCACCAGACTGACGAACTGTATTAGTACGAATCTTGTAACAATCAGATCAACGATGCCCTGGACGCTTACCAAAGGGCCGCGGAATTGGACCCTGGGAACCCGCATATCAAAGCCAGACTTCAGCTACTACGAGCAGGACAAACCACAGGGAGTATTCCTCAGCCGGTGCCCACTGACGTGCACCCTCAATCGTACGGGGCTCAGGGGCCCCAAGCACCACCGTGGACTGGCTCTGCACCTATGCAGCAAGCTGGGCCTGGCGGCCCTCATAGGCCTCCCCCGGGCCCTGCTGCAGCCAACGGTTGGGGCCAGAGAACTAGTGACATCAACCCACCCCAACCACCCAATCCTTATGATCAGCGAGAGGCCTTTCGTGGACCAGTACCGCCACTACCACGGCAGCCCAGTCCTCGACAAGAGATGAGACCATATGGAGGAGAGTCAAATCGTCCAGGTCCAGCACCACTTCGAAGGGGCCCTTCGCCTGGTCCGCCCACTCAATACGTCCCTTCCGGACCGTCACAACAGCCTCCCCCACCCCCTCTACAAGGGCCAGCACGCGTTAATAACCCAAACTATACGCCGGCGCCTTCGTCAAATATGGCTGCGGCTAATGGCCCACCCAACGGCGCCCCGCCACCACACTCTCTTATGCCGTATCGCAACGGGTCTCCTCGCTCAGAGCAAAGGCCGATTCATGATAATCGCATGCCTTCGCCCAAGTCAGCTTATCCACAGCATCCTCCACCATTTCCTCACCATACGGAACCACTCGGTGGCCCACACCTAAAAGGACTAATGGGCCCTGACATGCACCGCGATCATGATCGACCGTCGTCCGTTGCGTCCAAGAGAATGCGAGAGTGGGAAGACGAACCTTCGATCAAAAAGCCAGCCAACGACGAGAACCGAGCGCGTTTGGATGATTTGCGCCACCGACGGCCATCCACTCCACCGCGCGATCCTTATCGTCAGTCCCCAGATGCCCATCGCTTTGAGGAACAACGACGCATGGAGGAGCAGCAGCGCCGCGTCGAGGATCAGAGGCGAGTTGAAGAGATGCGCCGCGTCGATGAGCAACGACACCCAAACGATAGCTATCACCCATCAGATGCCGCTCATCACCCCCCAACGCATTCGATGCCAAACCACTTGCCCCCAATGCAGCAGGGACCTCCACCTATGCAAGGGTTGATTCACGATGGACCACAGCCGAGCCCGGCCCCAAAAGAATACCCCCAAGATGAGCGGCAGAGACTCGAGCACCCCTCTGCTCCTGCTCCGCCGCAAATGAACGAACCCGAACGAGCTGCCAGGAAGATGGATGTCGACGATGACTATGATGATAGTGGAGAGGAGGAGAAGAAGGTGAATGTTAACGGTGTTGTATCTGGACCTGGCTCGTCAACTAGTGATATGAAGAACACGACGCCCACTAGTGCTAGCATCAATGGGATGATGGGGCCTACTCCAAAGGCAGAGGGGACCGCGTGAAGGGAAAGGTTTATCAACGATTGCTGAATGTCAAACATACCCCTTTCATCATTGTTCAGGATTACTTCGAAGCTGTGTATATCAATTGGCGAGCTGCGTGCTGTTAGATACTGGCAAGGCGACACCAAGTCTGTCTATCATTTTGAAATGTTTACTTCGTTATTGGTTCCAATGAAGCGACGATACATCTTGATGGCTCCTACATAATAGAAGGATCATGGCCCTATACCTTTTCAATATAATATGTACTATGAACAGTGGCACCTTGGTAAATCTATGTGCAACATTCTCATGCTAATTTACGTGAATTCTAGATATGTAAATGTAAATATTCAATGATATTTGCATCTCCTGTTTACATGCATGTGTAGGGGCATATCCAGTACCTACATGTATGTAATTATGTAGTTATGTAGTACATGTAGTTTAAAATCTCGGATAGCGACATCTACTGTGTAGCCCGATAGTAGTGACATCGGGTGTAGTGCATGACACATGTAGGTAGTGCCAATGTGCCATCTGTATGTAGGGGTTCATAATCCGTGGTAGTCTGTCACGTGCTTCAAGCTTTTAGGGTTCTCCTACTCCTAGCGGGTCCTAGCTAAAGTGAGATTTGATTTTCCCATCCCACATTCGGCTATTTCCCGGGACTTTCCTAAACCCACAAAATATTTGTTTCTAGCACTAAGGCAAAAGAAAAAGTCGAGCATTTCCACTCGCACACATTTTCTAAATCTTCAAACCTCCCACCCACGACTTACAATTGATTTCTTACCACACCACAAGAAATTCAATTGAAGATGTCGCACCGTAAGTTCGAGGCTCCTCGCCACGGCTCTCTGGCTTTCTTGCCGCGAAAGCGTGCTGCCCGTCATCGCGGAAAGGTCAAGTCGTAAGTTAATACTCATTTTACATCATTCCTTGTTTCCCTTTTCTCAATCGCAGTCCCTCGGCCTTCGTCGATCTTCCACTCTTGCAATTCACTCTCAAAATCAGTGCTAACCACCAATCATTCCATACAGGTTCCCCAAGGATGACCCCAAAAAGCCTGTCCATCTTACTGCCGCCATGGGCTACAAGGCCGGCATGACCACGATCGTTCGTGACCTCGACCGTCCCGGTGCAAAGTCGCACAAGAAGGAAGTTGTTGAGGCAGTCTCAATTATTGATACTCCACCCGTACGAGCAACGCAGCCCGCTTGGCTTTGTGCCTATGGCTAACATCTTTTTCACAGATGATTGTTGTTGGTCTCGTGGGCTACATCGAGACACCCCGAGGTCTCCGATCACTCACCACCGTCTGGGCCGAGCATCTTAGCGACGAGATCAAGCGTCGATTCTACAAGAACTGGTACAAGAGCAAGAAGAAGGCATTCACCAAGTACGCCAAGAAGCACTCTGAGACCAGCGGCTCTTCCATCACCCGCGAGCTTGAGCGAATCAAGAAGTACTGCACAGTCGTCCGTGTCCTCGCCCACACGCAAATCCGCAAGACACCTCTCAAGCAGAAGAAGGCCCATCTTATGGAAATTCAAGTCAACGGTGGCTCCATCGCCGACAAGGTTGAGTTTGGTAAGGGTCTTTTCGAGAAGCCCGTCAGCGTCGACTCCATCTTCGAGAAGGACGAGATGATTGATGTCATCGCCGTTACCAAGGGTCACGGCTTCAACGGTGTCACAGCTCGATGGGGTACCAAGAAGCTGCCGCGCAAGACCCACAAGGGTCTCCGAAAGGTCGCTTGTATCGGCGCTTGGCATCCGTCCCACGTCCAGTGGACTGTTGCCCGTGCTGGTCAGATGGGTTACCACCATCGTACCTCGGTCAACCACAAGGTTTACCGTATTGGCAAGGGCGACAACCAGTCCAACGGCTCTACTGATCAAGATGTCACCAAGAAGACGATTACTCCGTAAGTCATAGCCAGTCTCACATCATCAAGCATGTGTACTAATATCAGTTCAGTCTCGGTGGCTTCGTCCGATATGGTGAGGTCAAGAATGACTTCGTCATGGTCAAGGGCTCCATCCCCGGTGTCAAGAAGCGTGTGATGACGCTGAGGAAGTCCATGTTCATTCACACTTCAAGAAAGGCGTTGGAGAAGGTGGAGCTGAAATGGATCGACACATCTTCCGAGTTTGGTCACGGTGCCTTCCAGACACCTGCCGAGAAGAAGCAATTCCAGGGAACGCTCAAGAAGGACCTCGTCCAGAGCTCATAGAGAGCTTTTCGTTTTCCTGTATTAAGTCTTTTGCATCGGTGTTCCTGGTTCCCTTTTCCGCTATTGCGATGGGCATGGTCTAGGGTTGGCATTTGAGTCTTAAAAAGGAAGATAATGAACAAATGCATGAACAAAGTTATGATCATTATATCCCATTCGTGACATGAAAAATAATTCCACCTATGCATCGTAGCTCACTATGGCCATTCCAAGACAACATACGAGATTGTATTCTACCTGATGACCAATAGTTGGCCAGCTTTTGATAAGCTGCCACACTTCTAGGGGCCACCCTACTTTAGCACCTAGCTATTAGCCCCTTTCTCGTAGAATTTCTCCTATTGTTATAACTTTAGGCTTTGCTGTTTTGCCCTCGGTTTTACTAGCTGTACAAAACCACTTGAGATTGTATCATCTGACTTCTACCCAAGAGCTCACAAAGCTTGTATTCATTAACACGCTTGCATTAGTTGTTTACAAATGCATGTATGCCAAGTTACTGAAGTACCTAGGTTAGTAAATAGCAACCTAGATGCACATGTGATAGCTGATCCACATAAAGTACCCTAGGTAGCAAGAGCAAGAAGTATTGATGAACAGATACAAAAGTCCACCTACCTACTGCTTGATGAGATAAGGAGTCTGTCTCAACAGGTACTCATGCCTGCCGTTTCTTACAGTGAACTTTATACACATAGCAAGTACTACTATTACTTTGTCGTAGGGGCTGCCGAGGTTGTCAATAGTAAGGAGAGGGAAGGGGCATCGCAGTCTACTACTATGTATGCCCCCATCTTTGTAATTACTCACAAAAGTCGAAGTATACATGTAGATGGAAGGGACGTGATTACACTTTCTCAATGTTTCGAGTTGATTACAGGCTACGTAGTACGATAGGTATTACATCATTGATGTAAAAGCCTAGGACAGGAAGCAATGGAGGAGGTCATTTCTCCGTATTCATTTTCAAGAATCTCCCAATACAACCCAAAACACATTTACTTTCCTACTTCTTCTTCTACCAATTCCTTCATCACACCTATCATTTCACATTCAATTCGTACTTATATATTATCATAACATCCTGTCTCTGTTCGAATACCATTGCAACGGACAGCATGGGGGCTCAATCAAACCCCACAAGCTTCAATTCATTCAACTCGACACCATCACTACCTTTTCTACCTAAGACATACTCTAGGTGCATACATATATAACACTCTATTACAACAATACTTTTCCAATGATGGTTTGTGTTACGGGCAAGAGGGGGCATAGGATTGCCTACAGCGTGTCGTGACTTTGCGTACATCTAAACGGTGTCCTAGGGGAGAGGATATCTCTGTAAGTCATGAGATAAAACACTCCCTACCTCCTCAAGGAATCATGGCACGATTATTAATACATCGTTTCAATCAGTTCTACATCCGTGGGAAGAAAGGAAAGAGGTTGATATCCCTAAGCAGCTCAAGATTGTGTTTACAGAACAATTATGTCACAATTAAACTACAATGGCCTGTCCTCATTGTGATGGAGCGATTTATACACATATCTGATAGCTCTGCTCCATTTTCCACATACATCAGGTAAGTGACACAGCTCTCGTTCATTGCTCCAACTATATGTAGCTGTTTCTTTCAAGCCAGTCATAGTCATTTTCATCAATATTCTCAAGCAGGCATGGCAGATATCAGTCCCAACGCGTCAAGTACACTATCTAACATAAGCTCACAGCTGCCTACCGACGCCATTGTGTGTTTGAGAGAAGCGAATCACTCCCCCACCCGGATGACACATCGATGTCCTTAATAAAATGGAAAATCCCTACAATTTTCAGCAGGATGAAGTGTCACCACGAGCTAATTAACAGCCGAGACAGGACATGAAGCAAGTGTCCACAAAACAATTAAGGAACACATCAGAAAGCCTAAAACTCGGCAATAGATGGGATATCATAAAGAGTCCATTCCGTGCTTCTCCTCCACCGAGTGGGAGTTATTGACAAGTGCCCCAGAGGAATGAGGGGGCTCAATACTATCAGTGCAATTACTCAGGTTCATATGATCTTTGCACAAGTGCGACTATTGACATCGAACATTAAAGGCTAAGCCCCTTTATTGTGCCTAGTGATCACTGGACACGAAGCCGACGGCGGATTACACAAAATTATCCTAGGGCTATAAGAACAAAAGCTACGGGACAGGTCCTCCTTTTGAGACGATAAGGCGTACTAGAGCCTATCGAAAACTCTTGGGTACAACTAGACGCCGTTCTTTAGGATAACCCCGGACCCCATCGGCGACGGTTTCGAGCTATAGCTATATGGGCTCGGGCCGTCGCCGTGGGGTTGGGGTTGGTAGCCTTGATATATCAGAAACTAGGCTTGTGGATCCGATTACTAAGCTGTATCCTGTATGTTTAGCGAAAATGACAGCGAAGGACTTGATGGAAGAAGCTGTCATGAGAGCGGACTGGGTCTCCCGTTCAAGGGGCTGTTTCCTCGTTTTACCAGACAGACATTAGCAAGGCGACCCCAGACGCACGGGAAGTAGCGACGGTAATGCAACCAAACGCAATGACTACAGCCCCCCAAGCAACTCGGATGAGCATATCGAATCCCCAAGAGGACGGTGGAAGAGTAAATGCCACTGACGAGACGTAGGCTGCACGGGCAAAGGACAATGTTTGCTTTAACTGCAATAAGAAAGGCGACTGGGCCAAGGAGTGTAGGATGACTAAGCTGTAATTGGGGATAGCGTAAGTGTTTGTGGGAAACCATGTATGTACCTAGGTACTGCACCTGATGTATGATGTAACTAGCAATGAAAAGGACATGACTGGATTATAAAAAGCCTTGTCGTGAATAGTGCCACCAACATCAGATTACTTGCTACCTAATGCGATTTCTCTATGTTCATCGCTTCACTTTGCGAACGTAAGGCAATCGGGACGTTGTTTCGCCAGTACGATACCCAGCCAACATTGATAGCTTCTGTCTTGAATCGCACCAGCATATTGAAAGGAAGCAGTCGAATTAATCATTTGGCTTCAGCCGACCGGGTCACTCTACGAAGTCAATACTTGACCAAGCTCCAAAATCTACCGAGAAGCTTTAGCAGTACTAGAAGATTAACAATGGCATCAGATGAAGATTATATGGCCTTTCTAGACAAGGCAAACAAGGACCCTGGTGAAGGATATGCGAAGCCACAAGGCTTGAGCAAGCATGAGTTCAAGGCGACAGACAATGGTGCACAGGTCCCAGCGGTGATACAGGAAATTACCAAAGATAGCTTTTACACGAGCGACGCAGATGAACCTTTTGTGCCAGTCTACCTTGCTTGGGACGAGAGCGGTAAAGGTCTACCAGATGAAGGTACGTTGGCCATGCATGACCTGTAAATGATAGGTATGCTGAGTGGTATACATGTATCTGTGCTAACCATTGGCACATACAGAGGAGTTTGCATCCTTGATAGGCCACCCAGACCCATCGAATGCGCAGTTGGAGATACAAGACCCGGCGGACTGGGATCCGCAGGGACAGTATAAGGCGATCCTAGATGCAGTGCGCAAGGCAGGCAAGGGTAACGACGTTAGAGTGTACCGGATCTCGAGGGGGGAAGTCAAGGCCGAGTACTGGGTCGTCACTACGGAGGGCAAAGGGGCGGGTGCTAAGCTTGTTGGCGTCAAGGCACTGGCGGTTGAGAGTTGAAGGGTTTTGCCCTCAATTTCTCACTATACACATATGTACAGTAGCAATTCACCATTCGTCTAACCTTACATAGGTACTATGCATGCCGATATTGGCTGATAGTTACTCTCAAGATTGACATTGAATCTGCTCCAATTTAAACATTGAAGCTTCCAACTCGAGGTATACATCTATACATCTCTTAGTTACATATGTACTGTACGAAGTTACCCAGGTAGGTATGCAACTATGTACTATATGCGGGGTAGTTAGCTATCTTTGTATTGGTCCTCCGTCTTAGTAAAGTTTATCGATTGGAAATTGAATAAACCTACATGTACAAGCTGAGTCAACCTTGAACAGCAAAGGGAAGGAACATTGAAGTCCGGAACTGGAAACAAATACATACATGTATGTAGCATTGGCTGTACTTCGTACATTGACTCACAAAGTCATCTTCTTACTTCACACTTACAACTAAACTTGCCCACACATAGGTAATAATGGCACAAGCAGTAAGCATAACCTTGAAGAAATCAATGCGCTCCAACATTTACTAACAAGTCATTTTCTTTTCCTGCTTACTATAGGATGTTGTTCTACCCTCTCTGGACACTGTCCGAGAGATCCTCTCCAACTCACAAGCAGGGCCCAAGAAACCGAATCTCGTTCCATTATACGGCCAGATCTCGGCCGACTTGATTACACCTTCAGCCGCATATCTTAAAGTCTCGGCTCATTCAAAGTCGGACTTTTCATTCCTCTTCGAAAGTGCTGCTACAGAACGTGTAGGCCGATATAGTTTCGTCGGTGCCGGTCCTCGTAAAATCCTCAAAACGGGAGAAGGCCATGGAGAGTCGATAGATCCACTGCCTGTACTTGAAGAGGAGTTATCAAAGCATGTTGTCGCCGACGTACCAGACCTCAGGCTACCACCACTTACTGGTGGTGCGGTTGGCTATGTCGGCTACGACTGCGTGCGGTACTTCGAGCCCAAGACAGCCCGACCTATGAAGGATACTATTCAGATACCGGAGTCGCTTTTCATGTTATTCGATACTATCGTGGCTTTCGATAGATTCTTTGGTGTCATCAAAGTCATCACGTACCTTCACATCCCCGAGAACCTAGATACTCTAGCAGATGAATATAATAAAGCTACCGCAACTATCCAGGACCTCATCGACATCCTCAATTCCCCCGAGATACCTATTCCCGAACAGCAACCCATCAAGCTTGGCCAAGAGTATACATCTAATATCGGCCAGCAAGGTTACGAATCCCATGTAACCGAATTGAAGAAGCACATCGTCGCCGGCGACATCATACAAGCCGTTCCCTCCCAACGATTCGCTCGCCCGACCTCGTTACACCCCTTCAACATTTATCGTCACTTGCGAACAGTAAACCCCTCGCCATACCTCTTCTATATCAACTGCCAAGACTTCCAAATTGTGGGCGCATCACCAGAACTACTGGTAAAGGAGGAAGAGGGACGTATCATCACGCATCCTATTGCGGGTACCGTGAAGCGCGGCAAGACTCCTGAGGACGATGAGCGACTTGCTAGCGAGTTACGAAACTCGCTGAAAGACCGTGCCGAGCACGTCATGTTGGTGGATTTGGCACGTAATGATGTCAACCGAGTCTGTGACCCCTTGACAACTAGAGTGGACCGGTTGATGGTAGTGGAGAAGTTCAGTCATGTTCAGCATCTCGTTTCTCAAGTATCGGGTATTCTACGACCGGGGCAAACGAGGTTCGATGCCTTTCGATCGATATTCCCTGCCGGAACAGTGTCCGGTGCCCCCAAGGTACGAGCGATGGAACTCATCGCTGAACTGGAGAAGGAGAAGAGGGGTGTATATGCGGGAGCCGTAGGTTATTTCGGATACGGGAGCGTAGATAGTAGCGGTAATGAAATACAGGGTGCTATGGACACCTGCATTGCGCTGCGAACTATGCTGGTTAAAGACGGAGTAGCATATCTCCAGGCTGGTAAGGACCCCCCACCAATTTTTTTTGCTTTCCTTTGAAGGGGACTAACAGCTACGATAGGGGGTGGAATTGTTTTCGACTCGGACGAGTATGAAGAATGGGTCGAGACGATGAACAAACTTGGTGCTAACATGCATTGCATTACGTCGGCCGAAAACCTCTACGCAAGAAGACAAAAATAGATACAACTTAATAAAATGAGATCTACAAGTTTACACTATCGTATGCGCTTGCGTTTGTAGCATGTTAATAAAAATTAAAGAAGAAAACGAGGAATGTGGCTGGGTTAGAAGCAGAGAACTTTAAAATGGTATTTCACATCTCGCCTCCTTTTTTTCGCCACGGGAATGTGAGTGACTTATAGGCTACATGTATTGCCAATATATGCGTGTTTTCTCAAGCTTGGGAGGATGATTTTCCTTTCTTAGTAGGTAGGTAGCCACTCTACTTCAACTCCTGGGCGTCCTCGTCCCAAACGTGACCCGACAGGTCGCCCGCGGGCGGGACCTTGTTTACCCCGTCGCCTTTCTTGTACTCTAGCTCGTCGAGGTTGAGGCCGTAGAATGTGCGGGCCTGTTTCGGGTGGTTAGAGAGGCAGGTAGGTAGATACCGGTACATTTTAAAGGGGGGGAAAGGTGGGGAGGCTCACGTTGATGCCGTACGTATGCTCCTTGAAAACAGACTCGAAGTCGATGCCTAGACTGGCGCCGCACTTGGGGCAGAACATCTGGTCCTTCTGCTTCGTGTTGAAGCGGTAGCTGGCGCACCGCTCGCGGCTGTTGTTGTGCCATGCTACGTCTTTGGCTTTGGGGTCTGTGTAGATGGGTAGGTATGTATAAGCCTAGCTGGTCCATCTATGCTTCCTTCCCTGGACAGGTAGATAGTAGGTGGATTTTCTACCACTCTGACCCCTTTATTTCGTTGGGTTTATGGATCACCGTAGGGGTGATAAAGTATATATATATACATACAAGGGGGGAAGGGGGAAAAGGGGGGTGGGGTTTAACTTACACACAAGCAGGTATCCCAGGTGGGAGCAGACAGAGCAGTTGCAGTTCAGCACCTTGTACACGGGAAACGGCGGCGACAGCGTGACAGAGAACTTGATGTAGCCGCAGTGGCAGCCGGCTTCGTAGGTGCCGCTTTGCTTCCGCTCCTCTTTCTTCCCACCGTCGTTTGAAGCTGTAGTAGTAGTATTCATATCTTCCCCCCCCCCTTGAATTTTTATGGTTTCTCCGTATATGTTTTGTTCGTTCTGGAAGTTATTAGCGGAAGCTTTTTTTTTTTCGGCTGTTCGGCTCCTTGATAAGCAGATAGCCAGCGTTCCGAGGTTTGTTATTGCAAGTCACATACTAGTTATTGAGCAATCATAATATCACATCCAAACGTAGAGGGGAGGGAAGGGGGGCATTCTTTTATCCTCAAGAATTCTCGCTGATACCTTATCCATAGCCTTTACTACTAGGTATGCAGAAGCCCCAACTTAAGACTATATGTACATGACTCCCCCAACTTTCATATGTAACTAGGCACCTGTTAGCCTGCATACAGGGCTGTGGCGTAGATGCGAGCGGGATGAGTGGGGAAAGCTAGGCTTCCTCACGCCCTTGTGTCTTATGTATGATTTACGATCCTCTTCAGCTTCTACATATGCAGAGGGGGACAGGGATAGGGGTCCATAGCCCTATAGTGATAAGGGTGCATCTGGACGTATGGGAAGACTTGAGAGGATTATTAATCGACTGAAATAATATTGATATAACATCCACAACAACGTGAACGCTTACAAATGGATCGATAAATGACGAAGGTGGTTTCTAGCATAAATGTTTCTGATAGATATAATAATATTAATGTGTAGAGGGTATCTAAAATGGCTGTAGCTGTGTACAGTATACCCGCCCATGTCGCTGATATCACGTTGCTCGTATAAATAAATCCCCTGATTTTTTGTCTACGTCTAAAACCCAACCAAACCCAACCATTCGCAACACCCACTCAAGATTCTCAGTCCTTTCCAGATAGGGAAAGGCAAAACAATATTCGTATGCTCATAATGTTTAAATCTTTTCCGACTCAACATCCCTTCTGGGGACGTTAGAGGCAGCGGCGTGATCCACCGGACTATCGCCTTCCACTGCGGTGTCATCACTAGTCTTAGCCGCGGCGGAAAGTCCTGGAGTATTACCCGACATCATTGGAGCGAATTGGCTCCTTTGCCGAATCTTAGCACCGTACATGTAAAACAAGACCGGGATTGGCACGAGGGCTGCTGCTACACAACCTAACAACGTAGAAGCCCATTGGATGCCCATTCCGTTGAACATATACGTAGCAAACAACGGGAATCCAGCACCACAGAGTGATCGAAGGAAGGTGTTGCCCGCGATGGCTGAAGCGGCGAACATGAGGTAAGCATCGACAAGGTAATTTAGGGCCTGGAGGAAAATGCCCATGAGACCGAAACCAGTCATAAGACCTGAAGCAGCTGGCACAATCCAATGAACATCGGATCGATAACCTGACCAACCAAACCAGAAGATACCACCAGTGAAGGACACACCACCGGCGATCACAATGGGGAGACGCCATTCCGGGATGGGTACACCACCATTGGCGGCGAGCTTACGCTGATACCGAGGTTGGTCGAGTAGCACTACAGTGCCTGCTACGAGCTGTCCAAGGATCATTCCAAAGAAAGCCAGACCTGATTGACCCGAGTTGAAGTGATGAACTCCCATGAAGACAATGGGATAAGCTGTGAGGAATAGATAGAGTAATCCATAAATGAAGGCCATGTATATGGATAGGAGGGTGATGATGGGTTCGGTAAATAGAAGTCGCATGGGACGAAGGAAATTCTTCTGGACTAATTCCTTGAAATCAACCTCAATCTCTTCTTGTTTGGCATGAATACCCCAATTCCTAGTGCGGCGACGTAACTCAGCCGCTTTCTCGATCAGGATTACAGGAGGGTAGGTCTCGCGCAAAAAGAATAGGTCGAGGGCAAATGCGACGAAGCCCATAATGCTTATGAGGTACATAGTCCAACGCCACCCTAGGTATGACTGAACGATGAATCCTCCTATAAAAGGGGCCAGCAGTGGTCCGGAGAAAACTGCCATGGAGAAAATGGTGATAGCGACACCTCGAGTCGCGTTGTTGAACATATCCGAGAATATAGCAGCGACGACAGCTAGCGGGCAAGCGCCACAGAAACCGGCAAAGAAGCGACATATGAGTAGAGTTTGTAAATCCTTTGCCACAGCACATGCGATAGAGAAGACCGAGAATCCGAACATGGCTATCACGACAGGTAAACGTCGCCCCTTTAATTCGGATAATGGTGCCCAGAATGTCGGACCGGTTGCGAAACCAACGACGAAGAGGGATACGCCCAAGATACCGACTTCCGTACTGACACCAAATTCCGCGGCGACGGCCGGGGTTGCGGCCGAGAAGATGCTAGATGCGAAAGCAGAAGTCATAGTAGTATAACCAAGCATGGCAGCTGTGAGAAGCCTACGAAATTCCGAGTTAGTCAAATAGTAACAATGACACCCCACTGACATGATTAACTTACTTCTTCTTTAGTGACCAATTTTGCGCGTGGTATGGATCATCGGGTCCATCAAACTCGACGACATATTCCTCTTGATCCGGCAAAGGTGGCGGAAATGGTTTACCGGCACCGAAGGCAGGTAATGGTTTTCTGGAATCTCGACTCCTAACACTTCGTCCGACAGTTGCGTCATGTTGACTTCGGGCAGTATTGATTCGGCTGAGTTCGGTAGGATGTCTTTCGAGGTCCCGCGACGTGGGAATGCGACTCATAGTTCCTATGTTTCGCCGCACGGCGACTTCGCTAGAAGATGTTGATACGGAAGAAGCCGAGATAATTCGTTCGACTTCATTACTGGCACGGTGAGGTCGTTGAGTGGGAGAAGCCGGTTGCCGAGCATCCTCCTCAGCTCGAATGAGCTCACGATCCACCTCGTTCATGGTGATATTATGATGCCCTTTTCAATGTTTTCCTAAATTCGATTCGATATTTCTGACTCAAGGTATCGAAGTATAAGAGGTCGTCACTGGACGTCTTGTCTATGTGATGTATTGAAAGTCCAGGTTATTGGTGGATGAGTGGTATAGAAGATAGAAGTGAAATTATACCGTGAGGTACAGTTAGTTATATCCAGAGAGAATATAACAACAGTGAATAATCACACAGAATAATTTTGAAGACAAGGAATAAATAATAATAAAATTCTTAAAACCCACTTGATTGACACCAAGACTTCCTTTAATAAAAGGTCCTCCGGTAGAGGCGACTCAACGAAAGGGTTTCGGCATTCGCTCTTTACTATTAGGCAAGTATAATAAATCGGGTCTAGTTACTTAGACGCGACCGACCTACCAACCTGCCATGTATGTATACATACCTTGAAGCTCTACACTAGCTTCAATGACGAAGGGACCTTTTGGCCAGGGACATCGAAGATTTCCACAGGGGAATCTCCCGAAATGGTAGCCGGTCTTTCGGCTAAGCGAACTATCATTGGGCTAAGAGGCCAAGGTTTTTGGCTAGGGCTGTAAATTGTACCTGTCTACCTGTCTGCTATGCGGCGTACGGGGAGTAGCCCGGGTTAGTTATGGCCCTTACGGGTCGTTGTATGCAACCGGCCGCATTCTTAGGAAAGCTTGACCATTCCAGATTCCAGAAAGTGCGCGAAAGGGTCCCGAGGCTATTATTATGACACCACGACGTAACGGGTACGACTATGCATGATTAACGTACTATGTATGGAATTTATAAGCATTGACCGACTGACTCTTGTTCATCTCCATATAAATATTACCTAGGCACTATTAATTTTCTTTGACTTGGGATTGAGAAGATTGAAGCTTTCCATACATACCTACTCTACACACCTACCGAGGTATGTTAATTTACATAGGTTGTACAGGTTTGCTGAGTAGACGGCCCTTTTTCAATGAGGATTGTTATCAGCCATACAAGTTTATTTCCGTACATGTATTGAGGCGCAAGAATAGAGAGAAGAGGGAAGAAAATTCTAGTGTAGAGAGCGGATAGGGGTGCCGAGGTGGAAATTTTGTTCAAGGAAGGAGGGTGACCACTGACAATGCTATGATGGTGGGGCCTAACTGCTAGGTAACTACATAGTTAGTATCTAAGATCTTTCTGTCTGAAGTCAAGAGTACTGCGCTAGTTCCACTTAATTGTGTTTAATGTTACATGTACAAACGCTAACACAATGCATGGATACCTGGTAAACATGAAGACTTTTAAACGGTAGAGATTTAGGATTGGCTTATTATGCGTGACGCCCGCTCAATTAGGTTAGAGTTAGCCGTTCCCAGCTTGAAACGGGGATAGAACGGGGACGGTATGTACGGGTTTTAATTTAATCTTATCTCCAAACAGAATGTTTCAATGTTTTAAAATATTCTTTCTGCATGACATAATCAGCCTCGGCTTGCCACTTGCCAAGGTAGGGAAAATACGAAAAAAAATTATTAATAGCAAACTTCTAATACTATGCCGTACTGACCCGACCATTTTGTGGCAAGGTGTAACGGTGACGAGTGATGTATTTCTACTTTAAGAACTTCCAAGGTTAAGAACTAACCTACATAGGCATGTATATGCAAAGATATCGTAGATATCGTAGATATCGCCGGCAAACATGCTCAACGACCTACCAGTCCTACCACGACATATGGATCCTAATTACTAGACAGGTACCTATGTACAAAGAGCCTTGAAAGTTACCTATGCAGATGCATTGTAGATCAGCTTTCCTACACGTCAAATATACGTAGGCAGGTAGTTTATTTACCCGGCTTTCTCGTTGACATCCGCGCTGCAAGCATCCGTACGGTGGGTCCCAGGCATGTACGCAACTCAAGCCACCGCTACAACGCTCCACAGCTCCCCGCAACGTTATAGAAATTGAATGATTCGTTGGGCCTAGACGGTGTTCTAAGAGTCAATCTAGTATCTATTTTGAAATTATACGACCTAACTGATAGGAGCCTAACTACTAAATACTTGCCTACTCGCATGGAAGAACGAGAAAAGAAAAGAAACAACCCCCGATCGGTGAGTTATGTAATGGTGGATCCGGATTGTTGCGAATCCCGATCCTTAGCTAACGACAGCTTGAGTCGATCCCGCGTGAGCAGCGGTGAATTCGGTCTTTAAACCCGACCTTCTGACCCACCAACATCTTCGTGAGAAAATTGACGGTGGCTGTGATGATATATAATACCTAATTAGTACCTAAGCACTACTCAATAGTGGCAGAATGATACTACCAGTATTAGGTAGCTTCCCAGAGGTTATTTATACGATATCCCCAAAACGGAGAGGCCGGCCGATATAAGCTTAAGTCAGCCGCCTACGTTTCAAATATCAGTCTCGGGTCACTCGGCCATGGTATTCAAGTCATTTGACTCTTGAAATATCGTCCTTTTCTACGTATGAGGTCGGACAGTGTAGTAGTGTGATTATTTCACACCCCAACCATTCTCTAACAAGCAAGTAGCTTCTTCAAGAGTTAATCCTGCTGTCTCGGGATATATCTTCCAGATAGCGAACCAGCCAAACGCGCAGACAAGACCATATAAGCTGAATGTCACTGACGGGGACATCAATTCCATCCTGTTGATTGTTAGTTTCTGTAGCGGAGTGTGGAGTGTGGGGATACCGTTATATAGTAACAGGCGATCACTTACTGCATTCTAGTTAGTCCATGTTCAGATTATAAGATGAGGGTAGAGGATAGGCACACAAAATCAAGGAAATGTTGATAATTTCACATAGTACAGGAAGATCTCACTTACCAAGGGCAAAAATGTCAGCCCAACGATGAAATTGGCTATCCAATTTGTTGCTGTCGCTAGTCCACTGCCTAGCGATCGTACCCCAAGTGGAAACAGCTCACTTTGCATCCAGGGAACGTTGCCGAGGCCTAAAGCATAGGAAGCCACATAGATCATGATGCTTATCAGAATGATAACTGCCGCGTTTTGTGATGATGGAGAAGACATATCGTCGGTTGCAGGCACATGATCCCCTAAACTAGCATCTCCGGATGGCAGCTTAATCGAACTAAAGCCGAATGCTGCAAGTAAAAGGCCACATACCATGAAGGGTATCGAATATAGTAATATTCTTCTTCGACCAATTTGGTCGATTAAGAACAGCGCAAGCACGGTGAACACAAAATTTGTGGCAGCGACGGTAAGTGATGTGAGTGTCGGTATCGGGAATCCTAGCATGGTAAAAATCGTCGCAGAGAAATACATCAACGAATTCTATCAATGTAAGCCAGGCCGGAATCCCTAGCGTGGAAGGAGTCAAATTACTTACGAAACCACAAAGTTGCTGTAACCCCTGTAGTAGGCACGCGATGATTAGAGCCCGTCGATTTCTCGGTACTGAGAGAAGCTCATGCCAGCCTTGGAATCGGTGCTTGCCCCCGTTATCAGTCAATTCGGCACGGCCTTGCTCCTCTCGGATCTCCCTCTCAATTCCCTTCACCACGCTATCGACTAAGCGGTAGGAAGTTTTATCGGACCCTAGTGTCTTCTGAACAATCCGACCGGCTTCTGTAGATCTCCCAGCTTTGACTAGCCAACGTGGAGTCTCGGGCATGAACAGAATAAGTGCGCATTGCAGAGCAGCTGGCAGGGCACCCAGACCGACCATCCATCTCCATCCAGTAGACGGATCTCCGTGTTCGGCGAAGATCCAACCGATCACGTATGCCACCACTTGGCCCAAGGTAATCGACAAGACGTTCATCGTGATAAGTCTACCACGGTAGGTAGGTGGGGCGAGCTCGGCAATGTACAAAGGCGTGACGAAGCTCGCGGCGCCCACAGCAATTCCCACGATCGACCTCCCGAGCACCATGTTAGATACAGAGTAGCTTAGAGCCTGTACCACAGCACCGAGCACAAATAGCAAGTCCGATAGTAATATGACGGGCTTTCGACCGAAGAAATCGGCGAGGACGGAGGAAATTGGGGAGGCGGCGAGAGCAAATAGAGAAGTGCAAGAGGTAATGACAGACTTGTCAAGGGAAGTCAATGCCCGCCCCGAGAGTGAGGTGCCTACCGAAACCAGTGTAGCGGAAATAACTCCAGTGTCATCTTCTCAGCTGTTAGTAGTTGGGTGGGATACTCGGGAGTGTCATACTTGCATCCGAACAAAAGCCCGCTAATGCCGGCAGACAAAGTTAAGAGCCAGATGAAAAGGCCCGGACGGCCGGCGGGCCATTCAATGACCGTGTCTTCGGCATCTGAGATTTCAGATTGGGTGTCATCTGCCGTATCATCTTCCTGATGTGATATCAGGGGCGTGTCCACCGCATTTGCCATACTGAAATACTAACCTGACTGATAGGACCATGAGTCGTTGGGGTATTAAATCGGCCTCGCTATGTCAGTAGGTTATTATTACAGGCATCGAAGTTTTCCTGGGGACAATGATATTTATAATAATATATCTCTCAGTCGAGCAGTAAAGCGGCATAAAATAATTATATTAATATAATGATGTAGTTAAACAAAGCCAGCCGCATGTGCATGACATACATATGCCCCTGAGCCGCGAACGAAGGTTAGTGGAGTCGGGATTAGGTGGGATTGGGTTCCGGCTGGTCGGGACTTAAATAAGATGCTTATGAGTTGCATATATGGATATACTGGTTAATATGATAATATGATAATATCTGTAGGTATTTATTTGCATAATATGCATTATATGCATTAATCCGGAGATGATATATTTGGTATATCTCTAATAGTTTTAAGAACTGATTCCTCATTCCTCTTTCTTCTTTCTTCTTTCTTCAGTTTTCATTCTCAAAATCAGAACAAATTCGCAGAGGGTATCAACACAGAGCCAACGTTTAATATAACCACCAATAAGCTTGCCCAGAGTAAAGAAGCCAAAACGGCACGATCTTGTAAAGCTCTCAGGTGTCTGCTGTGGTTTACAACGTGGACGCCAAAGACCCTGTGCCAAATTGGCTTCTCTTGATATAGTCGGACCCACGGTTCTCCCGCGAAATCATTAGCTGGACCCAATGCTTGCAGACTCCATTTCCTTGGTGGATTTGTTTGTGGTATATCGTTCCTCTTGTGCTTTGCCGGATCTACCGGGCTCTTCGGTTCTGCCTGTTTTCCCTTCACCCCTGAAGGTGATGCGCTCTCACAGTCCAAACCTGGGACCTGCTCCCATGGCCGTAATTGACGCTTGCGATTCATATATAGCCTGATGCTTATTCCACGTCCACTTATAAACAGGATGTAAAGCCCAACGTACCAGAGCGGCAAGGCAGATAATCGGACTAGACGGTTGAAACTGGAGAGGATGAGAACCAAGTCTATCGTCAATGCCAAAACAATCAAGAGAGTTCCAACAGCCCTGGCAAACAACGCACGTGGTCGATTAATATTTCGCAAACTCCAACGAATGAAGTTGGGATGGCTATACCCTCGCAGCATCGCCTCGGCAGCTACAAAGGCCGGTAGAAACGCAGATGGGTGCGTTGTGTGTTGAAGCGCGTGCATACAATTTGTCCAGTCCTGAAGCGTCAAATTTAACCTCCGCGGTCCCAGAGTTGAGATGTAATGGCGTGCAACTTGCGAAACTTCGTCTCGAAAAGGCTGCCCCGAGACTTCTCCGATGTTAATACCTAATCATGAAGGGCAAAAACTAACGATTTTACTCACAAGGCTGCCATTGCCATTCATCTTGAATTTCATCTGTTATACCCAACTTGGGTACCGGTGTTCGCGGCCTCGAGAAGTTTGTTTCTATTTGACTATCCCTATCCTCAGCACCGCCAATGGGTTCGCTTCGTCGAGAAGTCTTCGTGGCGTCTTGGGTTAAGATCGTAAGTATACGATTCAGCTTGTTCGTTGTTTCTTCTAATTTAATGGATGTCGAATGGGATCGATGGTTTGTCCTCCTGCTAGTAACCCAAACCGAAGACCGTTCTTTCTCCCCCTCTGGCAACTGACACCATCTCTCAACATAGTTGCAGTACCAAAGGAAAAATTGGAGATTCTCTGCGTTACGCTCCACGTATACCAAATAATCCATGAAGTCACCCAAGGTACATGGCTGTGATACCTGTTAGCCTCATCTACAGAGCACTCAATACTAGGCACCCAGCATATACTAACCGAAGATGCCTTATCCCCGACTATTTCTTCAAAGGCCAGGTTTGTCGGAAAGTTCCTCTTAGATTTCTCTGCATTCTTCCAATAGGAGGCATATTTGGACTCCGTTGGTGGCTTGACAGTGCGGTTGGCTCTACGATAGACAGGTAGCGACATTTCGAAACGGCCAAATCAGGAGGCAAACCGAGAACATCTAGTATTTTTGCTTTCATCTAATATTTATGTTGACAGGACTTGAATCATGATCTTTCGTCTCATGAGAGCTTCGCGAAGCTAATGAATGGTAGAGTAAAGTGTTAAATTACTACGTAGCAGGTTCCCTAAATCAAAAGGGGGTATGACGGCTTATACGAATGGTCCTACAATGCGTTAAGGGAGCCTAGACTATAACTACTAGGTATATAGCTCGAGCTATATTTGATGTGTTTACATTCGTACCCGGCCCATCCTGTTACAGGTGCGTTCTCAGCCTACCAAGCAGATACTATTGGGAAACCCCTTGACGAAGAGCAACACGAAGCATTAGAGCTCTTTGCTCGGCACGGAAAGCTTATTGCTACGTCTGGGATGTGTTGAATCCCGGCTTTATTATTGAAGAACCATGGGGCGGGCTGCTGATCAGTGCTTATTTCTAAAAATGCCGGACCAACATCTATGTGAAGTCGCATCACATCGAGGCTAGAGTAACCTTATTCCAACATGCAATGCATAGGTAAGTGTTATAACCACCTGCTAATTAGTAAGTTTGCCCTTCCTCTTCCTAAGAGGAATGCCAACTGGGGGGACAGATAGGACGATTAGTCAAGAATGGCACATCTAGACCACCATGCAGACCCAAATATCGCTTCCTCAAGATGAGCTGACAATGGGGTAGTAAAGGGCACACATACATACATACTCGAAGGAATCATCTAAAATGTCCTAAGTGTTGGAGCCGACATCTATCAATTAATTAACATGATACTCTACGGTATGTAGGTAGGCATCCTGCCTATCAGATCCGCCATTCCCGCTTCCTTCAAGTTTCAGAAGATCTAACAACAACACCCAAAAAGTGTTGTGTGTATATATACATGTCTACTATATATGCTGCTAGAACTTGGCTCCGAACAGCTCCCACGTATCATCCGAAGATATAAAGAGGCCTTTTGTACCTACCTGTAACTTGCAGCTACCACGAATTCACAATTTGATATTGTTCCAAAGCCATATTTACCTAATTGTCGTTGGTTTCATGTGCTGTAGCCAGCCCCCTGAAGTTTTATTAATAGGATCTCATCTCCAGGCGGATCTAGCAAGCCTGCTCTAGGGAGGTGGTAAATATAAATCCCCATCCCTCTCACGCGCAGTCACCCAACACACACCATACCTATCTACATATAGTCCTACAATGCACCAACATTTTATTTTAGGAATTTACCTATACAGACTTCGTTCAAGAATAGATACGCATAAAGAGCGCCCCGTCGTAGACCCAAGTAAGTAAATGCTTGCTGTTACATTAGCCCCCAATAATCACAGATGTATCCATGGAGCACTTCGCTTTTGAGAACACTGCCCACCTACCACTACCTGCCGGCTTGAGAGATATGTCAAGTGGAGGATAAGTCATAGCTGCTGGGAGGCAGCCTTTTTCTATTTTATTTTATTTTATTTTATTATTATTTCTTCTACTGTGGTTCTCGCTCTATCATTTTGGGGATATAAACTTGCCGCTGGACCAGCATTTAGTACATATATAGTTGGTATTGCAATAAGAGCCGCCAGTCTAACAATGAAAATGTTATTATTTATATTTCGAATGATCATACAATCTAATTCAATGCACTACCAGTCTAGGGACTCTTTTCATACCACCCAACCTCACACGCTCCCTTTTCTCTACCATCATTCTCACAATCTCCCTAGCCCACCCCCCTTTTCTTCTTCCGTAACATACAATCTTCTCCCCCAAGTCCCAACCACCGACAATCAAACCCCCCTCCAAACCATAAAATACGCAAACACAGCGGCGCAGCTCAAAGCGCAAACCTCAAGAGACGCACAGCTACTGAACCCAAACTTCGGTCTCGGGCCTTCCGGCGCCGCGCTCAGCGCCGTCTCGCCGATCTTGGGCGTGGTAACCGTAACGCCGTCAGTTGGCGATGCCGTGGGCCCCTGACCACTTTTCGTTGTGGTGGTCGTGGTGGTCGTTCTCGTGGCCACGGGCGACGGAGGGCTCTGGGTCCCGCTCAGCACACTGGACGCCTCGAACCCGGGCGCCGCTCGGTACACTTTCAGACACCCGTCGGCGGCACACTGCGTCCCGTGTGGGCAGCACCCGCCGCCGAGGTGCTCGCCACACGCGCTGGCCGAGCTCTCGCAGGTTGGCGGCTGGTTCTTCGTCTCGAGACAGGGTGAGTTCGAGGGGCAGCAGTATATACCGGACGGGGAGAAGGTGGAGGAGTGGCAGATCATGCCTTCTGGACAGCAGATGTTCTTGTTTTATTTTTATTTTTTTTAGTTGAAAGTTCCACCTATATTATATCGCGCTCGGGCATATGAATGAAGATAGGGGGTTTGGATAGGATAGGGCTGAGGCAGAGATGAAAAAACGAACAGGTTTATTATAAGCCTTGCAGCTATCCTGGTTCTCGGTACAAGCGCCCATCACATCCCTCGGAACAAGCAGCGTGTTCTCGTCCTCGTGCAGGATCACGTCTCTCCCATCACCCGCGGCCGCATCGCCGCCTGCCTTGTTGTGGATGAGGAACGCGCCGCTCGAATAGTACAAGGCGTCGTAGTAAACCGTGAAGACGACGCCGACGATGAGGACGGCGACAACGAGGACGACTAGGCCAATGAGGAAGGCCCATCGTAGCTTCGGCCGGTTCTGGAACGGACACTAGCGGTGCCAGTCCAGCCGTTCCCTGAGAGACCTCCCGTTGATGGCCCAGGGCGCACGCCTGTGGTCGTCGCAGTGCTCCTTGGAAGCGATAGGAGTGGTGCTAGCACCGGCACCGGCGGTGGTACCGGGTTTGGCATTGGCATTGGCGTTGGCGTTGGCGGTAGTGGTAGTGTTGTTGGTAGGCGTCGCCTGCTCTGGTTGAGTTTCCTGTGCCATGGTAGGAGAAGTTTTGAGATATTTCCGAGAGAAAGTAGGTATCTAGGATTTCAAAGTGATAATAAGGTACGTATTATATGGACACCATGCGTTGAAAGTCGGGGTTTAGGGTGTTTCAAGATGTTAATCGACTATAGGTCCAGATGTCTATTGGCTTAGGATTATCAAGAAGTCTTTGGAAGAACCGTTATCTACTCGTTGTACTATATAGTACCCTACCCTGGTAGTTAAATAAATTTGATATTCAAAAGGGGCAGGAATATACTAGGCACCTACCTCTTTCTCTTCTCAGTAAAGTCTGAACTCAAATGTGAGGCCGATGTAGGGTAGGAACGGTGTCCTCGTTTGGGAGGTTATTCATCCCTGATAGGAAGTTACCTAGGTCAGTACTGATAATAAGTCTGATATACCAACGCTACTACATCATTGATAGTACGTACTTAGTACCTAGTAGGCACACGTTGAAGTTCACCCCATACACGCCAGTTGAGGTATCATAGCCAAAATATCATTGAATTTTATAATCAAGCATGGCTCCAGGGGCCTTAAACTCCCTGGCTATAAAGTTGTTGCTTCATGACACTCATATGACATCGTCTGTTTGAAATCCTCAATATCCTCCTCGTATGCAATCCTAATCATATTACCTCTGTCATCGTCTCCGAGCGTCTATGAATCTCTTTGTTATGTACAAATGTCCCTGAAGGAGGGCAAACCCATTACCTAGCCAACGGCTAAAGTCGTTATTGTAAGACAAGAAACACCGTGTACGATGCCTTACTAGCCCCCTCTTAATTTAGAACTCCTGGTAACGTAGTATGTCGAAGAAAGGGATGTGGTGTTTGATAAATAATACCGAATAAACATATAAACATGTGGATTAAAGGTATGCAATCATCGCAACTCTCGGACCCTTTTATAGCCAGAGAGTAAAAATCATCATTACACCCACGAGACCAGCGCCCATACCGGCGATCTCTTTGGATCCCGAGACGGAATTTTGGGTTTCCGACGGGCTAGCGGCAGCTGTGCCCGTAGCACTGGGTACTGATGAGTAGCTACCCGTCAAGGTTTCACCTAGGCTCGGGAGAGCAACGTTGCCGTCGATAAGCCATCCACTGGCTGTCGATGTTGGGCATGCGCGTGTCGAAACCCCATTGGTATCGTAAGCAGATCTGGCCACTCCCGTCGGGGTGATGGTGGCCCAGTGTTTGCTGAGGTTATCGAAGTCAGGAGTAACTGGCGTCGGAGTTCCAGCACGCGTATACCCCCCTACGATGTTTTCTCCTGTGGCAGTCGCGTCGGGTTTAGGGCCATAGGAGATTAAACCATATTCATTGGCCTTGACATATGCATTAGCATGCATGAACAAATTCGACAGCATTTAACTACATAGGAGATTCATTAGGGTTATAAATTAAACATACCTCTTCGATCCATTCGTAGATGATGGCACCGCTCCAGTCGTTGACCATTTCAGGGCCGAATATGGCATCTTGATCATCGAATAGTCGAGGGCCAGGCTTATTGCACCCAGTCTCGGAAAAGAATATAGGCACGGGAAAGTCCTTGGCTTGATCTTGCAAGTTGGCGTAGCCAGACGTTTGGTAGTCAGTGGGGTCACACCACTGATACGAGTTGAGTCCGTAGAAATCGACGTTCTCAGACGCGTTGCCTCCGCAGGTGAGGTAGTCCTGTAGCATAGGTCGAAGCTCCGCGATATCGGTTGCGGAATAGCCAATTGGAATTTTACGGTATCCCTTCGAGTCTCTGTATGCCTTCAGATCTCGGCAGCTGGCCTTGATAAAGGGTGCAGCAAGCGACTGGCTTTCGGTCGCAATGATCTCATTCCCTACAAACAGGCCCAATAAATTATCGTATTCTTGAAAGCTGTCTAAGACCTTGGAGTAGGCATCGAATTGAGTCTGGTTCCACCACGGATCGTTCTATATAAGTTTAGCTTTCCGTGATTCAGGTTAAATCACGAGATATCCTAGGTAAGTGCCTGGCTTTCATGGGTTGAGCTTACAGGCAAGATATATGTATCGAAAGTGTCCATGTCTATCATGGTATATATGCCTGCGTCGGAGAAGGCAGACATACAGCCAGAATGGTCTGCACTCGGATCGACATGGTAGACACGAATGGTGTTGGCACCCAATTCCTTCATCAGCGAAGCGTCTCGTTGACATTGCTCAGTATCAACCAGCGGGTCGTCTTTATGTAAATGCCGAGTTAGAAAGGGGACTTTTATTTTTATATTGTGTATAGTATAGGTCTAAACTCACGCTCAGTGAGCTGATATGCAACTCCTTTTATGAAGAACTGATCGCCATCGCTCGTGAAGAACTTGTTACCAGACGCTTCGATGGTTGGAATGGCGTGGGATAGGGTAGCACTACCAAGCGCTACTAGTAAAGAGGAACGCATAGTGAGCGTCGGAAAGCGATTGTTATAAGATAAATAATAATAATATAGAATATAGCCAAGAGTCGAGCAGAGATATAATCCTAAGTTTTGGTTTTCAAGAATCTCTTTTTCGTCGTATGAGCGCTAGAAAGCTCGAGTTAAAACGATGGTCGAATATGAATATGTAAGTCAAGATGTGAACGAATACATGTAGCTAGCGAGTGAAATGGTCTCCTCCTGGGTTGACTACCTGGGCCTGGGCCTGGGTAGATACTATCACAAATATTAGGAGTAGAGAGGAAAGAATGAAGGATGTAGGATGTAAAAAAGAAAGATGAACTTGTGAGAAGGTCTCACCAATGTCCTAATAGTAAAATGTGTAACACAGTAATCCCGGCCCGTACCTACATACATAGCATGCATACATATGGTACATATAAGCATGTACATGTATGCATCATTACCTAGATCAAACGCACTACTACGGTACTTAAGCATTTTTGCTCACCTAGGTAGTTTAGGTAGTTGTTGACCCCGGTAAACAAAGGATCATCATCTTGATTTTGGGGAAGCTGGAACGACAACGAGCCCTGGGTGCTGGATGCTCATAGGTTGAGAGGACAGAAAACTCCGGGGGGAGCTCCAGATCATCCTGCGACTTACTGAAAAGGTTGTAAATCAAGGATAGAACCGATCGACAAGGGGGCCCCTGGTTACCCTAGCAGCCTAGTGAAAATTCGAAAAGCACCGCAGCTTCTAACGGCCAAACAAACTACGTAACTGTGCGGCGCTAGGGTGTCTTGACTGTGTCCTCAGACTCCTCACTGTCCTGAAAGCGAATGGTTCAATTATGGTTGGACTCGTTGAGAGATCTTCAACATTGAATCTTTCAATGTTGGCTTTGAACAAATCTAGGTTAGTACATATTGTCTTGCATCATAATTGGTTCATTATGCCGTTTGTTTCGAGCTCTTCCTAGGATATGATAATTCATGATAATTCATAACTAATCCTTTTTATGCGTACCATGAAGAAAGGAATGAGGATAACTATTGTTATGCTTCGTCCGAGGCCTGGTCTCGATTGGTCTACTCGAATCTCGAGTAGTACTTAGGGTACATAATAGATAGTATTGACTACCTTACCTAGTAATAGTAGCCACGAAGCATTAGAAAGAAAATGCAAGGCTAGATCCGAAGCGTGGCTCTCCCGAAGTTCAATGTTGAGCCTACTAACCTTCTAGGGTACTAGCCAGTGCTAGGTCAGGTACTGTAGCTGCTTTAAAATGTCCACGGTGGTTCGATTTGAAGGGGCAGAGAACCAAACACTTCGATATGGAATCGACTTTGGAAATTTCGCGCAAAATGTGGAGTGACGTAATTCAGGAGCTAGCTATGCACTGTAGATACCAGACAGGTAGGTATATCAAGTGCTGCTATTCCTCTTGTTTATTCCTTACCTCTATTATGCACATACTTCGTATGTAGTAATCTTTATGCAGATCTTATTATGAATTAGGCCTCATTTTCGTTGTAACTTTCTTCTCAATCCTCTTACAAGACTTACAGAGGCCTCGAAACAACTGGATACTAGTACGTGGGTTTCGGATAGCCGCAGGCTACAGCATAACGATATGTCAGTATAATATATAAATTAGCAACGTCGATATTAAAAAAACCGTTATGGTAGAACAGTTAGCCATGTGGACACAGCATGAACTTGTGTCAAGAAACAATAAAACAATAATAATGAGTGTTGCTATTCGTACTCTTATTTTTTGCTATCGGGGCTTTATTCGTACTTCTATACATCCCATACATCCCTAAAACTTTAAATCCGGGCCTAATCTAGCGCCCCTAGCGCCCCTAGCGCCCCCAGCTGCCCACATCAATCCAATCCAAATAACTCTCTGAAACATATAGCCACAAGCGTGCAACCGGGTTCAATTAAAAGACACTTCAATTACGAATTGATTGATACCGGTCGCAGAATGAGGCGATACTCGGTTGCAAAGTTATTCAAGAAAGTAAGTGGGAGCCCAGGAGGCACGTGACAGCTCCTAGGGCCACACTAAGGGCCCTTAGCGCCCTTGAAGCCCTTAGACCCAAACCTTATTTAACAGTTTCAACTTTGAATAACTTTCTGAAACATAAAGCTAAAAACGTGCAACCGAATTCAATTGAAAGAGAATTCAATTACCGATTGATTGATACCAGCCTCAGTTTGAGGCGATACGTGGTTGAAGAGTTATGTTGGTATTTGTCTCGAGAGCAGTCACGTGACATTTCTTAGCGTGGCCCGAGCGGCTCTAGGGCTCTTAGGCGGCTCTAAGGGTCCTTAGCGTGGCACCAAGAGCTCTTAGTGTGATCTTAAGGTTAGTCACGTGCCGCCCGGCTTGCCACCTACTTTCTTGAATAACTTTGCAACCACGTATCGCCTCAATTCGAGACCTATATCAATCGATTCATAATTGAATACGCTTTCAATTGAATTTGGTTGCACGTTTGTGGCTATATGTTTCAGAGAGTTATTTGGATTCAATTGATGTGGGCAGCTGGGGGCGCTAGATTAGGCCCGGATTTAAAGTTTTAGAGGATGTATAGGAGTGCGAATAAGGCCCTGATAGCAAAAAATAAGAGTACGGATAGCAACACTCATAATAATAGTTATTGAACTTTTAATGGACTCGGAATGGTGTGGGTCCGATAAGCTTGATAACCCTGATAAGATAAGAGTATATTGACAGCTGGTGGCGGCAACTGACAAAGTGGAGACGCATTCTTTTAGCTTTTTTTATCTTTTATCTCGTAGTTAACTTTTTTTTTTTTTTTTTTTAGCAATCGATAAAGTTGAGTGGGTGAACATTTGAGAATATCCAACTTCACCATTGCGACATCTTGGTGCTTTGCAATCATGGTAAGTAACCTCCTTTACCTGTATACTATATTAGATGTACTAATTCCTGAGTAGAAAATAAAGGCCTTAAGCCGTTCAGTTGCGGCATACCAGCCGCCTGGATCCGATGTCCCAAAGGTACATAGACAAGCTCTACGGACTCAACAACTTCATTTGCTTAAGTTTCTTACCATTTCTCTTAGGCGCCTCGTAACCTTGACCCAGCCATCCATCCATTCGAGAGAGCACGAGAATATACACGCGCTCTTAATGCTGTAAAACTCGAGCGCATGTTTGCCCAGCCTTTTGTCGGCCAACTCGGAAATGGGCACGTTGATGGTGTTTACTCGTTAGCTAAGGATCCCAATTCACTCGACAGACTTGCATCCGGTTCCGGCGATGGTGTGGTGAAATGCTGGGGCCTGACTGGAAGGGACCAAGTGTGGAAGACCACGGCGCATGAGAATATTGTCAAGGGGATGGCTTGGACAACAGACCAGAAGCTTCTTACATGTGCCGCAGATAGGTCGATCAAGATCCACGACCCGTACAATACTCCTGACGATTCGGCGCCTATCCACTCTTGGCTCGGCACGAATGCCTTCACAAGCCTAAGCGTACATAGATCGAGAAACGCCTTCGCGGTTGCCTCTGATGTTATATCTGTCTACGACCTTGACCAGTATACTGCTGCGCCGGAAATTCTCCGTTGGCCCTCGTCTGGCGAGACAATAAACTCGGTCGCTTTCAACCAGAGTGAGACCTCCGTGATTGCATCTTGCTCTACGGACAGATCCATTATCCTTTATGACCTTCGCACATCATCGCCACTCGCACGCACTTTCCTCAACTTTAGCTGCAATAAGTTATCTTGGAACCCAGTCGAACCAATGAACTTTGCTGCGGCCAGTGAAGATCATAACGTGTACTTGTTTGACATGCGTAAATTTGACCGAGCGCTCAATGTACTCAAAGACCATGTAGCAGCGGTCATGGATGTGGAGTTCTCACCCACAGGACAGGAGCTTGTCACAGCTTCTTACGACCGTACCATTCGACTATTTGAACGCGACCAAGGACATTCAAGAGATGTGTATCACACCAAGCGAATGCAGAGAGTTTTCTGCGCACGATGGACCCCGGATGCCAAGTATTTGTTGAGTGGATCAGATGATGGAAACATTCGTCTTTGGAGGGCGAATGCTTCTAAACGAGAAGGTGTCAAGTCTGCCCGACAGCGACAAGCACTCGAGTACAACGACACACTATCTGAAAGATTCAGCCACATGGTATGCTTCTGATCCCTGGTTTTTTTCATCATATTCTTGTGATCGTCAGCTAACATATATATAATAGCCCGAGATAAGGCGAATCAAGCGCCATAGACATCTTCCAAAGGTCGTGAAGAAGGCGGGCGAGATTAAGAAGGAGGAACTCAAGGCAATCAAACGACGAGACGAAAACGAGAGGAAGCACACTAAGAAGCAATTCGAGAAGCGGAAGAGTGAACGAGACAAGGTGATACTGGCAAGGGAGAAGTAATGGCATTTAAAAGAAGATACTGAAGGTCGTCCATATGGGACTTTCAGTAACTGCATTTCAAAGGGCGTTATAAGGTTGGCAAAAACTGTGGGAACTTGGTTCATGGTCATGTCCACATTTTGATGATGGATAAAGACTTGAAGCTATTCGGAGTTTCCATCATGAGATGAATAATACGAAGATACCCAGATACATCTCTATACCTAGTACATATGCCAACATTGAACGGTACATGTAGTAACATTGAAGGGCCAAAAGTAGCCAAAAGTCGTACATAAGAAAGTCTAAATGAGACCCCTACATAGATCGGTAAAAGCCGATTGGCCAGGGGTAATGAGAACCTGCCTTAGTCGAAACCCTGAGCGCTTGGACCATTTGTTTCAAGCGCCTAAAAGGATTCGTTTCTGACGTGAAAAGTGAATTGAATTTGGGACGCTGGATCCATCTTAAACCTATTGTAGACAACGTCGACATTAGGCTGGCCCATTTTAACTTCCTTTCTTTTATTTCATCCTATTTTACATCATACGACTCTTGAGTCTTGAGCGTTGAAGAGAATCATTCTTCTCAAGAAAATTCAAAACTAGAAAATACTAATTGTTCGGACATTCTATTCAATCATTTACTTTCGTTTTTAGTGCCTGCTGGCCAGCATTTGTGTCCTCCTAATTACCTACATACTAGGTACCTCTTAGCTACCTGTCTGCCTACCTACTTTTTTTACCTACCCGACCGACATAATGAACTACCCACGACCGCCGTCGGCGCGTGACTCATGGTTTGCGCCTATATCTGTCGATATTCTCCTCAGGGTCCTCAACGTTACGCTGTTACATCCCTTCGTAGCATGGATAATTCCTCTTTGCTTTCGCGCCGAACATCAGGCATGGTCTACTAGGCCTATGATAGTCAGCATTGTGTGGGCGACTATGGTTACTCTTCTATGGATGGGAAATGTCATTAGCCACAAGATTGCGTATGGAATGCACCGGGAGGTAGACTTGAGTGAGGAGGTCATCGTCATAACAGGGGGGGCTAGCGGTCTTGGCTTGTTAGTTGCTGAGGTATATGGCATGAGAGGTGCTACTGTTGCGGTTCTAGATATCGCCGAACTGGAGAGTACCGATGCCCGAGGCATTACCTATTATAAGTGTGATGTGGGTGACAAGGCCCAGATTGCTAGAGTTGCAGCGCAGATAGAGCGTGATGTGCGTATCCTTATCCAATGGTTGTTTGCGACTTTGACTGACAACACAATACTTTTAGCTTGGACCACCTACCATCTTAATCAATAACGCTGCCGATGTCGTTGGTAAGAAGCTGCTCGACATGGAAATAGATGAGGTCGAGAAAAGCGTCACAACAAACCTCTTGTCATACTTCTATACTATCAAGACATTTTTGCCGGGGATGATTCGCAACGAAACTGGTGGCACCATTGTTACCATGTCTAGTGTTATTGGTCATCTCGGCGCGTCTCGCCTCTCGGATTATGCTGCCTGTAAGGCGGGAGTAACCGCATTGCACAAGTCTCTCGCTGCTGAGCTACGGGAGTACCCCGAGATCAAGACGATTCTCGTTACGCCGGGCCAACTAAGTACACCACTTTTCTATGGCGTCAAGACCCCGAATCCATTTATTGCTCCGGTAGTCGAACCCATAGATGTGGCCAAGGAGATAATAAAAGCTATCGACCTCGGCGTTAGCGACCACATCGGGATGCCTCTATATGCGCGTTGGGTGGACTGGTATAATGTGTTGCCCGTGGGTCTACAGCAGATCTGTCGAAGACTTTCCGGTATAGACGCCGGTATGACGACGTTTGTCGGTCGTAGGGGCACGGAGCTAAGGGAGAAGAATGGGCACTCGATCTAGCATCTCAACACTGACCGGGTCAGACCGGGTTGAACAGAGGTGGTTAACGACAGTGACATTGCAATAATACTGCATGACAGAGCCGAACGCTGGCGTTCGTGGATCTGGTGAGATGTAATGTGTACGTGTAAGTTATGTGTATGCGTTGTAGTAAATCAAAAGACTCCAAAGGAAACACATTCCCACTCAAAGCTGATCGTCGAGAAGAATGTCTAGACATGCAGAACGACCCTCGGTATCATTAAGAGGCTGTGCACAAGTCTTGCGTCGGCTTCTGTGTAACCTTGATAAGCTTGAAGCTCAACATTGAATCTCTGCATTCCAATGAATACTTCGTCCCTTTACCTCTTATCCTAAACAAGAGAAATCGACCGAAAATTACCAGTCATAAAAGTCGGCCGCTCTGGCGGGCCACACAGATCCTCAAGTCTTGATTGAGTCCACCAGGCATGTCGCACTGCATGCATGCAATACGTTGGGTGTCTCATTTTCTGACTGAACACGTCGGTCCGAGTACGCTGCCAATGTCACCGCCGCCCACGAGGCAACGTGCAGGGCCGCGTATAACTATGTAGGCTACCTAGGTAAGTAGCTTATCACATTGGCTTATTTGGGGGTTGTGTTGTGCTCTCCCCTTTTCTCCGTCAGGGTGTGAGTAGTAACGTAGATTCAATGGTTAGCGACGTCATTGCTCTAAGGTCTAGGTATGTATAGTATGACTCTGATAGATAGATCAACCTCCCATCTGTCTCCCAATGGCCTGAATGTTTGCCTTCGGTAGACCTTCCCACCGGCCTTGAGTTGTCATGGCTGAGGCCTCACAGGTTCAGTGGATGAGATTACAGATGGCTGAGGACACAAAGCACCTGATATCCTCAAAACTTTGATCATATGATATGATGAACTACCCTAGGTACCGCGTGTATAACACTCCATGGTCTACAGTTCGGAAGAGAAGGTGAGGTACGGTGAGCTTTATCGTGCCACGCATGATACAAAAGTTCTTCTGGTATTCATCGAGTCGGCTTCTAATATTAGCTATATAATATGAACATATATTATCTATGCAACCTTCTCTCTTCTAGATCAGATAAGGACATTATCCATATAGAGTTAAAAGGCATGTGTGTATGTTGTGATACAACATTGAGGTTCAGCTAAGCATGTCTGATGTAGTAATATAACTACCTAAGTAACTGCTCAGATAGCACATACATACCTAGTACTGGTAATCTAGTACGTGCCGATGATGAAAGTCCTCGTTTTAAGCCGTCGCCAGTGACTTCTCGGTTTACCAATTACAATTTCCTATGCGGGGACGAAGATAATTGACACGCGAAGATATGTAGGTACCTACCTACCTGCCTACCTGCCAGGTCCTGCCTAGTACTTAGTACTACTACTATGATAGTAGGTTTGCAGCTAGCAACCGATGTTTCCCTCCTCTTTGAACAAACATCTGAAAACGGAGGGTATCAACACTCGATTGTTCCATATAAATTGCCTACATTGATACTACGATGCAGATACTATGTATATGTATAAAATCAGATACCTACCTACATATGTACCCTACATAGGTACTCTAACTCAATAGATACGTTAATACATACCTAAGTATGTAGTACATACATGTAGTAGTGTGTAGTAGCTAGTGTGTAGGGGAAGGAAAGAGCTACGGTACCTATGTTTGTGTTTTCTCAAAGTTTAATATTTACCTAAACCTAGACTAAACACATGGCATGATACATCCATGGATATAGCACATGATAGCACATGATAGCACATGATAGCACCTGATAGCACCTAATAGCACCTAGGATCGAGGATCATCACTCCCATAATATTCAACCTTCTACCGACTACCTACTACCCAATACCCAGTAGAGTCTAGACACCTACCTAAGATAGGTAACGAACAACAAGATATTAATCGAGGATTTGAGGGGCTTTCAACATCCCTTACCACCCACGCTACCACTCCAATCAATTCGACTTGATCTCCAATGCACTTCCGATGATAAGAAATTAGAATATAACCCTAGCAAAGAAGGATTACTGTACTGATTCTTTAATACATGTACTTCTTGCTGTCCGCCAAGGATTCGCGTCATCCTATGGGGCCTCATCACTAGCAAATACGCGGTTCATCAGCTATCATATTTCATAGATCCCATGTTATTTCGGTGCCATGAATGACACAAGCATTTTCTCATTTTCTAGTAAACGGCCAGACGGAGACCGAATGTTGTTGTACTCCGTGCCGTCTGGTGGACCCGTACCACCGTACTACGAATCCTTCACGACTCGCCAAGTATCCACGGATGCTTTAGACCACCTACTATTTACTAATTCACCAGCACTAGGTCCGAAGCTTCATGAAGATTGAACTTTGTGTGGGGGGCGCGCGGGGGATTCACGCCTTACTTTCACCTACCTAACGTAAAGAACCCCCCTCCAAAAAAAAACGTGGTTGACAAGTTCGTGGGGCCTCCTAGAAGTAGAAGATCGTGTAGGTCAATGTACCTAGATAGGTACAACTGTACGTACGAATAATTGATTAATTGTCTCTAGTTGTCTCTAGGCAGGCATATGCGGCAACAGGAGAATGCCGGTCTCAGGCGTGTTAGCGGACTCAGCAAACAATACATGGCTGCCTGGCAGCCTGCTCGCATAAATGGCGTTCAATGTTCCGATCAACATCGAAGGCCTTTCCGAGGTACTTGTGGGTGGTGCTAATACTATAATCAACGCCTCGGCATGCGTTGATGCTTGTGTCGAGCACATAAAAGCCTCTGAAGCTGTGAAGATGTGAAGCAGTCTCGCATTAGTGGCTCTGACTGGACTGGGGGGTTTTATTGAGAGCTCCAGGGGCGATCCAACAGACAACCCTAAGAGCAGGTAGGTAGGTACTTCACGGCTACCTTCAATTAGTATTGGATTCGATTTCCTTATCTATTGCCTTTGTTCAGCCAATCGCAGCCCCCGGCCATGATTTGCTAAGTTAGTTGCACCAAGCAATCAGTTTTCAGCCAGAGAAACCCCTATCATGTACTCTATCATGTACTCTTACCTATCATACTATGTATACCGCGACTCTTCTGTGCGGATTACCTTGACTAGGTATGGAGGGCTGTCGGCGAATATGCGCTTCGAATGCCTTTCCGAGAAATATTGCCTCCAGGCGCTGTTTGCATTGTGCTGACTGACCTATGCAGCACATGACGGAGGCCTACTCGGTCGCAAGCTCGCCCCCAATTTGTAGATTTTATAAACGCCATATATCCTGCGCTGTTAAGAACACGTTCTATTAAAAATCAGCGCATTATTTCCTACCATAAAATATATGTGCGGCACTCGAATCGCGCCACTGTACTTGCCTTCTAGGTGGATCTACCGCATGGTGTAATGCCACCCTTGCTATGTCGACGGTAACCATGTGGTGGGATTCATCTCGGATTGAAACAACCGTCACTCGACAATTCGTTTGCTCCCATCTTTTCCCCGAGGAGATAAAGCGCCTGGACCTGCCACTGGGCTTTGGCGACGGCTTGACCGATGGAACGTACTGGGAATGGATTGACGAGAAAGCCAAACGTATCTTTCTCATCCTTTTAGACATTGGCGTGCCGGACCAAATATTCGGACTTATTGACGACAGTTGGGATGACGATGATCTGCCGATCCCTTTAGAACAAGTCGACCGGCTGGCGCTTACCCTTACTAGAGATGACAAGTTTGATAAGAAGTTCTATTCCCGCCAGTACCACTACCTACTCAAATTCGTGGAAAAGGGAGACCACGTAGTGTACGACGACCCGGAAGTCGTGCCAATAAATGTGGATAAGCGCCCCGGGCTGAGTCTCAACAACGCCGTGGATAGGGTAGAGTTGCCAAACCGGCCTGGTCAAGTTTTTTCACGGCGTCGCATTCCGACTGGGACCGGTCCTGGCTTGTTGACGGAAGATGAACTCGTGTTCGAGATCAATAAAGCAAGGAGTATCGAAAATGACCATATCATGTCTTACTTTGCGTCCTACATACACCAGGGCTCGGTCTACGTTCTATTCACCTTGCCCAATGACTTCAGCCTCAAGTCCCTCTTAATTGCGATGCCTGGTCCGTTGAAGTCATTGGCCAAACAAGACCGGCGACGCTTGCTCATGAACTGGATCCATTGCCTGGTTGATACGCTCTGCTACCTCCACAATCGAGGTCTATCTCACGGCAATATCAAACCATCAACCATACTTTTCAACTCCGATAATCACATTTTCTATACAGACATATCTCGGCTCAATACTGAAGTAATGGCGTATGCTATGGACCGATCCACTTTCGATAAAGAATCATACGACTACGCAGCCCCTGAACAGTGGTATCGCCCATCGTCAACCAACCACTCTAACGTACATCGCAGGAGCACTCTTCTTGCTTCTTCCGCTTCCATCTCATCCTCGGAACATTCTGCATTTTCTATTAATCGCGCGGGTTCAGATGGCGGGTATTCGGCTTCGATGCCGCATGCACCGACCCCTTCTCTCAACCCTCAAGCAGCCGACATATTTTCGCTAGGATGTGTGATACTCGAGTTGCTAAGTTTACAAATGAAACGGCAGACTCGATCATTTGCGTCTCATAGGGGGGCAAAACATAAACAAGCTGGACGAGGCGGCGCAGTGCTGGATTCATCGTTTCATAAAAACCTCGGGCAGGTGGAATCCTGGATGGCTGGCCTGGTAAAGGAGGCGTCGAAGAAGGATGACCAAGTTTTCCGTGGAGTGGCGCCGATGCTACACGTGGTGGCGCGAATGCTCTCGGCTGTCCCACACGAAAGACCGACGGCTTTGGAAGTTGAGCGATGCACGTATAGGATCCTGACGGAGAATTGCCAGATCTTGGAGCCTCATTGCGTTCACCAGTACGGTGGCTGGGGTTTCGGCATCGGTAATTTGCATATCAACGAAGAAGACGAGAACTTTCATATCGCGCCAAAGAGACACAGTGGCCCAGTTAGACCAAGCTCTTCTCGAATAGGAGCTTATAGACCATTGAGCAGCAGCTCTATCCAAGAGAGGGAGACGGCGGGTAGTAGTAGCTCGCAGGCGATGCAAAATAGCCAGATGAACAAGGTGCGCACTTGGCAGGCTCACTTATACACAGGTAACGGATACAACCTCCCCAATACTTTTTCAGAGTAGAGGTTCAACTGACACTCTGGGGTGCGATGACAGAAGCGACAAGCCCTGTATGATTTTAAAGGAATGAGGGATGAAGAATAATGAAATGGGCTAGCTACCGGACACATAGGAGTTGGGGGAGCGGGATATTTGACGCAACATCTATAGAACCCAAAAGTAACTCGGCGGCACTTGTGTGTGTTTGATTACTCTCGCTTTTTGGGGATATTGGAAACGGGAGAGAGGGTAGTTTTCACTCTGTATACTGATATGGCTTGGCTACGTATGTAAACACCCACCTACCACATACAGTATATTGCCGTAGACAACTGGCCTTGATCTCGGTTGATTCTATAGGATGATGGGGAGTTGGATATTGATGCTGGCGTCTCATATGAGATTTTTTATGTTTAATACCATATCGATTTTTTTCCCCTGGGGTTTCTTTGGGCTATCTTCTTCTTCGTGAAGGACTGCAATCTTCATTTATATACTCGTGTTAGAGGGTATGTAGGTATATGAAGTATCAGGTACCTTTGCACCTTCAATAATGTTATACGGAACGGAAGCTGGAATTACTCCGGCATACTAGTCTAGGCAGGGTGAGCTGCGTCAGTAACTGTCCCCACTTTAATAACGAATGGCAAGGCTGGAGCTGCAGTCGCTGCCCGTTGAGCTTCAGAAGGCATACCTTCCAATACCTTAGTACTACCTAGTACTGTATGTTAAGTAGCACCTTTTGTATCTTTACATATTTCATGCCAATTCGCAACCACGCGACTCCTAATTTGATCCAATAACCGAACATAAACTTTACTTTTCTATTTCCAACATCTATCTGATCTTTATCAATCTTCACCTCTTTCCGAGTACGCACAACATCAACATGGCTGCGACGAAGCAGTCTGTGAAGGAAGCGCAATCGCTTGCCAGCACCGACCCGCGAAAAGCTGAAGCTATCTACAAGGATTTCATATCTAAACCCCCCTCAGTTACCTCGGACGCAGCTATCAAGGAATATGAAACCGCTCTCATAAGTTTGGGTGAGCTGTATCGGGATGAGAAGTGAGTAAAGCTCTGGTCATATTAGTTTTGCCCGCTGTGTCTATATTTGGCTGACTGACTGTTTGTGTCTTAGGAAGCCGAAGGATCTTGTCGACCTCGTTACCACTAGCAGAACTGTCCTCTCAAGCTTTGCGAAAGCCAAGACAGCCAAGTTGGGTACGTTGTATAAACCTATATACCAGATCGTCACTGTATAGCACGAGCCCTCTTCTAATATCCTTCCTACGTAGTTCGTCAACTCCTTGACCTTTTCGACGCTATCCCGAATACTACCGACATCCAGATCGGTGTTACCAAATCATGCATAGAATGGGCTACCTCCGAGAGACGAAGTTTCCTGCGCCAAAATCTCGAGACGAGACTCGTTGCCTTATATATGGCCAAGCAATCATACTACGACGCCCTAACCCTCATCAACGGCTTATTGCGCGAACTGAAGCGCCTCGACGACAAGTTAGTGCTGGTGGAGGTTCAACTGCTAGAGTCAAGGGTATACCATGCATTGGGCAACAACTCCAAGGCCCGCGCTGCTCTCACGAGCGCCAGAACAAGCGCCGCCTCCGTATACACCCCTCCCTTACTCCAAGCCAACTTAGATATGCAGTCGGGTATGTTACATACTATGGATCAGGACTTCAACACAGCATTCTCCTACTTCATCGAGGCCCTCGATGGTTATCACACCCAGGATGAGCCTGCTAAGGCTACCGCTGCGTTGCAGTACATGCTATTATGCAAAATCATGCTGAACTTGGTTGATGATGTAAACAACCTGATGGCGTCGAAGCAGGCACAGAAGTACGCCGGCCAGAATCTCGAGGCTATGAAGGCTATCGCACGCGCACACTCGAACCGCTCTCTGGAAGAGTACGAACGCGCGTTAGCAGCATACCGATACGAACTAGGCAGCGACGCCTTTATCCGTAACCACTTGCGCCGCCTGTACGACGCCATGCTTGAGCAGAATCTAATCAAGGTTATCGAGCCCTTCAGCCGCGTCGAGATTGCTCACATTGCGAAGATGGTGGGCCTCGACACTCAGCAGGTGGAGCGCAAACTTTCCCAAATGATTCTAGACAAGGTTATCATCGGTGTGCTCGACCAGGGCGCTGGCTGCCTGATTATCTTCGACGAGACGCAGCGCGACGAATCATACGATGCTGCTCTCCAGACCATCGAGAAGTTGAGCAACGTCGTCGATGTGCTCTACACTAACCAAGCTTCTATGCTCGAGTAGTGGGTGACCTATCTACCTAGCTTTGAAGTCGGAGAGGCGAGGGAAAGGAACCCCCCGAGGCGGACGCGCACGACCTTGCAACGAATAGAAGGGAGATGAGATGAGGACGGGGCATGCAGTGGCAGGCATGGTTTGCCCTGCCGTTGTAATATGACTAGATTACCCAGGTACTTACTTACCAGAGGTAGATACAGCAGCAACCAGCCGACGGGGCCTTATCAAAAAGAAATAAAGAAAAAGAAAGATATTAAGCCTCGATCGACGTCAATTGTTAGGACCCTAGACGCCTCCATTATTGTGTTATGTGTGCCATTGCTTTGCTTTGCTGTTTGGGTTCTAGGAGTATATCTATTTGTGTGTGATGTGAATTGTGAATGCTATTTCTTGAATAATGTTGTCGTTGCCTTTTCTACTAGGTAGGTAACCCCTGGCCCCTATCTTTCAGGAGGTAGGTATGAGAGTGTTAAACCACCTTGATTCGATCGATGCCTTTGAACTCCCAGCTAGATCAGATCAGACCACACCAGACCAGCCCGAACCGAACTACAAGATCAACTTGCTTCCTCCCCCCTTCCCCCCCTTATAATCAGACAGACAATATAAATCAACACCCGCCTTTTTTCCCTTCCCATTCTCTTATCATGCAAACGAGGACTTCAACCTCAACCTCCTCCTTGAGAGGAGTAGACACGTACATAAGAGGATCTAGAAGCAGAAACAGGCACATAAGCACATAAGCACATAGGCATGTAGGTCAGGTTAGGTAGGTACCTATCTAACCTACCAATCTTCCAATATTCATCTATCTTGCTTAGCTATTAGCTATTACCTAGCTATGTACCTACCTATTGACCTCAAACCTCGAAACCTCAAACCTTGCCCCCCCCATACTCCCTTTCCCGATAAATGTGTGTTGGCCAAATAGCATAACTAAAGCGCCTGCCTGCCTGCCTGCCTCCCTTCCTTTCGTTCCTTTTGAACCATAAACGCCGGCTATAATACAGCAGCAGCAACAGCAGCAGCAGCAATGAAAAGCAAATAATAACAAAACAAGAAGGAAAAAAAAATGCAAGGAAGTGCATGTATGGTACATAGGTATGCATGATAAATATGTGAGTGAGTACTCGACCCGGGGTGCTCGACCAAGTTGACTGGGAACAAAACGAAATCACGGATAGGTAGTCAGTAGCAGTAGAAGCATACGCTTTGTCCTTGGAAGATGTAGGTAATTCTTCCCAGCTAATTCGTAGTAATAGCAAATGAATTACGTCCCCCTTCTTTCTCAAGTAGCAACGCCGCTTTCCGTCCTCCTAGACCCAGCAGTCTTCCCATTCCTTCTCCTTTCCTCGCCAACGATCAACGCGAAGACCCGTTTTGCCAGGGCCCGCTCGTCCCACCCACCGACTTCGAGCCGGAACGCCTCGACAACCTCCAGGTGCCACGGCTCCAGGACGATACTAGCGCCTTGGGCCGCGACCTCCTTGCCGAGAAGTGAGGCGAGGGGGCGACGGCGGCTGTTAGTTGGGAGAGGGATCTCCTGCTTGAACCGCAAGGGATCGCGCCGGCGGAGTTGAAGCATCTCATCTAGACGAACCCAATGAGGGCGTGTCCATTCGGTTTGTGAGAGGTATGCCGTAGATCGCGATGATAGGGCCCGCTCTGCCCGACGTGCTGCTATTTTAGGCGAGAGTCTTGTAGGGGCGTTGGTAGAGGTAGAGGTAGAGGTAGAGGTAGAGGTAGAGGTAGAGGTAGTAATAGTAGGAGCCGTGTTTGTTTCGTGGTGTGAAGAAATGGGTGGTGGTAACCTCACGGCCGGCCTAATATTTGCAAAACTATTTAATGCTTGTCTCGCACGCGCCCCAATCGTCGTAGCCGCTTCAACGATACTATTGCGACGAGCTGTGGCGTTAGAGAGTTTCGACGTAGACACTACCGTTTCGGTTTCCCGAACTTCGGGAGCAGGGTGAAGGGGCTCAAAGAGAGGAGGGCGATGGAAAACGATGCCACCACCCCTTTGACTACCGGTAATTTGATGTTCGGCCTGAGCTTGCGCCTGTATAGTAGGAGCCTGAGCCTGTGCCTGAATAGGAGAAAGTGGACCGCCAGTAAAAGCCACAACACGTCCGGGTGTGGTCGGTTTTAGTGGAGAACGGAAGCACGACTTGGCTGGCGAGAGTGTCCTATCCCACCGGGATGGCTTTTCCCTCGGAGGCAAGCGCTCATAATCTGTGCCGTCCGTCATGATCGAAGATTCTTGTAGTTCGTCACTTCGGGGTTGAGCATCGGCGTCATCGTGCTGACTACTGGCAACGGATGGTCCACGTCTAAAAAGAGAGTCACCGGATTGACCTGGTAGTGGCGTGAAATTTTGCTTCTGTTCAATAGGTGGATAAACTTGACGCTCAGGGGTTGAAGGTTGAGGCGACGGTTCAGTTGGTTGAGGTGACGGCTCCGCTGGTTCCGGAGAAGCAGGTTCGGGCGAATTAGATGGAGGATATTCTGGGGAATCAGAGTGCTCCGGCTCCGGCTCCGGCTCCGGTGATTCAGGCTCTTCAGGTTCAGAGTATTCCGGCTCTGGCGAATCAGGCTCTTCAGGTTCAGGTGAATAGGATGGGGCTGGCGAAAGTGATGATCCTTCGTCGGACTCTGGCTCCGGGTCATGCGGCGGTAAGTCACCCACCGGTGACAAGACACTGGACCGTCTTTCCGAGCTAGGCGGAGGGTTATTTTGAGCCATGGAAGAAAACAGTCCCGTAGACCAAATAGATCGTTGCGGTTCCTTGGGCTGTGGTGGCGGCGGTGGCGCCTCTTCCAATCTCTTGAGCTGTGGTTGCTGAAGGGTAGATTGTGAGGCCTTGTCGAGATTACGGCTTGTGTTGGCTTGTTTAGTTTCCGTGACCTTCGTAGGTAGCGTGGCTGGGGATGAGAAGAAAGACATGATATCGAACCCGCCAAAAAGCCGGGACTTGGCAGAACCAGGCTTCTTTTGAGTACTGGGGGCTTCCTGGGGCTGTCGAGCTAGCATTGAATACTCGGAAGTTTCCGCAGTTGCAGTTGGCTTTCCCGGAAGATCTACTTGAGATCCTAGATCTAACTGAGACCCCAAATCCTCACTTTCAGGCCCAGGTCCTGGATCGGCTTCGGCTTCGGCTTCGGATCGTGGATCCTGCATATAAGCTTCGGATCTAGGATCCTGGCTATCGAGTAGAATTTCGAGTTCTTCATCTTCAGGTTGAGGAGACGAGCGATCAGCCATGCTCATAAACCCAGATTCCCTTCTCAGTATCATCGAAGCATCCGAAGCCCGTGGCTTGCGGCGTGATGGGGCACCCTCCGCATCGCTTTGCGGGCTCTCCCCAATCTCTATTTGAGAAGGGCTTGCAATATCCTCCCTATAAATCAGTCTCCTGCTAGTTCTTTTCCAGGGACTTGGGACTTTGATTCGGCGAGTGCGTGGGTCCTCTGGCTGCCGCGAGCTTCTTGTTGCGTCCCGTGCTTTGGGGGTTGGCCGTGAAGCCTCGATGTCCCATAGGTCATCATCCTCTTCAAAACTCGGCAACTCATTGTTGTCGTCTGCCTCCATTTCATGTTGCTGCTCTTCTGTCATATCACGTTCTCCGCCGATTTCGAAGTTGGCATCTGGCGCTTGACTGACACTGGAACGGCGAGTACCAAAAAAGCCCGAGTTTTGCGAACGCATCGGCTGCGTATTTGGTATTTGATCCAATTCTTCCTGGCGATTATCGCTATCTGCGGGCCAACTCATCACTTCATTATCACTCGATGGCATTCCTCTGGCCGAACTAGCCACCGATGGATTAAAGGCTGATCGGCTAGCATGGGATGTTTCGCCAGCGTCATAGGACGGTCTTCTCGGTGCTTCAGGTTCCAAACGGCCGTTGATATTTGGGCCAAAGGGATTTGAGACGGCGCCTATGGCATTACTTTGAGCTGTTGGCTGACCACGAGATAAGTTGGATCTCGCACTTTGAATGAGAGTAGGCGGTATTCTGAGTGCGGATCGAGGGTTGAACTGGGTAGGGATACCATGATCTGTTGCTGGCGTGGGTGAGTCAGGCATAGATACTGGTCCAGATTGATCTGAAGTGAATTGTCGCGAAGAATCATTGGCGGCCCCTCTAAATGGGCTCCCGAGACTGCCTTCGCGGGGTTCAGGGGATGGCCTGTCGGACATGACATTCTGAAGAGTCCGCCCAACCCGCACAATTGGCGAGAGAGACGGCCTACTAGTTTGAGGAGGCTCTAAGGATCGGGTTGGTTCTACAGGCCCTTTGCTAGAAGGCGGTAACCGAGGAGAAGAGTCTCGAAGTCCTGGTGTGTTTCTTATCTCTTGGTCTAGTTGAGACGGCCCAAAGTCCATAGCTCGTGGCCGATTGATAATAGGGGGTGATGATTGGAAGCCCGAGTTCGGCGGGGGGGCGGCGGCGGCGGCGGCGGATTGAGGTCTTGAAGATGTGCCGATATCATCTTCTTGAGCCCTTTTAGAGCCAGCGATCGAGGAAGACGTATCATCAGGGGTTGGCAGTCTGTTTGACTCGAAACCCGGTCCGGCGTTCCTACTTTCAGTGCTTGCCTGGCCTTGGGAAGTCTCACCCTCCAGATGCGTTGTCGTACGTGCCGGAGGCCTCGGAGTGGCAGCATCAAGAATCGCCTCAGGTATCTCGGAAAACGAATCTTCATATCCTTCAGCTGCTTCAACATCTTCGTGTTGGGTCTCAGCCTGCCTTGGCATCATAGAAAATCGCTTTGGTGTCGCTGAGCGGAGAGTACTGCCTTGGATGCTGCTCGAAAAAGAATTGTCTCCCTGAGATGCTTTGCCAGCAAAGACTTGGCGGCTCAAAGGGAGTGGTTTCTGTCTTCTTGGACTTTTCGACCGCCTCATTAAACTTGGGTTTGCCAATAAGCTATAGTGTGTTCCCGAGCGACCTTCGTCTGCGTGTGAGTTGTCCCTGTTTAGTTGTCCTGGCGACTGATATTCCCCTTCCGTCTGAGTACTTCTGCGCAATGACTCCAAAGTTTGATTAATAATCATATTCGTCTCATCGCCCATCTCAGGAGGATCGGATGGAAAGGCGCTTCTATTCGCTTGGAACGAGGGGAGTGATTCGACAGCTATCATGCTAAAGTCAGACGCGTGCGTGTCTTGTCCGCTACCAGGTATATTATGATCATCCCCGAAGTCGGACTCTACATCGCTCTGAGGCTCTGGCAATGGTGGATAATCTTCACTCATGCCTAAATCCTGATTGTCGTCCAGCCTGTCTTGGTAAGACGTGCGATCTGCTTCATGTGGGCTAGATATATTCCCTGGCCTCGGGGTCCTATCCCTATCACTGCCCATCTCATCTAGAAAGTTCTCTCTGTTCCCTCTATTCCCGCGAGGCGTGTCTTGTCGGCCTGCCTCCTCCTCGAGGAAGTCGAGGATTGTGTCCGACGCTAATGGTGGCAAGTTCTCCACGTCTTCTTGGACTGACCGAAGAGTGCTAGGATTCGCTATATTGCCAGCAGATTGATCGATCGTATCGGCAAGGATAGCAACCTCATCCGGCATCATGGCTTTTCGTGGGCGCCCACGCTTCCTCTTCGATCCTCCAATAGTAGAAACTTGTGACGATGGAACGGCCTGGGTGGTAGCCGTCTTCTGCGGCGTCTTCCGAGCTCTCGTCTTCGGCTTCGATGCTGCTGGGGCTGCCATAGGCTCTATCGGAGTGTCATTATACGCGCTCGCCTCGGATTCCGGGTCGCCTTTCCGTCGCGTCGACTTCGCTGACTTCTGCAGAGGTGTGCCCGCTCTCTTCTTTCCCTTTGGCATGGGGGTGCCATTGCTCGTCCGTCGCGGCCGGCCGCGTCGACGCGGTGTAGCTTCATTCTCTATCTCATCGTTCAACGGCACCGTGGTGGTGGTGATAGCTTCCGCCTGACGATTCTGCCGTATGGGTGAGGATGATTGAAATAATTTGCGACCTATGCCCCTCCTCAACGCTTCTTCCGCTTCGACAGTAACGAGTATCTTCTGAGGCGAGAGTTCATTGCCGACGTCAAGCTCAAAGGTTCGCTTTCTAGGAGATGTCCTTATGGGTGAGCTCTTTCTCGGCGAGCTTCTCGGCATCGAAAAGTCGTGGTGTGGAAGGGTATGATCGGTTCGGCGTGTGACTGGAAGCGCCGAGCTTGGGGGTTCGTCCCCGAGCGGGTCGGGTGACGATGGTGTGTCATCCATGAACAATCGGGAATTAGCAAAGGGTATATATCAACCATTAACTAAGTATCTACTACTACTAGATAAGTAGCTAAGTGGTCAGTCAATAGATGTGTAAAACAAAGAATGATTAAAAAGTGAGGTTACAGCCGAGGCTAATCATACAATCATGGCATTCAATTGTTGGTGTGCTGTTGATAAGAGACGAAAAGAGGATATAAAGATAGCATGCAACATGCAGACATGCAAATTGATGCAATGCTCACATACCAAGGTACGTACGTATGTTACGCGCCGATAAAAGTGACTTTGGCCTGCCGAACAAAACCTAAAGAAGCAGTTTGTTTACTTTAAGTGGTGCAAAGCCGCAAAGCGTTCACACTAGCGCGACCTGAGTTGGCCTGAGTTGCCTGACAGTTCTGATAGGCCCCGTAAAGCCAAGGCTGATAAGGCTAGGTTCCTCAATGGGAAATCTTCGGTTAAAAAGCGGGAAGCAATGAAGCATTCAAGGAATTTCAAGCATCCATCAAGCAATGCATCCATGTACCCCGCCAAACCACACAGATGACCCATCGGCGGCTCGCATTGAACGCATTCAACCAATCAAAAAAGCTATTTAGCTAGAGTTCTCCCGCCGCTTATTAATACACCCGACGGAGTTTCCGCGACGTCATAACCTACATGTACATATCTGCTTTCAAAGATTATGTAGTACATATATGTACAGTCTCCAAAATCATCATGTACCGCATGTTCAACATTGGTTGGAGTTCGAATTGTCTAGATTCGCCTTAGAAATAGCCACATCGCTTACGTTGCATAAGCCCAAGGTTTGAGCTTGCATAGGTAGTACCTATTCCCCGTCCATCCCATCCCCATCCACCCATATATCAAAGAACTTCTCCTCTCCGGTGTGAGAGAGGTATGGCGTGATTCATGGTATCTATCCGAAGCCTCCCTTGATTTGAAATCGCCTCTGTTTTACATAATATGACTTCTGCTCGTCGTGTAGGTATATATATATATATATATATAGGTAGATACCTGCACTAAGTAGCAAATATCATAACTTCAAACTGCTACCTATCTTATTGTCTACATACCTCTGTACATCAACCTCTGTATATCAAAAACTCATTGCAATCTACATACCTCAAGCCCACCCGTAGTAAACAAACCCACCAAAAATGGCCATCACAGCCTCCCCCGTCCCGCGGGGTCCCGTAACCGCGAACCTAAACTTCACCATCCGGCCCGCGCCCGGCACCGTCGCCTTCAACTACGTCGACACGCCTCCCGCCGGCCAACCGCAGCGCAACCTAGCGCAAGAAGCGCACCCCGTCCGCATCAGCGACATCCGGGGCCGAGAATCAGAATTCACGCTCGACCGGGACGCCTTCCAAGTAATCTCGGGCGTCCTCCCTTCCAAAGAGGAGCAGGTGCAGGAGGGGTCCTCAGCATCCAACTTCACGGACGACGCCTCCATCGCGGCGCACTACTACCCCGAAGTCGAGCAGCTGCTCCTCTCCTCCATCCCAGGCAGCACACGCGTCGTCATCTTCGACCACACCATCCGCCGCGCCGACCCCTCCGCCCCGCGCCGCGCCGTGCAGCTCGCGCACATCGACCAGACGGCGACCTCCGCCGCGCAGCGCGTGCGGCGCCACGTCGCCGACCCCGACGAGGCCGAGGCCCTGCTGCGCGGGCGCTACCGCATCGTCAACGTCTGGCGCACGCTCAACAAGAACCCGGTCGAGTCCATGCCGCTGGCCTTCGGCTCCAGCGCGTCGCTGAGCCAGGATGACGTCATCCCCGTCGAGCACCGCTACCCGAACGGGTACGTCGGCCAGACGGCCGCGATAGCGTATAACCCCAGCCAGCAGTGGTACTATCTCAGCGGGATGACGGGCGACGAGCGCCTGCTGCTGGAGTGCTTCGACAGTGAGAGTCTGAAGGAAGGGAGTGGCGTTGCGGGTGGGAGAGTGCCCCATTCAGCTTTTGAGGACCCTAGGACGAGGGTGGATGCCGAGGGGAGGGAAAGTATCGAGGTCCGAACCTTGGTTTTCGGGCCATAAAAGAAATGATTCGCAATATTGCTAGTCACCTAGTCACATATGTATCATGGGTAGTTTTTGGTTATATCGCGCGGGAGTTGCGCTTGGTATTTGTATCGCTTGCTATTGCAACCCGGAACACCTAAATAGTAGTAATCGTTCCATAATGTACACCTTCCTTTTAACGCCTGTCCCTATTAGGCCAATCCGTACCTATCATAACCCTAAATGCGCCTCTAAGGTCTATGCAATAAATTCACCTGCCCATGCTTCACGCACTCCTCATTTCCATCATGGGGCCTTGAAGCTTCTACCATTTCCGTACCATTGGCGCAACGAAACGCTCTCAAAAAGATGATCACGCTTTACGTTTTCCACGTGCGCTTCCTGATCGACTCATAGCAACACCTCCGAGGCTGCTTTGCCGACTCATCGGAACTCCTACCGCATCCTTAGCCGCAGAAGGGGAGTCTTTAGCTGTTGTCGAAACGTCTTTGGCTGTTCCAGTGTTACCGGTACTCTCTACATCCACAACCGGGGCATCTCTCATGTCGCTATCCTGAATGCCCAGAGATTCGGAGAGTGCTTCGGTAGAGGGTCGTGGGCCCTGTACATACGCCACGTACTTGGATTTGTGCGCTGGCGGCGCCATAGCTTCGAGGAGCTTCCGACCGCCATTGTTGTGATCAAGATTGGATCCGACACCGTGATGGCTCTGGTAAGTTTTATACAGCTTCATGACAGCGAGATCCTTGTCTCGATCAGCCTCGTTCAGCGTTGGTGGAGTGTTGGATTCATCCCTTCTATAAGGTTTTGAATATTGTGAATGAACAAGCGGAGGGAGCTTAGGCTCTGCTCCAGCCACCTTGTCTAGGTTACCGGGCAAATCGAGATGGGCCAATGCTTCCAATCCAGTCGCTTGGTCGTCGTGAAAGTTTTGCTGGCCATGTCCTCGAGTGCTTCGTGTAGTATGCGAAATTTGCCGTTCCATGTTGACAGCAGACGCATCATCGTCGTCCATAGCGTCCCCATTTCCAGTCACACTTTCGTCAGGCGTGATGATATTGCCGTTAGTGTCGCGGCGGAGTAAATGGTGCTTGTGAGCTGCTAGGGCAGCAGCATTGTACGTCATGGCCAGTTCCTTGTCAGTGAACAGCTTCTCGACGCTGTAGACTGGGCCAGTCTCCTTTCGTAAGCCCCTAACCTTATCACTCGACCAGAAAGGTGTAGTATTTGTGTTATCAAGAGCTCCTCTCTTAGGGGCGGGAGATCCTTCGTCATCGACTGCGTTCCGCTTCCTCTTTTTGTTCTCCGAGAAGCCTGGGAGCTCCTCCATTTCTCTTCGCAGTCGGGTATTTCGCTTGCCGTGTGTTCCACCGGGGCTTGCAGGGTTGGTAAGGCTGAACTGATTGGGGTGTAGAAGAAGAGCAGAGCTATCTGAGATATCTAAAGCTTCCTTCTCTTTACCCAATCGGTATTTCTTGGCGGTGATGGCGTTGATGAGACGATCTCGGAGGGTGTTAGACAGAGTTTTGTGTTCTCGTCTCGCCAGGTCAATCTTGTAAAGGCGGGTCTTCTCGAGCACGTGAAGCTTTCTCTCGTACTCCATCTAATACAGGTAGGTAGGTGGATTAGTAAACGAACTCGCTTGCTTCAAAGGCAGGAGGAGATGGGAAAGATCGGGATAGCGCACCTGTTGGCATGTCATCTCGTAATCGCGATGTTCGACAAGGTCTTCTACTTGATGGACCCATTCAGAGAATGTAGGACCTGCCATTTCAAGCAGGCTTCGTTTAGGGCTACCATTACTGGCGGTGCCCGAAGGTTGCAGGGCATTGGCACTCTGCTGGATATCTTGGTATTCGCGATCAATCGCATCGAGAGGTCGGTCGGCGTAAGGATCGACTCGGCTGACGAGGTTCACGTCGATCTGGATTTTTTGGAGCTCGTCACGGTAGTGCTTATCTTTGTCGCGACTGAACTTATCAGCCAGAAGGGCTAATCGGTCATTCAAGACCTGGCGCTTCTTGTCGCGTTTGGTTTGAGGCTGGGGAGATAGCCGGCTAGTTCTACTAGCGGTCGCAACCATAGCTGATGACTGAACGGGGTCGGAGGTAGCCATCGGGAACAGGTGAACGTATGATTATTGTAGACGGTAAGGGTTTGTGGAGTTCGATGAACGATAGAGTTGTTAAATACGAGGAATTTCGGTACAAGATTTCAAGTAGAAGGGTGTTGGACGGTTTGTATCAAAGTTGGTAATTGAAAGTACAAAAAAAGCGGTGGTGAATGGTCGAAATCCAGGATTAGGTTTGCTCCTTGTCTAATCTAGTAGGTAAGTTGGTAGGTTCTGTAGATACCTATGGTTTGATCATGAAGAGGTTGGAGTGAAAGTGGAAGTGGAAGTGGAAGTGGAAGTGAAGTGTGAGTGGAGAAACAGATGGTTGAAAATGAAGACTGTATCAAAAAGAATTTCGTCAGCGGGGTGGTCCAGCTTGCTGATGTATGTATCAAGTGTATATATTTTAAGGTATGGTGTGTTCAATGGGTGATTGTGTTGCGTGGTATTGCGTTGGTAGATATTGGTAGACAGTTGGTAGGATAAAGATTTAATGTGCTAACTTACTGGTGTATGAGAGTGGATGATGGATGAATGGATGTACGGCGTATGCAGACTAGCTAACGCAGACGCAACTTACAAATGACGGGATCGAATCGATAAGGTTGATTTCACTTTAAATAAAAAAAACATCAAATGATACTGTCTGTTGTGTGACTTGACTCTTGCGCCAGCTCAAACTCTGTGATTTCTACAGTAACCTGAGCGACACGTACCTTGGTACCGCCGTACCGGGCCTAATTATGTAGCTGGTCCTGACTACCTCAGTGCTAACTAACTACATTTTAGTGGTAGATCAGCCACCAGGTCCCGTCCCATTCTCCACTTTTCAAAACTTAACAATGGCACACATGCAGTGAATTGATGTTCTTCAGGTTCAGGTACAAGTAACTACATGGTACTCAGCAGTCTCAGCTCCTAGTAGCCTCCTACATATGATAGAACAATGATTCAGCCCTATAAGGAATATTGAAGTTGAAATATCTTTGATATTATTCATTCATAATCATAACGCCACGTTCATCTCGGTATCTACAGCCCTGAGATCATCATACAAGTGCCCAGTCCTTCAACACCATCAAGATCCATGCCGCCAATCCTCCATATTTTCACCAAGCAAAACACCATAGTTTGAAAATCAAAATACCCATCCCCGATGCCATAAGCCCCTGATTTTATCGCCTCCTATCCATCCAGCCACACGGCCTCTAGGTAGGTACAATATGAGATATATTATTAGTAGAGGCTATTACCTCGGTCAGGTCGTCCCTATGTTCCCTTTCTAGGCCATCGACAACAATCAGGGGCATCGTCATGACTTGGAATTTATATTCGAGCAACTAATACACCGGTCATTATTAATACCGTTGCTCTTCTTCCACAAATGCCAAAAAGATGGGTAGTGGGGTGGAGGGGGAATGCACTCACGTCCGAACGATGCATCGTGAGAAAGCCAGTCAGCGAGAGCACTACCAAAGCCAAGAACACCGTTCGTCGTACTAAAACCTTGTGTATTGGGTATAAGGACTCTGCCCTGCTGTCCTCGGAGTTAAATGGCAATGAAAAGGGTATGGGAGAAGGCTTTTTTGGCATGGTGGTCGAGAATATGGGCTTGGATTAGGTAGATCGGACGGATACATGTAGAACAAGAAATAGCTTCTCATTCAGCGAATTACTAAGGTGGGATGATCAAAATATATATACCTAGGTTAGTTAATCAAGGTGTATACCTACCTACCTACCACCTACTTATCTACCTACCTACATAACTTACGACGCCGGACAAGAAGGTTGGGGGAAATGCCGAAGGGAGTCGACATATTTCCTCATGAGACGCGTCTATCCCTGCGTACTTGGCCGAAGCCAAAACCTAAACGGCATCAATCAAGGCCTTGGCTCTTGGTATCAATCATGCAAACACTGAGGTAAACTTATAATCACATATTCTTGGTCAATGCGGTTTTTTATTACTTGGTTTCACGGGAATCGTTATCTGATTCCATGTATGTATTAGTTACAGAGTGAGGCACGGAAATAGATACCCACTCTCCCACCTATCCACAGACCTAATGTCTTTCTCTCCAATCAACCCTGAAACCCACTGGCACCGTCAAGAGATCGGGCACGAATCCGTCACTCGAATTAGGCGGCACATCGTAGAATACAGTAGTAGTCTACACAGTATGTTGTACATTAAACCACCTAGTCAACCCGGAAACCAAGTTTCGAAAAAGAAGATCAAAGTGAGTGTGCCCACCCTCTCAACAGCGAGGACAAATGCCACAAAAGCAGGTTCAACGGTGAGGGAGGGTCGCCGAGTGATCTAGATCCCGATCAGACTCTGAGGCTCATAGATCCCACCTCACGAAAGTCGCTCGGAATCTCCCAACCATGGGCCCTGGCAGCTCTCTCGTACGCCTCCATGGCCTCGCCCAGATCGTACCGCGTCCGGCCAGTATAGTAGAAGCCCGACCCCTTCCCCTCCAGACGAGCGGGGTTGGGGTCGACGCTGCACATCGCCAGACGAACCTGTAGCAGCACGCCTTCCATGCTGTTGCCTGCCGACCAGCCCGTGCTGGTGAGCAGCTCCATGCAGATCGCGCCGCCGGCTGTCACATGGCCGCCGCCGCCGCGTATGAACGGGAGGAAGCGAGGGGTGATCACCCGCACGAACGGGGGCGCCTCGGGGAACCGTCGCGGGAAGCGGATCTCGAGGACGATGCTAGTGAGGCCATAATCCTTCATGTCCTTCGCGAGTGGGAGTTCTGGGTCGAACGAGTGGAACTCGACGATCCACTGGAACATGTTGTCGATCTTTTCAAAGTCGATGTACCAGCCGAGCTGGTGGAGGGGCGTCTTCGATTGCGCCTGCTGGAGCTTCGCAATCTCCTGCCCCAAGGCCCGTTGGGCAGCGCTGGTTGCGTATGAGGGCGGCGCGAACTGTGGGAGGGTCGAAAGATCGAGCGAGCCCGGGCGGAAGTCGGATTTGCTAATGTCAATGTATTTGTTAGATTCATCACCTCTGTCGATTGTCTGTTTGTTTAGTTCATGATCTAAGGGTCCTGCTGGGTCGTCCTGAGCCGAGGGAATGGCATTCTTTGGAATAAATAAGGTGGAAGGGACCCCTTCCACCAGAGGGCCTGTGGCTATGTAAGATGGATGTTGCACAAACTCGGCAACCTGGCCATTGTTTGCATGAATAACCTCATTCTGTTCGGTCTGTGGCTCGGCCTGTGATTCAGTCTGTGGGTTGGTCTGATTCCTATCAGGAAGGAGCTGGACAAAGAGATACCGGCACTGAGTCCAGTGACAATGCTGTACCACGAAGAATGGGTCTTTTGATTGGAGCTTATCCGGAAGATTGACGAGTTCGTTCAAGCTCATGGCAGTGATAGCCTTTAACGAAGATTGAGGCCATATCATCGACTAGAAATCATGTTAGCATAGCGCTGTGGTACCTGTTTAGGAACGAACTACTCACTTCCATTATCGCACTTCGCTGTGTATATTTGAGACTGACATCGAAGTCTCTGGACAAATATATCCCGTCGCCATAGGTTCGGCCGTTGGCTACTTCTTCGTAGTCCAAGCCCTGGCGGATAATATTATGCCAGTTGTCGAGAGGACTTCCGTGCCACCCAAGGAGAGTCTTCGGTTGTTCGGTGATGCCTTCGAGTGCCTCGTTAAAAAGCACCTCCTTTGCGGGAGATCCTTGGGCAAATCTGAACTGGGCCCATCCATCTACACCAGAGATCTTCTCGTGTGGGCGAGAGGTTTCAGTGCCCGGTTTCCCATTATCCACTTCTACGATGTATGATCGATTCGAGGCTATGATCCACCTCAGCAAATCCAGACCCGATTTACTTATCCGGTCCCATTCCGACAACGACTGAAGCTTGTTTTCCATCAAGTAAGCCTTCATCTCTTCCACCGGTGGCAAGCTTCCGAGGAGACATGCTAAGGAGAAGGCCTTATTGTACCTGTTGAGGTTATTAAAATCCTGTTCGCAACGAACAAGGAGGGCCGGTACGGGATCAGGTGTTATTTCCTTCAAAGTTTGACCATCAATTAGACCATGCCTTGCTGTGGTGGTAGGCATCAGATGTCGTGACTGAAGATCCAAGTGCAGAACCATTCCCTTCTTGAAAACAACGCGAGCATGGTGGAACACTGTGGATGCCCCGCCCCAGCTCTCGTCCATAGTTTTTGCCACGATCATTACCCATTGGCCTTTCTTTGGGCGTTGGCCCTCACTACCCAAGTTAATTGTAGCTGTAGACGAGTTCCAGCTGAACGATACATCCAGGGGATTTATTAGCGTTGCTCCACGGAACAACACAAGACGAGAATCACTTTTTCCTGGCTTAGAATCACTTTTTCCTGGCTTAGAAACCTTTTCATAATAAGGTATGAAAGCTGGTCCGATGCGCACTTGAGGTGTTTGCAAGTTTAACCCCATAGGAAACTCTCGCACACCACGTATTTTACGGCTGTTACCATAAAAGGCGGGTATCAAAGGTGAGACAAGAGCAGCATAACAGAAGCTTATCAAGAGATCAACCACCTTGGGTTGTTGTACAATCTCATACTCTATGCTCGGGCCGAGACCCAAGTCAATGAATTGGTGGAGACATAGGGCTGAGCTGCAAACGTATGGTCGCAAGGCCCCGGTGCTGCTTTCCACCTTTCGGTGACAGACCGCGCAGTACTCAGGAGAGGATATTAGGTAGTACAAGGCGAACTGTGCCGCCACAAGTGGCAGCGATTTCTCCCCCTTGTCTGAAAGGTGATCGGCGACAAGAAAAGGGGGTATCCGAGTCTTGTTAAGACTATGGCCTGCGGTTCTCTCCGCCTTTGCCATTTCTTCGCGGGAAATCCGGTCCTCGGAATTCGGGGCAGCATTTATTGAATGAAACATCGTCCTTGCCGAGTCCCAGGACAAGCCATTACCGATTCGTTGCTTCAGCATTCCGAAGAAGTCGGCATTCATGAACTCATCAATCGACTTGCTAATCCAAAGGCGTGATAGCTCGGGTGCGTGCGGTAATTCGATGTTATCTTCAGTCCTGTTGGGGCAGAAGGCTGCTACAGCATCTTCAACGGATGGTATGTTTTTGGTGCACTTTCTAAGGCGGAAATGTATTCCGAGGTAGTTCTCCGGCCAGGTGGCGAGTGCCTCTTCCATAGAGAAGTACCGTCGTTCATATTTGACCAGAACAACAATATAGTCAGTCGGTGTAATGCCCCATGCTTCTTGGGACTCCTTGGGGAGACCTAACTTGCTTGCACAAATAGAAATCGACAGAATGTGTTGGTCTTCCCCATCCGTAAAACCACACACTATTCCTACATTGAACCCTGCCTGAGATGCAGCACGAAGATCATTTTGAATTCGGCATAGTTCCAAGGACGACAAATTCGCCATGGAGTGAGAATCAATCGTATCCTTGGAAGCTATTCTCACGCTGAACGATTTGTCATTGTTGCGGTAGGGATCAGCCATGACCAATTCGTCTGCATAATTTACCGCTTCTTCTATTCCTGTGCCATCGTTCAACAGCGCACGATGGATCACTTTTGAGAGGGCTGCTATTATTCTCTCAACATTCATGCCCTTCATAAAGGGAGATGCACTTAGCACATGTGCTACTGGATCATCTATTTGGTCGTTTGTGTAAACAAGAGGGACGTGTCGATGGGGATATAATTCAACGTCTATAATTTCCCTCACCATTAGTTTGCTATAATCAATACGGGGATCAGGTCAAGGCAAGAGACAGAGACGTCATAGACATCATATTGGCCAATATAACATTGGAAGGAATATGCTAATAATACTAACTTTGAACATGAACGCGTATCTCGTAAGAGAGACCCGTCTCTACGTTCGGGTAGCTGAGTGAAAAGATGAACTCGTCATCAGTATCTCCCTTCTGGACATTTGAGACGTGATCAAAGGCCTTCTCGGCTGCTGATTTCAGGTCTTCTCTAAATCGAGACCGTGCCTTTGAAACACCCATGTTGATTCCGGATGTGTCTTCTCCGTTACTTGAGACTGAAGGAGTGCGGACTAATTTACCAGTCAGTATTGGTACCCAAGTAATAATATTCCAAGCTGGTGTCTTGGTTACAAATAACGAAGGAAAGTTTATATCATAGTATGATGATTGGGTCAAGTGTACGACATGTTCTAGACAACATTCTAGCATTGAAAGAAACTACCGCAGCGTGATCTCTGAGATGTATGTATAATGATACAATACATCGTCAAAGAAAGATAATAAAAAATAAAAAATTGGAATGATGGAAATAGAGCAAATACAAAAGAAAACAGCACAAACATGAATAGAAATAAACATACCAGGGTAGTAGCATTAGATTCAACAGTGGCCTTGTAGACAAGTAATTCAGGTAGGTAAACGAATAAGTGAAGAACTGGTAGCCGCCGGTTTGAGTTATGTTATGTGTTGAAGTATGATCTTAGAAAGTATGATCATGTAACGAGACAAGATGAACTTATACGGTTAATGGTGTTAGTGATTCAATGTTACGGCGAAGGGTAATCTTCTAGTTTGTTGATGTTAGTTCCTGGGTAAGGTAGGAAGGAAGTGGGTTATTTGAAAGCTGAAAAGGTCAAGGGTGGGTTGGATGAGAGGCGGCGAGATTTGTAGTTGTAAGATTTCCGTAATTCAATGTTGATGTATCCAACGATACAGGTATCAAGTGTACCTAGTAGGTATTCTAGGTACCTATTGACCTACCGCATGGCAGACTTACCAGCACAGATGGATAGATACATTTACATATGTACATAGTGCGAGGTAAGACTCCTGCATTAGGTCCAAGGAAGCATCGATATCGAATGCAGTCAAGTTTCAATACTCATAAATACAATTTAGGTTAGGGAGATTTCGCCGAAGCCACTGGTTCGACGGTAGGCAACATTGAACAGCCTTATAATGTATGTACATCCCACCTACATATATACATACTACTAGGTAAATGTAGGCACCTGCATGTGTGCAGTAAAGAGAGGTACGACTTGATGTACCCAGGTGCATGAATGGCCTTAACAGCCTCCCTGCTGTAGGGGGTATCCTCAAATGCTTATCTTTAAGGAGACATAAGACCTAAGGTAGGTAGCTAAGAATTGAAACTTGAAAGGTTCAAAGTTGTAGGGTGCTACCTTCTATGTTCAAGTAGGTATGTTGGGTATGTATGTTGTTAGAAGTTAAGTCATCCAAGCTGTTGGACGATAGATGTAGATGAGGGATGTAGATGAGGGATGCATGTAGATGAGGCTCAGGTGCGGGTCAACATTGAATGCACGCTGACGTGCGTACCAAGGTACCTGACTTTGAGTGCCTACATGAGGCTACATCATGTACTAATGTACATATTTAGTTAACTACTACCTAGTAATCCTAGCATCGCATCTCAGGGCGGGATTTGTGGATTCATACGCTAGTGGAGTATGCGGGGTTGGTAGCTCAAGTGTGCCCAGGTGGGATTAATAAATTTACGCGACAAGGACATCTCAAATCTACCTGGTACAACCCTAACCTACATATAGGTAGGTCAATTCAATGTTGTCAACATATGTACCTAACCTAGTACTATGCACTTTTTCATATCATCAACTCTAGTCTCTAGCACATAACCCCTACACAACCTCAAGCAAACGATCCCGAAACTTCCAAGCATTCACCTCAATCTCCAGTCCGCTAACTATTTCGATCGACATATCTGCTACCATGTCTTGGGACTCCAAGTCCACTGTTAGGCGGCGTCAGAATAGCACGGCAAGCTCTTCTAGAGCATTACCTCTCCATATGCGAAAGCAGTCAAAACTACCACCACAACCTCGTTCCCCTCACGTTACCGACCCATTTCTACAGAGCTTTCTTGCTCCGTCATTTGACCCCACCGAATACCTCAATTCAACACTTCCACCGCTTCAGACTTCAACACATTCCTCCTCAGCTCCATTGGCAGATCTGTCTGCTCACGCTCAGACCCAGATTTCTCTACTGAATGCCCACACAACAAGGCTAATTGGTACGCTTATTCAATTGACGGATGATATATTACGAAGTGGGAGCCGTCTAGCATACGAGGTCGAACTACTACGCGGCGAAACCCTAAGTTTATCGGAGACCCTATCGGATGGTTTACACGAAGACGTTGCCAAGTTCATCCCGAATGGTATACAGGAGACCAGAGAGACCAGGGCGGCCGGAGCCAGTCAAGCTAGTCACAGACGTGCATCAGAGCCGACACCTCCCACGAACCTAGACTCCATTCCACAGGATGGCAACGACCAAGATCCCTTGTATATAACCCAATTACAAACCCTAACCTTGGTACGCTCGCGACTCGATACCGTTGTCAAGACCTTTGGTGAAGCTATGGAATTTGTGTTTCCGCCCTCCGAGCTCTCGGTAAGCTCATCATTCCTATCTGTCTCAGCGCCAGAGCCTGGGGTAGAAGCACATAGTACGGAAGAGAAAGGACAGCAAGTGTTGAAGAAACTTAAAGATGAGATCTCGGGCTTGCTCGCCAAAGACAGCGATCCGGTGGAAGGGATCGAAAAGGCAGCTCGTCGTATAGAAGAGCTAAAGGAGTTGACGAAGGTGTGGAAGGGAACGGCGGAAGAGAAAGGAAGGACAAAATTCATTGATAGCCTGGCTAAAATGGTTGAGGATCGGCATAAGGAGCTATTGCGGGAGATGGAACAGGCCGGACGTCGGGATGGGAAAACAGACTTGGATAGTAATGCTAGGAAAGCTGCCACCAACTCGAATGAAGGAGGTACGGAGAACAAACCACTATATGGCTTAATGAGCCAGTTACAGAGGCTCCGGGCGGGCCTATAATGATTCAACCGACCTGAAATCCAAACTTATAGGAGTTCTTTGACTGTGATTTGTATAGTGAAATGTATGTGTCATATGTGCCAAACGACTGACCAGGTGGCTTTTCGATAGTATGGCCAACCCAACTTAAACACTCTAATCTGATTTCAAAAAAAAAAAAGGGGCAAATGTTTCCCAAATTCATATAATGAATTGCTAATATTATATCACGATTCTAGTTTGGTTGCAAGGAGTTAAGGTTAAGACCAGATGTATGAGAACACAGTTGTGCTCTCTTCTACGTATGTAGCTTATGTAGCTCTCATGAATCAGCCAATTATGGTATATGACATTGCAAGTAGAGCACAAGTGTGCCTTGGTCAATATGCATAGTAAAGAAGGAAAGAAAAAAAAAGATATATTGATCGTAATGGTATGGTGATATTATAGCTGCCAGTTAAGAGCTACACTATCTACCTACCAAAACCACAACTGTGTTGAGACCTCTTTCCTGCTCCTGTAAAGACGAGCACTCGCTTCAGTGGTGTGCTCTAGCCCATTGATACGATGGATAGCCACTGCGTTTACATGCAACAGGTTGTGACAATGGAGGAAAGGGCGGGACTATAAATTCGAGGAGCGGTGAGGAACAAGGGAAAGTATCTTGGTTATGTTGAAAGTCACAACCCAAAATCCCGAAACGGCTTTACGCGCACAATCTCTCAATGCCCACGATATCTTACCCGTCAGCTACGGTGTCTGACGGCAACAGGTCAGCTGTGCCCCTATTCAGAATTACCAATCTTAGGGCGCGGGCATGTTTGTAAATATGGATATAATGATATCGAATTCTGACGTGATAAAATAGAACACTGCCGACGACGTATCCATCATATACTCTGGAAACATATCTACAGAGTCCACCGACATCTGTACCTGTGACTGAGCGACTGATCGCCAATCAGAAGCCGGAGACCCTACAATATCGCAAGGAACAGACAAAGACGGAACTTGACTCGTGGAGTTACAATTTTGAGAGGGCTGCAAAACCAAGAGACTAGGTTAGAGAAATCAAAGAAGGTTGAATAGTTAGCACGAAACTTAGAAGGAGTTCAATGTTGTTCAAGCTGGTATTTTGATATTAAACAGCACTACTTCGTACTACTAGTAGTACAGCACCTAGACATGTTTGGTGTAAGAGCCTAAGAGGTTAATTTAGGGACTTGTTTAGGGACTTGTTTAGGGACTTGGGATCATCGGAATGGCACTAAGGAGAGATAAAGTTATGTTAGTGGTGCACAGACCACCATACGTTTGTACCTCTAGACCCCACATGCGAACAACATTGAAGAAAGCATCGCATCTAAAACTTATAAAACTTATAAAACTTACAATTTTTTGAACAAGCAATTTTTATCCTTCATTTATTAACCCTCACTGAACACTGCATTCTCATTTTAAAATCCATTATTCTATTATTTAATTCTATCATTTAACCCATCACAGATATTCACATCTCATCATGAAGATCTTGGAAGCTCAGTCGGCTGTAATGACTAATGTCGAAGTTTACGCCTTCCTGAGCAACCAAGCCAAGCAATATGAAGAGCAGAAGCGCAAGGGCCCTGCAAACCTAGAGACACTACGTAAGGAGGTAAGACGTGACTTTCTTTTTTGTTTTTGTCTTTATTCTTCTCTTTATTTTTGTTATCAGGTACATAATGTAATGAAATGCTAAATTCAAGCACAGGTGTTGCAATATTTCGAAGCACCGCCAGGCCCTTTGAGTCAAAAGCCCCTGCCTTTTGATTCTTCGGCGATCCCTACACTGATCCAGAAACTGCACCCTTACCAGATCACCAAGGGTGAATGCATCATGATCTTGAATCTGCGGCCAACTAACACCCCGATCCTCAACGCTGTTATCGAGGATATGGAAGACCGCTTCAGCGCCGAGCAGCAGCAGGAGATCCTTGATATCATCACCGAGATTCTTGGACAATTTCCCCAGGAGCCCGAAGAAGAAGCTGCCGAAGAAACATGACGAAACAGATTTGATGGAGAAAAATCTGGCTAATTTATTTGACATGGTGCTTCTTGGTGAACCAAGTATTCTCGAAAAGGAAGAGAATAATTTGCCTGAATTTATGGTATATATAACGCCAATGTCTCGAATGTCTATAGGATCACGCACCCGCCTTCAGTTTGCCCGCCATCGGGAGTCGCCGTCTTTACGGCGACATCACATATCTCCTCAAAGGCCAGCTTCAGGAGCTCGCCCGTGACAGCGGAGCACTCGACATACTTGTCCACCCTCATCTCTTGGGACACATTATACGCTTCTTGAGGGTATATGATTCCATTTGGATCGCTCTCGGATCTCAAGTCCCTCTTAAGACCGACGACTATCAGTGGGATGCGGTCACTAGCCTGGAAAGTGGCATGGACCTGCTTGATCCACTGAGAAATAGAATATTAGACGGATGAAGGTCTTCTGCTTTAACGTGAGGGGAATTCGATGCTTACGAGTCTTTGCATATTGACGAGGCTTGATCTTTGGCTGATGTCGTAGCAAATAAGAATCAAGTCGGGTTCGAGCAATCGCCAGTCTTCTGGAGAAGACGTATCATAGAATTCAATACGATACCCACGCCTCCTATTCCGTATTTCAAAAACGAAGGGCTGGTCTATGTCTCGTAGCAAGGTGATGGAGCCATGGCCTTCGAGGTTATTGCTACCTCTACTGATCCGCCTAAGCTGGTCATTAGTAAAGGACGTAAAGGACTAGGTTACCATTGTATATATATTTAAATGGCTATCAAGTTTACGTACGATAAAAATGTTGTTTTCCCTACTTCCTCATCCCCAATGAGAAGGACCTTCACTGCAATATCCTCCATTAAAAATTATGGCTAGATGTATTTGGTGTTTATTTCATTCACATGGTACATGCATGAGGTTGATTTAAGAGCGTGATGTGATGGAATAAGGGAACTTTCCAAGGCTTACACACTCATAAAACCGCCTAAATTCAATGTGCTAGGCTCGATTTATGGCGGTTTTTACTATCGATAAGACCTTGTAGCATCTCATCCGCCTACCAGTCACCCCAGTTAGGTTATTTTATAGCACATGTTTTATAGCACATACAGTGTTAGCCAGCAATCACTAATAAAATTTGAAAGGATTTTATACAAAATAAAAAAAGAAAAAAAAAAAAGAAAAAGAAAAAGCCTCGAGGCATAACTTGATGAGAGGGGATGAATGAAACTCCCCGTCAACAGCTGTTATAGCCTTCGCCTCCCCAGATCACCAGGTTTCATTTCCGCAGTTTTCTCTCGGGAGGCCCGATGTAGATTTTCCATAGGACTCACCAGGCTTAAGAGCAAGATGGACAACAAGAAGTCCGTATACGAGAGGTACACCAAGGAGGCGCTCATCAAGCGCATACAAAAGTTGGAGACCCAACTCCAGCACGAACAACGGCATCAGGTATCCCAAGAGGAGGAGGAAGGGGAGGGGGAGGGGAAGAGCGGCAGTAGCACCCCTGCGATCGCCTCCACTCCCTCCAGCCCGCCGAGGAAGAAGAGGGAGGAGCGCAGGATCGACCCGGCCAAGTACTCGACGCGCCTCGTCGCCTTCAAGCTCGCCTACCTCGGCAAGCGGTACGGCGGCTTCGAGTTTGCCGCCCACGCCAGCCTGCCGACTATCGAGGAGGAGCTCTGGAAGGCCTTCTGCAAGGCCTGCCTAATCTTCCCCGAGAACCCCGACGTGGTTAATTTTGATCCGTGGGAGTACTCCAAGTGCGGGCGCACGGATCGCGGCGTCAGTGCCTTCGGCCAGGTCATCGCGATCCGGGTAAGGAGTAACCGGCCTCTTGCGCCCACGAAGCCCAAGGCAGAAACAGAAAATGCGCCGGGAGACGAAAATGATGGAGGAGAGGTAAATGAGGAGGAGGAGAAGGAACCGCGCGAATTCAACGACTTCTCAGACGAGCTGCCGTACTGCAAAATCCTGAACCGGCTCCTCCCACACGACATCAAGATCCTCGCGTGGTGTCCGACGACGCCGGAGGAGTTCTCCGCGCGCTACGACTGTCGCGAGCGGCAGTACCGGTACTTCTTCACGCAGCCGGCCTTCACGCCCCTGCCGCAGAGTCTCGAGAACCCTACTTTGGCTGCTTCCACCACGAACGTAAAGGGGGGCTGGCTGGACATCGAGGCGATGCGGCGCGCGGCCAAGAAGTTCGAGGGCACGCACGACTTCCGCAACTTCTGCCGCGTCGACCCCTGCAAGCTCAACATCAACTTCGAGCGCAAGATGTTCGAGTGCGACGTCGTCGAGGTCGAGGACGCCTCCACCGCGCTGCCGTTCCTCGGCCACGACGAGTTCCGCCCCCCCTCAGAATCCGAGGCAGCGCCGGAGGAGAAGTCGCCATCGCCCAAGATCTACTACCTCCACGTGCGCGGCACCGCCTTCCTCTGGCACCAGATCCGGTGCATGGTGGCCGTCATCTTCCTCGTCGGGCAGGGCCTCGAGCCCCCCTCCATCGTCGACCGCCTCCTCGACCCGGCCCTCGAGCCCCGGCGCCCCAACTACCAGCTCGCCGACGAGTACCCCCTCGTCCTCTGGGACTGCCTCTTCCCGCGCCCCAGCAACCCCGCCCACGCCGTCCCCTGGTCCTACGTCGGCGAGGAGAACCCGCTCAACCAGCACGGCGCGATGGGCCTCCTCGCGCACACCTGGGAGCTCTGGCGCCAGCGCAAGCTCGACGAGCTGCTCGCGGCCCAGCTGCTGGACGTCGTCGCGGCCCAGGCGGACGTCACGCTGAGGCGGGACGCGAGGGCGCCGCCGTACATACCGGCTACGGTAAGGGTGTTCGAGGGCGGGAACAGGGAGAGGTTGGTGGGCAAGTACCCGCCGCTGCTGAAGAGGCCGAGGCTGCCGTCGCCGCTGGAGGTGTTCGACCGCGAGGCGAGGAGGAAGGGGTACAAGGATGCCGCGGACATGCGGGAGGCGCTGGTTAGGAAGAAGGAGGAGGCTGCGGCGGCGGCGGCGGAGGGGTTGGGGAAAGCGTCGCGAAATGAAGGAGAGGAGTTGGAGGGACGAGAAAAAGAAAATGGAAAGGAGGAGGTTGAATAGATGGATACCTGTAGGTTAGATGGATAGAGCAACGAATGAACGAATACATAAATACGAATCAAAAGCTTCTAATGCAGTGTTTTTAATGCAATTCGCTGTATTCGCTGTACTATAGGCAAATACTGGGTATCATGACATGTATATAACTCCACGCCTGTTTTGTAGCTCTATAGCATCCCATACCGTATCGTAACCATTAACCATTAACCAGTAAGCCACGCCCATATCCATATCCATTAGTACCTACTTACAACCTAGGTAGGTATACACCAACACCAACCTAAGCAAAAATCCGCCGAGTCCCACCACTCAACCTCGGAATATCAATCCTGTTCCACGGCGCCGAGCTCCTGACCAAGCTTTCCTAAACCTTCTCCTTCCCCTCCTTCTCCAACACCGCCACCGCCGCCCTCTCCATCTTCATCTTCATCTTCATCCTCCCCCCCAGTTCCTTCCCACCCTCGTTCTCATACAAGCACTCCCTGACCCCCTTCCACACCTTCTCCAGTATCCGGGGGGGCGGGAGTATCCTGGGGAAAACGACGACGAGCGCGTCCTCGCCGTCGACGGCGACGGCGAGGTAGTCGCGGGCGCGGAAGCCGCGGAAGGCCTCGTTCAGCAGCACGTCCTGGATCTGGTAGGTGGGGATGAAGCGCGTCTGCAGCGGCGACAGCACCGTCGCGCCGCTCGAGCTCGTCTGGATCCCCAGCCCGCGCAGCACGAGGACGCGCTCTTCGATGCCGACGCGCTGGGAGAGGAGGTAGAGCAGGGACAGCGAGATCGGGGCTAGTAGCCAGGGCGGGAGGGAGGCGCCGAGGGTGGCGAAGGGGTGGCCGAGGGGCCGTGAGGAGAGCAGCGCGTGCAGGTGGTCTTGGATGAAGGTGAGGAGGGTGGCGGGGGAGTTGATGTTGATGCGGGTGTGAAACGGGGGAGGAGGAGTAGTGGGAGCGGAAGAGCCGCCGCTGCCAAAGGCGAATTCGGCTGGTGGAGGAGGGGTGGTGAAGTCGTAACGGGTCGAGGTGTACGGGCTCTGGGCCCAGGCGGAGTATAAGAGGAGGAGCAGGGCGAGGGCGAGCACGAGGCGCAGGAGGTAGATGGCGGCGAGGGCGATGCGCAGGGGTAGCGTTAAGGTCGGGAGGGTCGAGACGATGAACTCGGCGGTGGTGGGGGAGGGGCGCCGGATGCGCAGGTAGGGCGCTGTTGTTAACATTGTCGGATAATTGGTTATTTTGTTTTGTCTTAGACTCGGTTGTTGAAGCTATTCATGAGTATGTACTAAGTAGGCAGATACCTATGTAGTAAGTAGTGTGTAAAGTGAGATATATATGTAGTGATAGTGGTGCGTTAAGAGTAGAAATGCTTCTGCACAGATCATATCTGGATTGCTTATTGTGTCACCATCACGGCCACAATAACATTCACAATAACATTAAGCGTCATGTTAAGAAAGTATCATGATTGTTCTTGCTATGGAAGTTTATTGAGAGTCAAAGCTTCAAGATAATAATTGAAGATATGCTCTGTATGTAACCATGTATATCTCCGACTGCCGATAACTGCAGCACTAGCTATCACTCCCGGAGTTTACCCCCTGGTGTACCTTATAGATTATAATTGCAGCAAAAATCTTCGACTGTAATGGTCTTTCGGGTGAAGGCGCTTAAAATTCTCCTTCCGCTAATCCCAATTCCATCAGAACCCCTGGGCCGCGCCCACTGCAAATGCTGCGGTGACCTACCTATCCGCTTGGGTAACCAGTGTTGATTAGGTGGTCCTAGGAAATGGAGAGTACACTTCAGGGAGGCTTCACTCTGCAGAGGATCTCCCCCGTCGCATGGTGTGGTGGAAGACGTTGGCCTGGGGACTTGGGATAGTGGATGGAGATAGAGACTGCCGACATCTCTTTTTTGCCTTTTTTTTTTTTCCTCCTTTAATTATTTCTTAATATTATCACGATTCTTTTGCTTCTGCTTCTATTTCATTTGGTTCTATTTTTGAGGTTACAGGTGCTGTAAAAAATGATTTATGTTGGTTTTCGAACCCAAGCACTCCAGAGTACTGTTTCACGATGGTACCAATTCTACGTACTGCTTACTTACATAGAACTGCAACACAACAAACATTCCACCAAGTATTTAAACACTCAGAACAATGAATCAGAATTTCAGTTAACATACAAGAAACACAACAAAGCTAGGTGTATATAACAGACTATCAAAACTATCAGATTCAAGCATTCCATCGCTTGACCCCTTAAAACTGCCTCGGTACCTACCAACAATCATAGTAGGTAGGTAAAGAAGCGAAGAGCCATCCAAGTTGCCGTGAGGCAGCGTCGTTCTTGTTATCCAGACGGGGACTCTTTTTTTTTTCATTCATTCAATTTCCCCTCCTCATCCAGAACAGAACAAGTAGACAAGCCAGCTTTCATCCCTCCTTGCCTTCTCTCCCCTTTCTCAACAATGTTAATAAGCCATTTGTGTTCTTGCTATAACCCCCACCCACTCCCACCCTTTTGACCAAAATGTGTCGTCGTCAATCGTCATTATCATTCAACACACACAAAAAAAAAGCAAGGTACTGTAGATATACCAATCTCATTCTCTGTACATAATAGCTCAATCCATCCAATGGAGGGAAAATTCGATGCATGATTTCAATCCTTCCTCCTCCTCCTCCAACGATAAGGTTACCCTTCATATGTCTCTTTCTTCCAAGTCAAAAAAAAAATAAAAAATAGAAAGAGGCAGTTAAAATCAGAAGAAGAAGAAGAAGAAAAGGGGGGAGTACGGTCATAAATCGTAATGCAATTCAATGTGTCTCCAACGATGCTTGCGCAACGTTTCTGAAGTATTTTGGGAGGTAGACGGGTATTGACGATCTTCTTTTTTTTTTCCATGGCCAAAACAACAACAACAACGGACAACACAAAAATACACGCCTCGGGTTTGAAGCATGTCGGTATAGAAGAGAGAAGTAGAAGTTACAATATGATGATGCATGATATCAGAAGTAGAAGTAAAGGTAGAAGTAGTAGAAGAAGATAGAAAGTAGGTAAGTAAGTAAGTGGTCGCTTTGAGGTATCATTGTTGTCAAATTCTTCGTTGCCCCGTTAAGATCTTCCCATTAGGTAGGTAGGTAGGTAGAAAAACCCCTTCCTTTTCCTTCCTTCCTTCCTTCCCCCTTTTCCCTCTCACTTCGAAAAATAATAATAATACTAGGTAGGTAGATTGTTGCATACATAAAATAATGGCGGGAGTTTGAAAAGTTAAGATAGAAAATGTGGTATCAAAAATGTGGAAGAGTAAAAGATAGATAGATGGATGATTTAAATTTTTTAAAAAAAACGCCGGCGCCATGCAAAAGCCGATGCTGGAATGCAAAGAAGAATACAAGGATATACGTTTTTCGTTTTGTATATAGTCGACATTCGAGAATGCATGCATGGTGGGTGGGTAAGAAAGATAGAAATGTTTTATGAGATAGATGGTGTTAGATCATCTCGCTTGCGTGGAGCCCGCTACCAAACTCGCGCTCTCGCTCCCTGTACGCAGCTCGAACCTCGCGTGGGTGACGCTCGACGTTGTCTCGTGGCTGCTGGCTGACGGGAGACACGTAGCCGTTGCCGCCCATGGCCATGGGGGGCATCACGCTCTCGTAGGGAACGTTGGTGGTGTCCGGCGACTTGGTTCGGTTGCCCAGGATGGAGTTGGTTCGGCCACGGCTGGCAGATCGCATCCTTTCGGTTGCGCGGCTGATTCGCCCAGCGAGGCTGTTGTCCGTGAAGCTTCTACCGCGGTTGTGGCCATTCCGGGACGATGGAGGTGACACCGGAGACGTAACCCGGATGAGTTCGGGAGTGGGCTCAGGGACCGATACCGGGGCCAACACCGGAGCTGGAGCAGCGGCATTCTGGTCATCTTCATCCATGACGATTTCGATGGTGCCGGACCCCGCTTGCTGAACGTTGGTGTACACCGTAGGTCTCAAGCCAGGAATAGGAGCTGGAGGCGGGGGCGGAGGAATAGCCAAGTGCTGGAGTTCTTTCAAGACCGGTGGGGGCGGAGGAGGAGGGGGGATTTGGTCGTCTCGAGAAGCCCTCCTCGAATGCATGGCGGGCCCCATCGTCTCCTGGATACCAGGCAAGCCTGCATTGGCATCCACGCTCATCTTCCTTGTCGAGATAGACCCTCTTCGGGGCGGCTGGTAACCTGCTTGCATTCCTTGTTGTTGTGAGCGAGACTTAGAAGGATGGGGCTCCTCTGGAATGGGAGCAGACATACATCTCGGTATGTTAGGCCGAGCAGGAGGAGAGTAGACGGTCGAAGGAAGAAGCGTTAATAGCGATCCCTCTTGCTCCGGCGACTTAGGCTCGGATTTAGTAGGTGACTTGGTAGGTGAGGTGCTGCTGGGTCGCTTAGGTGACGACTGTGCAGAGCTCGGAGGCGATGTCTTGTAAGCGTTGGGAATAGGTGGCACGCTGGGCTTGCTCCCGTCAAATTGGAGACGCATCGCCTTGGGCGTCGCTGGCAGGCCAATCATGGGCGCGGTTTGGCTACGCGAGTGAGAAGACCTGTGAGGGTCGGCAGTGTGGCTTCTGGCGGGAAGATCCCTTGAAGGAAGGAAGGTTGTTTGAGGCAACTCAAAGGCGCTCGGTGAGCGACCGACGATAGGAGATAGTTCATCCGGATGGGGAATTGCAGGTGCTGAAGGACGACGTGCTAGCGACTTGCGGCGCTCCTCTAATTCGCGAGCTGCGGCCTCCTTCTTCGCCTGCCTTTCGGCAGAGATAAGCTTGAGGTCTCCGGCCCGCGACGCACTTGATGGCACTTGCAGCTGCAACTTTGGCGTTGACTGAACTAATACCGCCGGCGGTTCTTGCTCTCCAGGCGTTTTATTTCTCCTGCGACGACTTTCGGATCGATCCCTGGCTCGGGAGACAGCTGGGGATGAGGGATCCTTCTGGCTGCCACTGCGGTTGTGTCGGCTCCTAAAGAGTTCCTTTGCTGCGAGTGCAGCTTGATAATCTTCTTCGTCATCCGATGGATAAAAGTTCATAGGAGCTGACATGGGCAACGGTGATGAGGGCGATCTCATCACAGAACCACCACCGCGGCTACTACTTCTTCCCCGGAGATCTAGTGCTGGCGGTCGCCGTTCCACACTTCTCTGGCGTCCAGTACGGCTCGAAGCACGGCTAGCCGCGCGGGTGCTCCTGGGTGGCGAAGTCCGTCGAACTTGGCTGGACTTTCGAACAGTGGCTGGCTCCCCGGACTCGAACTCACCCGATGCTGCTCCCTCACTATCCATCGATTCAGACTGCTTTGGGGTGCTTAGATTGATAAGATCTTCAGGGGACATTGGCACGGGAGAGGTGGGTGAACGTTTGGCAGGCTGGGTCTGCCAGTTTCGAGCAGCCCCCCTACCCCTGTCCTCTGAGAACTCTCGGGGGGTACCCTTGCGACTACGGCTTCTTTCACGGCTTCGACCATGTCTATCATCCTGGCGTTGTCGGCTAGTTTCACGGCTTCGCTGCTTCCTACTGGAATATGATGACGCGGTATCCAAGCTATGAATATGCTCATGCAGGCTACGGCCTCCGTGAACTGGGGTGCCCGTCCGGAAGCCTCGTCCCGCGGTGGAGGCTGACGTGACAGAGCTAGCAATCGACCCTGGCCCACGGCGACGGCTCGGCCAATGGAATCGGGTAGACGATGCTACCGATTGTTCCGGAGATGCTATATCACTCATATTAGGTTCAATAGAATGAAGTCTCAACTCCATACCCTCCGGCTTACGCTCTCGAGCACCGTTTCGACTCTGGCTTCTCTGTTGCATTAGTGCTTGGAGTGACTGTGGTGATGGCGACGGCGGAGGTGGGTCCCTGCGACGAAGGTGATTATCTCTCGCCCTCATGGAATTTGCCGTGGAAACACTAAGGTGGGATCCAGCATTAGATTGCTCATCGGCAGAAATCTTGCGCGAGTGCTGGGAGCGTTGGTCCTGGTCCATGTCAGGGACATTTTCGGTCGGAGGCGTTGGTAGGTCAACCCCTTTCAGACGAGAAACAGCATCACCGGTAATCTCCCCAATCGCTGGCAAGCGCTGTGCGAATCCACCAGGCGTAAGTGCGGTTGCGGGAGTGTTCAAGGCACTTCGCTGCGAGGGACGCAGGAAAGCTGTAGTAGGATCTTGTCCACCAGGGGAAATGGCGGAATCAGCTATCGGCGTAACACCTGCAGCAATTGGAGTTCGACCTCCATCATTGCCCGCAAAGAACTTCGACTTCTTGCCCTGTTCATTGAACGAAGTAATAAGCTTGAGTGCAGAGGATTTTGCAACACTACGTTGGGGTCCCCGGATACCCGGAGGGGACAAGGGTGGACTCAGAATCTCAGGGATACTTGGGTTGTCCAAGTTTTGGAATGTTAGCTGTGCCGCCGACGGCGACGTCCAAGGTTCAGTGGATTCTACACCAGTGCAGGCGAAGCTGTTCAGGACTGTTAGCGTGATCCTACAACGAGACTTTACCCCTAAAGCCATTTCCAACTTACCATCGTATTGCTAGTTGCTGTTGACCATGCTGGACAGCGAACTCGCCCCATTTCTTGATCACCTGCACCTGTCGCTCCCAGACCGCGGGGTAGAAGAGACAAAGGAGGATGAGGGCCTCCATGTATTTTTTGTGCGAGACATAGATCTCAATGGCATCATTCTGGTCGCCCATTCCAATCATAATTGTCGCCGCAGCATGCACATCACCGTTCTCCAGCAGGCGCTGTACGTACGCACGCCCAAGTTTGTGCTGGGAGGCTTGACCACCAATTCCGCTCAGAGCTAGCAACATCCAGTCTGACGAGGTCATGTTTTCCGACGTTGCTGTCATTACATCCGAGTTAATATCTCCAAGCCACTTTGCGAGAAGAATGCGACTTGGTGAACCCAATGGATGTCGGGACATTTCATCTCGAATGAGGTCTTCAATCTCGCCATTCCACCCGAATATGATGCTCAGCATTTGCCGGCGTAGATCGTCATTAGTAAGGCGGGTTTGATCAGCCAAAGGCATGTGCTTGTAAGGTATGTCGTGAAGACGGGTCCTCGTAAACTTGAACAAGTCATTAACCTTGGACTCCTCGGGGCTACGTGGAACTTCGTTCCTTAGTCGCGAAGGACGGCGATGAGAGCGCGCACCCGAGGCCAATGAGGCGGAGCTGATACTGCTAACCGAGTAGGCGTCCTTCTCACCGCCATATGGTTGGATAGCTGCAGACCTAAGAGAAGACCCGGCAGAGATGTAAGTATTTTCAGTCATCCCACGTGACATGACCGAAGGCGGATATCGAACTTTCCGGCCAGAGGTAGCCGAGGATCCGGAGATAGTCGAGTGGCTTCTCGAAGAAACCGGACTCGTTGTCATGTACCTATCTTGTTCAACCGTATCGGGATCCGGTCTGCGAACCATCCTGGCGAACGGTGATAAACGTTCATCGTCGCTTTCTGAGATTTCAATATTAGCAGGCATTGATGAATCAGACTCGGAAGTGCCGATGATGACAACCCCCTGCTCAGGTTGTTCCTCTATGGAAACAGGCGGAGATGGTGGCAAGAGGTTTGCAGGGTGCTGGACGTTAGCAGCCATAGTAGATGGCGTGTTCAGGTCGAACTGTTGGACAGTGTTGTTGGCACCGAGGGTGAATAGCGTTGCAGCAGGCCCATACACAGCCAGACCACGAACATGTTCCAAGGTCGGAATGCTATCGTTAGTGACATGCTTGGTCCTAACATCCCACGACAAAGTCTCGCTACAGAATTGATATGATCAGCATCTCAAGGATTAAGCGCGCGCGTGTAGATACGCTTATTGGGAGTGGATCTGAACCTACCCTTCGGAATACTGAATGATGCGGCCATTCTTGGACCAGCCCATCCAGTTGGGCCCATTAAGGTAGTTCTCCGTTCGCCTTAAAATTCTGACCACCTTTGCAGGGTCATCGCTGTTGAATGACTTGGCCACGCTCCAGACCCGAAGGTCGCCATCATTGGTCTGCACAGCCAACATGTCGGACTTTTGTCGTGAAGATGACGCATGCCATGCAAGGTTCACAATCGGTGAGGGCGCCCTTGACGTGCTTAAATTATGCAAAATTGTAAATCTCGGCTGAAGCGTGGCGATCAAGAGGGAGCCATTTTGATATCTTGATACTGGTCAGTTTTTGCCAGGAGGCCAACTTCCCAGTTACACAACGTTAACTAGGGAGGGGGGAGAAAAGGGGGGGCTTACCCAATTGCGAATGTTCTACAGTCCGCCGCTGGGGCTATAGCTGTCACAGGTATTTGGTCAATGGTTCGTGCAGAAATATGTTCAGAAGTAGTTGGCTCAAAGAGAATGACGTTTCCTTGAGTGTTGCCTGTAGCCACGATATTAGCTAGAATTCGAAGAGCGAGGCATTAGAAATTGTGAACTTACCAAAAGCAACATTGCCGTTTCGCATCCAAGCAGCACATGTAAGAGGTTCATATGAAGCGAATCGAGCAACCTCGTCACCGGTCATTAAGTCCCAGACAATTGCCGTCATGTCCACATCGTAGCTAACGACTAATCGACCCGCCCCGATGTCGCTTTGTATATCAACCGCCAACAATAATACTTCTGCTGAATGGCGTGAGAACCGCCTCTCGATCGTTAAGCTATCATGATGTGCCACGACTACCGAGTTGCCCTCTGTTTAAAGTGTCAGTCTCCCACATTGATGATATGACCTGATTTCCTACTCACGTGCATATAAAAGCATCGAAGCGGTTGCGGCTGTGGGCTCGAAGTATCTGTTGAGAGTAGTCGACTGTTTGTATTCTCTCGGCTCGGGGGTCATCTTCCCCTTCCTCGAAGACCTCCCGGCGGAGTTCGCGGAGGCATTGCGATGACGGGGCATCGCCTGGTGGCTTGAGGACGACATTGATGGTTTGTTCACCTACTGGTACGTTAATTGGCAAGGCCTTATGATCCGGCTCAGGAGAATTGGGGTGGTGGGTTCTTGTAAGCCCAGGCCAGGGCGCGAGACCACTCAGGTAGACGCTACTATGCAGGCAACTCACCTCGACTTGCGTGTAGATCCACGAGATAATACTCCCAGTGTCCAGGCAAGCGGGGGCGCTACACAATTCAGTCCCCGAACATCACACGCAACACCTGAACCTGCCCGTTCCCGGATACGTCGCTTTTCCCACGTTCCTCGTGCCAGAGCTATGGGGTTAAATTTACGAGAACGAGATGCGCAATTAGCTTCGGAAGACGGTGTCGGGTTTCACGATAGCACGCTGCTATGTTGCGCCGGCTCGGAAGGGTGCTGCTGCTTCTGTCTCTTTTCAGACCTGGAGAGAAAAAAGCTGTAGAGGTTAGATGTTGAGGAAAAGGATCCAGAGGGCGGAGATAATCAGGTAGGTTGCACAAGGGTGTGTTAGTCCGATTATTTCCTCGTGGAAGCGTACTACGGTAGCGGTAGTGTGACTGTGTTTGAATCAGAAAAGCTTTGGAGGCGTCTGTCTACGGTGTCAAATCCTTGGGTCGTATGGACGAGAGAGGCAGCGGCGTTGAATAAGAGGCAAAGGAGGTAGAGAAATGGTACCGTTCGGGGGGTGTGCGAGAGCAAATAAGACGTGTATCGCTGTCAAGAGTCCAGCGCCTAAAGATGAGGAGTTCTGAGCTCTCAATGGCCCAGATCACATATACTACGTAGTAAAGAACCGAGCGGCCATATCTAGAGCGGATACGGGTCCGGCTAAGCCAGGTCTACATACATACAGTGGCAGCATCGCGCAGGGGTCTGATCAGCCATCTCCTGCCGGCTGGACAGGGTACAGTTCAGGGTAGTAAGGTGATCGAATAACCCTCAATACAGTAGTGCGATGGATCATGCAAGACAGGGGAGAGCGGGAGAGTACTGTACAGTACATGGATAGGCTAGGCATGTACTCGGATATAATTAGCCCTCTTCTCTTGCAGTGCTTTGCAGTGGTCTTCCTTTCAATGTTGCTACCATGTTATTACTACCTAGTTATTTACGACAGTAAGTAAGTAGGTAGCGATTATGATGCATATAACATCTGCTGTTTAGGTGCATTGAGGCTCGTCCAGCTTCGCCACTTGGCAAGAAAGCTAGAAATAGATATAAAAGCATTAAAGCATATGACGAAAGTGCATCAAACTGCGTCAAACTGCGTTAGTTTTTGCGTGGTTTGAGCGTGGGCAAAGCAGTTTTTGGGGTCCATGGGAATGGGCTCAGCTACATCATGCATAGTACATAGGTGGGTAAGTACCAAGGTAAAGTAACCCCTCGCATTCTGACCCCAACCTTTTTTTTTCTCCTCTCAAAGGAGCGCCGAGGGGCCGGTTTGAAATGTAGGGCACAGCTATATTAGGTGTGAGGCTTCCAAGTAGGTACAATACCTAACCTAGAGGTAAGAGGGAGTCTGAGGGACATCTAGAAAGTGCCAGAAAAGGGGAGGGAAGAGCATAAACAAGCATAGTGATGACCACCATGCCATGGAAATCGTACAAGAAAAAAGTGGCTACGATAATCAGTAAACTGACTGAAGCAGCATTGCCTTGCAATATGAATGGCCTGGATTTCTTCATCTGAAGCGTGCTAGTGTGTGTACTAGGTAGATAACTACTAACCTAGGTAGATAGGTAGGTATGGACCGTATGGTAGGTATGGTAGGCAATTTTGAATATTATTTGACATCAAGAATCAACAACTGGTTTGACTATTATTTTGGTGAGTACATAGTAAAAAAGAGATATGGTTGGTTGGAAAGTGGGTTTGGCAGTGGACAAGTAAAGAATGGATGTTGACGAGCGTCGTTCCTCGCAGTAGCGCCGACTGCGGTGAAAGGGCGTCTGCGGGAAGTCATTGGCTTATTGGCGGCAAGGGGTATAGAAGCCGGGTTGGATGATTGGCTACGATGCATTTACTAAGGCTCGGCGCGGCGGTAAAAGAGAGTGACGAGGAACCTTGTTGGTGGAAGGATGCAAGGGTCACTTGATCAGTGATTCGATAAAAAAAGCTCTTTTTAAAGTTATGCCCTAAAAGAACGCTAAGGAAGCTCCCCCAGAAATCCTTACAAGGAGCCCCAGTACACTGCCTACCCTGTACACTACAGTACTGTAGACTATGTAGTCTGTAGTTACAACATTGAACCTGAATTGTGTCTTCAATGTTCATCTTCAAATGTATTGGGCAAGTACTGTACAACATGTTCTCATTTCACTCATTTCATGATACATCCATACAACATCGAACCTTCCAAGATACTACTATGTATGCATACCCAGTAAGTAGTACCTACCCAGTACTAAGGTTTGTGCGTATGTAGTAGGTTAGGTCATAGTTATTGGATACCTCCAGCAGCTACTACCTAATCCGTGGATCTCATAAAAATACCTTCTCTCCTTCTTGTCCAATACCTTTTCCTTATTAACCTCAACATTTATATCTCTGTCTTCCTCCTTCTCCACCCTTACATCTTTCATCATATGTTTCCCATCGTTCAACAGCATTCCAAGCCGTCTATAGGGTCGTCTATAATATGGTACTGTCCGTATGATCATAAGCATACTCCACTAGAACGACATCATTATATGCGCACGTGGGACGTCGTGGCTCTTGTTTCCTCACCGATGGGTGCCAGCATTCTAACACGTTACCTCACTCGTGGTACGCATTTTCTCCCACTCTTGGGCGCCCAACCTTGAACTAGGAAATAGGAGACACGGCGTCTAATGCTGTGCTGCCATTGCCTAGTTCCTGACTAACCCACGACCCAAATTGACTGATGAATTGTGCCCATCGTTGGAATAGGAATAGATAGCTGTAAGTTCGAGACCAAAGTAACAGAAAGATGGGGAAGGTCGAGGCTGGTAGCAGCTGGAACCCGAACTCCATTGGGAAAGCTGACCAGATCCAAGTTTCCATATTGCCTCCTTATGATGGAAACACAGACGAAACAGGACATGAAAGACTACCTACTAGGTAAGTACCTATGCATGTCTCTGGGCCGCTTCTCTGCCTACCCAGGTACGGTAAGTCCAGGAGCAGCAAGATCTCTCGGGTATGTATGCCCAAGCGATGCGGATTGCATACATAGTACATGAGTGGAGTGAAATGAAATACCTGTCGAACCCCTAAAATCTTTGGGCTTGCTACATTGATAGAGAAGTAACCTAGCTTAGGTTTTACTACTCACGTCCCCGCCAACTCGAACAACCAGGAAGTTCTTCATCTCGCACCCGTCGATGAAGTCAGGACACTGGTACCACGTCCTCCAGATTCGTACAGCTTCTCGCACACTATATATGAAGTGCCTCACAATTAGTGAGGAGATCGTATTCTAAAGCCATTGTAGCACCCAACATCCAGGTTCGGTACGTGGTTGCAGGTGTTGCGCATTAGGAGCTTTTTCTCATGTCAACCCCGCGGGCCGCAACAAGAGCGGCCAACATACATACTAGGTATGCTAGCAGCTAGGTACATATATTAGTAGTAGGTATTGTACATATGAGGTTCTTGCGAGTTCCTATCAAATAGTTAGCCTCATTCGAGTTGGCCGATTACGCATTCTCCTCATCTCCAGTCCCTTGCATATTGTCATACACAAGATACGATGCGAGCCAGGGGATAGCAAGTAGCAGGTTCAGGTACAACCCGGATACATATTGATCTTTCCCCTTTTTCTCTCTCTTCAAATCTCTCTTTGATCGTTGGTTGAGATGCCATCTACCCTCCATTATCGATACAACCTAGCTACGATAATGGCGTAATCACACTATATATGCGAAATGACGGATGCTACACTGCCTTACACTATAGCAACAAGGCTACGAAGTGATCCTAGGCTGAGATTCTTGTGATTTGCTTCTTCGAGCACGCAAGCAAAGGGCATGAGAGGGGCAGCGGAAGAGAATCTTGCTCCGGCTGCGTTCCGCTCCACCTCATAAGCAAAGACGGTCCGGATAACTCCCCCCCAAGGCCGTGCTCTAGAGCTAGGGACTATCAATCAATGGCTTGGTTCATACATAATTATAGCCCCTTGCATGTTTGCGGCGCAATACCTGGAGAGGTAACATTCTGATACCTGCTTTCTTCGTCTGACTACAACGTTGTTGAGATATCACTTGCGGGGGAGCTCCAGGCACTCACCACCAACCTAACATTATTATTATAATAGCATCCTGAATCACATCACCCTTCTCGTTAGGATCAGCTAACCTATCTAACCTTCCTAACCTTCCTAACCTACCTACTGAGCTGCTACTCACACAGAGAGGGATCATATGCCTTTTATCACGTCCAGAACTAGACAAGCTCCTTGCATACCTAGTAGATAGGGGCTGGATCTGATGACTTTCTTGGATCTAGGAAAGAGCAAGCTTTATCGTGTAATAGGTTGTGTCTCTACCCGTTAGTGATAGGACATACCATTAGCGCAAGATAATGGGCGCCACGCCGTTGACATCCTAGTCGGTCAAGGTAGGTAGGTAGGTGAGACGATTAGAAAGAAAGAAAAGAAGTATCCGAGTTACATGTGGGGTACATATTACTTCGTACATTTGGAAGCTCTTCCGAAGCCGCCACGAACCATCATTTCGAAGCCTCCTGCGGCGACTATCAAGTTCTTGGTCCCTCGACATCCTCCTATCACGGGACGGGTTTCTTTGGAGTTGGGTAGTTGGGCATTGAGCAACGCAAGCAGTGACTCAGAGGGCTTTCGGCGGTCAAGAAGCCAACCGGCGTTATCTTGTCAAGACAAGTGTTAAGTAGCCAGTCAATGAGAATGGTTTCGTTGATTTCGACTAAGGTTACTGTAGATGCTAGAGTAGGTAGGCAAGTAGATAATCGCTTACTTCCCCACGCAGCAATTCACAGCTCCCCCACGCTGACCCCCCCATTCCCCTCGACGTGGTGGAAATCCCCTCCCATGAGCATTGAAAGATCTTAGCAATGCCTTCCATTATAGTATTTCATCTCGTATGATCCAATGCGCATGAAAGAACCCCATCCCCTCCCATTTTCGTAATTTTAGCCAACTACTTTGGTTTGTGTGTGCTCAGAAAATCCACTTTATGGTGACAAGCGACAATGCCAACGGCAATGACAAGCGAGCGAGACAGAGAACAGAGAACAGAGGCAGAGAGATAGATAGAGACAAGTCACCGACACGCGCACACGAAAACCGTGATGACAAGCCCCACCGTCCAAGCAATCACAAGCTTGGAAGTGTGTGATATACCACGGTAGGTTAGGGCAAGGGCATGCTTTTTTTTTCTTTTCTTTCGTTCAACCCCTGTTCGTCCGCACTGCTCTCTTATTCGGAGGGTCGGAGGGATTGCATTGTGTGAAGGAGGAGAGAAAAAAAAAAAAAAAAAAAAAAAAGAGGTGATCAATTCCGGATACCGTTGTGCGGAGAGTGTGCCCTATAAGATATCTGTTAATGTTCTCGCCTAGATTGCCTAGATGTAATATGTACATAGGTATGTTCGCCTATGTCGGTCGACACCGATCGTCAGCCTACCCGTTGGTTCCGCCTGCAAAGGTCGTCACAACCCTAAAACTCTAAAGTGGTCGGATCAAGATGGGCGTACCAAACACCTACCACACATATTACGTTAGATATCTAATTACTATGCTATCATAGGTATGTATGGTATGTATGGTATGTATGGTATATATGGTACCTGGCAGTACATACTAGAATAGTCAAGCCCACGCTATTCCGGAAAGGTGAGGGTTGGGTGGCTGAAATATTCGCCTTTAGATGTTGGATATCCTAACTACTACCTTTAGATGCTATACATAGATTTAACTAGTTTCCAACACTTGCAAATACTGGGAATCGTAGACCATGTCGTCGGTATGACCAGGTCCGGAAGGTGATAATCTGATAAAAATCCATACTCGACAAAAGACCAATACTAATATAATTCATATCCACCAGCTTTGAGTCACAGTTAACAATAATGAGTAAGGTAAGACTTTATTTTTGTTCTTATTTGTATTTTTAGATTTGATATCTTCCAATTATTCTACTAACTATTAACCAATTAATATATCCCTTTCGAGACAGTTTGCGCCTCTCTCTTGCTCATCTGTTAGTCTCCTAACTTCTGCCCAACAGAGACATCGTAATCTTCCAACAGCAACAACAACAACAAACATACTTGATGCCACCAACCAGTAGTTACATGCCTAACAAAGAGAAAAAAAAGTAACCTCATGTAGTAGGTACTGTAGGTGAAGAGAAGAAGAAAAAAAGTAAAAAAAGACAGGAATGCCAGCCAATAGGCCAAACCAACCTCCAACACCTCGGTGTGTTTCCGTCCAATCAGGTCCGCGAAACCCGAATACCCGGGTCGTCGATTCCTGTAACTCCTATTTGCACACACGACCACGCAGACCATACAATGGCATACATCCACATCCACATCCACACATGCAATCCACCCTTCTGCAAGCACGCATGTATGTATGTACGCACGTACGCACATACATACACACATACACACACACACACATAGTGCATACATAAATGCCTTTTCCAAGCATTTCGATCCCTATGCCGTCACTTTAGGCTGGGCTGCATCTCATCGACCACACTAGCGGCCTATTTTCTTCTTCTTCGTCTCCTCCATTCACCATTCTCCCTTCTCCATTCCTTCCTTCTTGTTCACCGCCAGACTCCCCCCTTGTTTTTCCTGATATGGAAGAAGAAGAAAAAAAGAAAAAAAAAGATATCCAAAACACATTAAACCCTGCTTGGTGGTAAAGCCTCTTGGGTTTTATTGCGGGACCTTTCTTTTTTTTTTCTTTTTTTTCTCCGCTTCTCCACCGGTTCCTTTCCTATGTACCGATACACACCGTTCACCTCCCGTCGTCGGACGCAAGTCATCTCGAAAGCAGTCGCGGATGGATCGCCCGCTTCCCCTCCCCCAAACCCAACTCCAGAAAAAAGAATTGTGGCTGAGACTAAGGAGCGCGTGGCGTTTTTCCGGGGACGACGGGTAGGTAGGTAGGTAAATAGTAGTTGTAGTTGTATCCAATGTGCAGTGTGTGTGAGTGACACCACGGCGCTAGAGTAAAGAAACAACCTCTTTGTTTTAATCTAGGGCGGCCGTGGCGTTCTTGTTACACCCACCCACCCACACACACATGGAACTGACTGACTGACTGACTGACTGACTGACTGACATATACATCTTGGTTTGATAGATAAAATGATAAAAATCCCCGTTGTGTGTATATATAAGTGGCGCGGGTAGGATGCATCCCAGCGCCGCGGCGTCATGCATCACCGCCTATTCGGCGGCCGATGCGTACCTATCTATGCACTGGGAGGGGGTGGTTGGTGGGTATCAGGGGTTTGGGTATCTCATCATTGGGGGTTAGGCGTTATGGTCGTTAAAAAATAATAGTGGTGGTGGTGGTGTTAAAACAAAATATATCATCGTCCAAATACTAGATTGTGGCGTTCATTAGCAACTGTACTGCATGCATACCAAGATACCGGATCACACCGCATTACATATCTTCAAAGAAGATGTGTGTGTGTGTGTGTGTGTGCAGTGTGGTGGTGCCGAAGAAAGAAAGAAAAGACTCACCATTATTAGTATAGCATGCATTCGATCTCCGACACGGGAGGGAAAGTCCGCCTCACTCTCCACCCTCGGTGATGACGTCGAGGTGCGCCGCCTTGCTGCTCTTCGGGCTCTTCTTCGAGCTGCTGCTGCGGCGCTGCTTCTTGGCCGCCTGGCGCCGGCTCTCCTTCTCCTTGAGCAGGAACTTGACGGCCTCGCGCTGCATGGCCATCTGCTCGCGCTGCAGCTGCAGCAGGTCGACCTCGCGCGCGATCGACGTCGGCGTCGTGCTCCCCGAGCTGCTCGAGATGCTGTGCGCGTCGTCCGACAGGTCGCAGGGGAACAGGTCGTCGTCCGACAGGTACGAGGTCGCGCGCTCCTCGTGCGCGTCGGTGAGCGAGGACCGCTGCGGCCACGAGGGGAAGGCGCAGCTGGACTGGTACGTCGAGTTGTGGGACAGGTAGCTGCTGCGCGGGATGTCCATCGGTTGCGAGGAGCTCATCGAGCTGTAGGAGCCGTATGGGCTGTACATGATGGCGGATGGTAGTAGTAGTTGTAGTAGTAGTTGTTATTGTTGTTGATTTCGTAGCAGCAGAAATATATAGTATATTTTTTTTGCTTCGCTTTCGTTTCGAAGAAAGTTGCGAGACTCGTGTATAAGTGTGGCGTCCGTGTAAGTCGAGTTGCGGGTAATAGGTGGATGTGATAGATATAGTTATCGCGATACGAATAGTGAAAGCGAATAAAGCTCGGAGCTGGGGTTGCTGAGTAGATTTATTATGTATTAGTTTGCTCCAAGGCAGGCTACGATGGTTGATCTGGGGAATCAAACAAGGGGAAGCAAAGGCATGGGACGGGAGCGCATGGGAAGGCCATGAGAACAAATATATACCGAAGAGGGTGTGTTGGACCGTGAATCATCGCCGCACGGAGGCAGCAACTTGTTGCTTGTTACATGTGCTACATACACCACCTACCACCTACAAAGCTACAACAGTACTTGTATTGTACATTACTACATCCCTCAAGTACTTTGTAGCAGTTTCCAGTTTCCCCCGTCCCCCACGTCGCAAATCACCCCCAGCAGACCGCCTGTCATTGTCATGGATGCGGGCAAGGAAAAGGGGGGGTGTGTGTGGCCCGGGAGGCAGGGAATAGGTGTCAACACCCAAGTCAACAACCAAGTCAGCCTAGACCGCCTTAACTGGAGTCAGCTTTCGAAACCCCCCCTCCCCTACAAAAATCCAGGCCCTTTTGCGAAGGCGGTCTTCCATTCCCCGAGCTGTCCCACCAATCAGGCGAGGACAAAGCAGTTGGACGGGGTTTGACACCGCTAAAAAGGAACGAGATCTATGGATGTAGGTAGTTATTATCTATCGACTCTGTTCTATTTTTTCTATTTTTTGTTCTACCCTAACTATCTGCATAGGTATACAAACCTACATATTATACCTACCTAACTAGGTATCTCTAAATAGTTACTAGTAAGGTATGGTTGGTTAGTTAGTTAGTTACGGGAGGACACAACTTTGACCAACTTTCTCAAACTAACACTAACGTGCGTGCTACCCACTAAGACGTGCGGATCTGCTATGTAGAACATCGCTGGCAACATACCGTTGGCATTTGTTTCGTCAGTGCTTTTCTCTTTTTCTGTTTTTGCGCCTTTTGGCATCCTCCAGAGCCCACACAAACTATTTTCGACCCCCGGCTTGGAACATTACATAGAAGGAGGGAAGAATCGGAGAGCCAAATTGCCAGACCGCGGGAATGTCCCTGCAGGGGAGGGAAGGGAAGAGGGGCCCCATTGAACAAGGTGCCATGGATCCGTGGTGGGAAGAAAAAAAAAGAAGAAAAAAAGCTGAGGGAGACGATCAGGGTTCAGCACCATGTATCCCACCTACGTTGGTGTATCATTATGTATGTTTGTATGTACATATGTAGCAGACCTGGGACTTCTTTTAGAGTCGTTACATACAGACCTAGTACCCTATCCGAGTGCCGCGGCCGGGTCCATCTCCCGCTTCCCTAGTATCCTAATTCCCAGCGTCCGAGTACCCCCTAGGCTAGGTTAGATTTCCCTCTAGCTTAGCCTCCGGGGCTGCTGTTCCCTATGTTACAGGGCTCCAGGGCTTATTAGATAACCTACTAGGCTGGGTACTTATATTACCTAGGTCGGTAGGTAGGCAATGGGTGTAGTTTAATAGGTGTATTTCAAGTTTAACCCAGGTTACGGTAATAGTGAGCCCGTAGCCGGTTCATTCACGGTCCTGGGAATACCAGGTACGTAACTATAAACCTAGGTTAGCAGCTATCCTACAAGGTAGGGGAGATTTTTCGGTAAATGACTTTGAAATTTAATTACGGGGTATGGTTATTAGATTAGAAGAGACAATATAATACAACACATTTCAATACCGGCAGTCGTCTCCCACAATGTAGCCCTGGAGGCAGCAGAATAATTCTCCAGATGTCGGTTTCCAACATCAGCGTGGTAATGGTGGATGTATTAATGGTTGATGATACTCTATACATACATTAGGTATTGTACATGCCTGGGTAGATTTTGTGACAGGCAGAATGTCAGGTATTATCGAAATCCCAATCTCACGGCTTGGTTTCCCATCTTCTTCCTGAAGAGCCACGCTGGGGAGGGGCTGATAGTTAATGGTGTAAATTACGGTTTGAATCCTGCCAAAGCCAGCCCGCCAGCCGAGCCACTGGGCTGTTTGAGGCTTTCCGTTGGTGCTTCCGTTGGTCGCTAGGCGGAGGATCGGTCACATAATTTTAGTTTCTCACTTACTATTCTCGTTTACTGACATGAGACACAACCAATTTTGTGACGAAGGAGGCGCTCCTCTTGACTTCTCTTTCGTTGGCTCTCGGGCACACATATTCACCTTGGGCAGGACTTTCTTTTCTGAAAACTGGGGGATGGATGTCTGTGTGTGTGTAGTATGTACTATGTATGTGTGTCCACTGTCCGCGTCCGTCCCGCTAGGCTAGCATGCATTGATTGCTTCATTTACAGATATGCTAGGCATGTAGGTAATGTTGTTCACTGGTATAATAGCCGTGTTTTATCTATCCGCTACTTTACTTTTGCCCTACACAAGAAATATACCCTCCGCATCCGATCACTTACGGAGACCAAAAAAAGAAATGCACACTAGAAATTATAATATTAATAATGATAATAATAGTGCCTAGTAGAAAAGAAAAATAAAAAGAGAAATGGAAATAAGACCCTCGGGATTCGAAGATGCATATGGTAAGGTGGCTCGGCTGTTGAAGTTAAGGGGTGAATGACTGACTAAATGGATGGATGGATGAGTGAGAGGCAATAGTCTATCCGTTGTGTTGCCTTTTTCGTTTAACGACGACGATACTGCTGATGACGTTAGTCGCTCGCAGGGCTGTCTAATGATATTCTCGCATCTGGTTTCCTATGCGCCACGCTGGTCGGTCTGCAGTCCGTCCGCGGCTCAGCAATAGTGAGTTGTATCGGTCCAAACCGGCTGCGTTATAGATAGGACACTGCATGCCTAGTACATACATACAACATACCCTAAACCTACATATCATATGTATCGTGCATCAGGTTGGGTATAGGTGAGTTAGCTAGCTGACCGCACATTTTCTCGTTGTGCTGGCCAATGCCGGCATTTCTCCCCAGACCGCTTACCCAAACCAAGACACAACTCTCGTATAGGATACCTTAGGTAGGTAGGAGGGGGCCTATGTAGGTAGGGACCTTCGAATTGTGTGCGTCTGTCTCAATCTTGCTAACATCTTGCTTGCCTTCGGTGTTTGATTTTCTGCCTAGGTAATAGCGTAACGGATGCGTTGCGTGAGAAACCCCAAAGAATTCCCCAGCGGAAGCTACCCTAGGAAGATCTCGTAATCAGGAGTACATACATACATACCTAGGTTAGCCTGGTTAGGTAGGAGAAGGAGAAAGAAGGAGTAGGTAGGAGGACCGTTTTGCGATCCTGACTCAGACGCATCGCAACACAACTCTTACATGTTGACACCATAATCCAACCCTACGTCCGTAGCAACAGGAACAATCAAGAAACAATATAATCCAACAAAAAGACGAGAGCGAGACAGATACAGATAAAGAATAGAAGATGGTTGCTTACTCCCTATTCCTATGTACAGACAACGTAATCCGGGATCGGGTTTTGAATAGTACTACATACCACATACCTATGCACTTACCTACTTACCTAGGTAAGTATTGCTTACGAATATGACCTCTTTCTCCGTGGATGAAGGTAGGAAATGTATGTGTCTGCTATCATTTCGGGATCATGTTGTTGGTGAGCTTCCCCATTTCACGATCATATCCGGTTGCGGCTGTGGTGTGTCGGTGTTGGGCATCGCACACCATTTTTTTTTTTTTTTTTACCACCTGGGCATTCCACCTTACTGTTACATGACGTATGGCCTATGGAGCTCTATGTATGTATGTAGGTGTATATCAACCTCCCGTCTCCATTATGTGGTACAGCAACATGTTCTACCCATATACCTACCCACGTTAATAATGGTTCCAATTGTCGGGACCGCACCTCGATAGGCAGGCCACATGTGTACATAGGTGCTAGATAGAAATACGTAGACTGGACGGACGCGCACACGCAATAATGCATGTTACCGGCTTCAGCTTTATTAAGGTTCTCCTACCAGAAGCCAACGTTGAAGGTAACAAGCGTAACAAGCGTTGCAAAACAAACATCTTTGAAGGGTTTCGATATAAATGCATAGCATATAATATCTACACCCAGATATAGGGTATGTAGGTACTATTCTAGTATCAAGCTGTGGTAGGGTTACAGCGGCAAAAAAATGTTCTAGAAAGAAATTCGCACGACCTTCGGGGCCCACGTTGACCGCTTCGTATTTACAGCCGGTACCCAGTAAGGGAAAATCTGGAGTTTCTTACTAGGTTTAGTAGGTTAGGTATGTGGTGTATTCTTGAACGCTTGGATCCGAGCGAGGCATGTCAGGTATTTGGGGGGGAGCTGATTGACAGTTGTACCCTGCTACGCCCCAGATTTCCGGGTTTCCCGAGAGGTTCTAGACGAAAACAAAGATAGGGCAAAGGAAGGGTCAACGCGACCGAAGGTCATCCAAAGGGCAAGGAGTCGTCGCAAACAAACAAAAACATCGGTTGCGTGATCTATAATAAAAACAATGCTATGTATTATTACCTAGTATCATCAGGACTGCACAAGTACCTAGGTTAGTAAAGGTCTATCAAACAACAAACAGACCAGACAATCAGAACAAGTAAGTCAAAAAGTCAAAGATAGCCCAAGCGACTGGGCATAGTTTGCTCCAGAGACGGGTTGATCTTTGCCTAATTTCTAGAGTTTCCCGTATGACTCCTATGTCTAGACAGGTAAGTCGGTATTATTAAGTCATTCAGTTCAGGCAGTTAGTCAGTCAGTCAGTCAAGTCGCAACGTCTCGCATCGAATCGACATGAATGCCGCGCAAGTGCCTCGTGCTTAGACATCCTTAAGCCCAAATGCTTCTCTGTCCTGTCCTATGTCTTCCGATAATTTGACCGAGGGCAACGAATAACATGGCACCGGCGCCCCTTGCGCCCGCCGAGGCCTAATACATAGTAATAAGCGTTCGTCGGCTCATCGCCATCCAGCTAAATCGCGCCGCAGAGTAACCGAAGCTAAGATAATACGTATTGTAAAAGTGACCAATATCAGAACCCCCCCCATTCACCAAGATTTTGATACATTTATTAGTTATACGGCGAACAAAGTCCCGTGTGAACACGGGCCAGAAACCAACCACGGGGACAAAAGGGCCAAGTCAGGAATAAATCGGAACCAATCCATCCATCCATCCATCCATCCGTATCATTCCAAGTCCGCCTACACCCGATCATTCGTCGTGAGCAGCCACGCTGTTGCCTGCGCACTGCCACCGAGGATTCACGAGGAAGACTCATAATGACAATGTTTGCCATGTACTGTAATACTATGTAGGTACCTATGTAACGCGAGCCGTGAGGCGGGAAATGTCACTTTGTAGTCAAAACGTGGCGTGGCGATCTTTAAAGATGGACATGGATGTATCCAACTGCCTCGGCACCTTTCATTTGGGAATTATGTAGTCCACAAATGGCAATCTATGATTCTACATAACCACCATGCTGGTTTCCGTCTCTTACGTAGGTACGCACTGCTAACACCGACATCTGGAGTTTCATAGGCAACCCGCAGTGAAGATCAACATTTGAACTTATAAAGTAGGTACGTGTAGTTATACGAACATTGAAGTTCAAGTAGTATGTAGCAAGTAAATGAGGTCATGCAGGTACCTACACGTAGCCAAGCTACATATCCAGCATCGTTTCGTGAAGAGTGTCCCAGGTGATAACTATCTCAAACAACAACTTTCTCGTGAGCAAAAGGATCATGTTTCTTGTCCCAGTTCAGCAGGTGTTGGAATATACTGTATTATGTAGTATCATCCTTCGCATCCCCTTAGAATAGGTACTACCACCACGAAATCAATTTTTAGCTACAGTACTGTGCCCCCCAATAGATGACAATGGGGGTCAGGGAGCAGCAGCGACAAGGGGATCATCTCGGAACCCTGAATCCCACGCTGCCTGCCATACCCGGAGTTTCTTCGCGAAACCCCGTGGGTGATTGATTGACATCTCGGTTTCTTTCTTAGTCAGTGAACAAGCGAATTGCCTTGTAGAGAACTCCGAACGCTTCGCTTGGCGGTTCGCTGCATTACATATTAAGAAGCTGGGGAAATGTGGCAAATTTACTAAGTACAACAATAGGTACCGAGATATACCGAGATGTTCGTTCGCCGCAACGTGATATCCATGGATATTCTCGTCGGGCCTTTAGTAAGATTGCGAACTGTAGCTGTACCTTTACCTGTAACCTAGGTATGTATATACCATAGTAGTATGAAAATGCCGATGCGGTATTATGTTTGTATGAACACGATGCCGTGTTTTCTACTTGGCCAATTTAGCTAGGTTAGATTGTCCCCGCGGGAATGATAGATGAAGTCGAACTTGATAGAAGCTTGCGAAGAATGGCCACCATCCATATGGATATATGTATCATTGATGTAGGTACCCCAGGTAGGTAGCCACTTTGCCGCTTCGTCGATTTAATATAATAAGGTTATTAAACTCAATAAACTCTCCCCGGATTCGTGTTCATCCAAGTCCCGAGACAAAAAGTACAAAAAGGAAAAAAAAAAAAAGAATAAGAAAAAAAGAACGGGAACATTGAATTTTAATGAAATTCAAAGTTGAGAGTCTCCAAATTTATATTGCGAATCATTCAATTAATTACATACATTAGGTACATATCGATAAGTCTGGGGTAAGTGAATTAGTCATTGTTGGGGTTTCTTTTAAACGTGCTTCTCCGCTCCGCCATGTTGCGTCAATTTAGATCAATTTGGAGAAATGCATGTACTTTGTAGATTCATACATAATATTATACTCCGTATGTAACTACCTAGGTACTCTTCATAACAAAGAACATCAATTGATTGAAATAATTGTGGTTTGCCGAACTTCGTGCGAGTTCATCTTGCCGCGATTTTAATCATCCATCATGATCCATGTCCTAGGCAATGAAGTACCTACGCCTATTTATCGGCAAGCAATTTGAAGCAAACCATACCGAGGTCACCGGCCAGCACCCATAATGTACCTATTTGATACGGCCCGCTTTACATTAGATACATTATAGTATGTATCTTTGAACGGCATCTTCAACATTGAATTCTTTTACACGCATCTTCATTCTTACACTTTGATCTCACACCACATGTCAACATTGAATATTACATGTAAATATCAAGTATCATCAAGTACTCCATGTATCTACCTACTACACTACTACACTACTACACTACACCACCTATCCACGGTAGCCTATCGAAGAAACCACCAATCCAGAGACCGATCTTCATCCCCGGCCTCTGTTCTACACACCACTCACCACTCACAACTCAAGAGTCACACACAAAGCTACCGTACATTGGTATTGTACCATGGGGCTCGGACGATCTACGCCAAGCCATCCAGAAAGCAAACTAAAAGCTTAAAAAGTCGAATCACGTCTCTTCAAACAGCTATCGTACTGATTCGTACATCGTTACATGTGACAAAAACCCACGCATTGGTTCTTGACTACTAAAACACACACATTATCAAAGTTCTAGATTCCAGATTACTTACGCGACAGGCAATGCGTCGTGCACATCTCACATTCCGGACTGGGCCATTTCGTTCCTTGAGAAGAGAAGAGAAACAGGGTAAGGTGTAGTAGAGGTACCCAACTACCTAGGTTAGGTAGGTAAGTAATGGGGGGGTAAGGTAAATTGAAGGTTGCAACTCTTTTTTTAATTTTGGTTTTGGGCTTTCTCCGGCGTTCCTATCATCGTGAAGCCCAGCGCCCTAAGCTAGGTATGCTTTGCTGTTTGCTAGATAGCTACCTACCTACCCCTATTAGGGGAAAGGGGCAGACTCTGGAAGCGAGGAGTTTTCGTCTGGGGTTTCAATATTCTATCTACTTATGTGCCAATCTATATACGTACCTAGAGCATTCCTACCTACCCAAATCGCGCCCGCAGCCCAGAGCTGCACCTCGGAGCAATACTGGCACTCCTCGACGTTGCAAAATGCAACCCCGCAACGCTTTCGCTCTCGAGAAACGCAACGGTTGAGGCCCAATGCTATGCTTTAAAGAACTAATTATTACTGCTTTGCTTCTTCGACAAGGGGAAGCAGATGATACTAGGTTAAGTAGGTAGGTAGGTAGGTAGGTATTCGTTGTTCATTCTTTCATAATATACGAACCCCCCTTCCCCCTTCCCCCTGCCCCTCACTTTCCTTATCTCCCCCTGTCGTATCGCCGGCGCGTCGCAGGCTTGCTTAACAGGTCCGGTCCGTTGCCGGATCATTGTAGTTAGCATTTCCACCTGCGTGCTTTGGACAATGATATATGCGTATGCGTATGCGTATGTATGGTTATCAGTCTACTTCAAACTCAAGGCGGGATCTCCTTTTCCTTTAAGTGGTTGTTGAGCTTTTGTTTGCTGTCCTGCTTCTTTTCTTGGGGCGCTTTCCGTCTGCAGGGAGTTTCTTCTTTTCCTTTTCCTTTTTTATTAATAAGGGAGAAAAGGATTAAGGAAATGCCGCCATACATATGTACATGTGTGTACTAGGTATGTATGTATGTATCTGTTTGTGTGTTCCAGCATACATAGTACACAGGTAGTTAGTTAGTTACCTAGGTACCCCGGCGATGACTTCATGCAAATTAATCCCCGACAGCGGCTGCAGCTTTCGAACGTGGCAGGCCAGGCCGGCCGGCCGAACAAGTGGCCCACGATGGCTTCGAACGCCTACGGTGATTTGCGCGAACACTTCATATGACTTATGCGACGACAGGGCACAGGGCCTCTCCGGTGTGTGGTTTTTTTTCTTTCTTTCGCTGTAGCAGTCGGCGCTATGCGACGCAGTTTGTATGAATCACACGCCGGATACACTTACTTACTTACCTGCTTGCTTTCTCATGCTGGAAGGGAAGTATGTATGCTATGTATATGTATGTAGGTGAGGTGAGGGCTTTTTTTTCTTCTTCTTATTATTCCCCGTTGATCAATTGGTCCGGCGATTGAAGCCGGGATTGTTCGTGATGGGGAGAACGCTCGCGATGTTCGAGGTATAGATATGGGTGCTAATTAGTATCGTACCGTGTTGTGCTGCAGATATGTAAGTATTGTACCTATACCTGTCTATGTAGCATGTCTAGCATACATACGTCTCGATGAAGAAAAGTGATGGCAATACCTTGCGCCGCTATCACATTCTCGGATGCTGATTACCCCGGAGGGAAACGGGACCTTCCCATTCCATCCCAAGCCTCTAATGCTTAGGTATACCTGTCTTATAATTATGCTCGGGCCCGTATACTGCGAGTGATAGAAAAGTGATAGATGCCATGTGCCTATCTAATTTTCCAGCCCTTCACTCTTTTGGATTGTTTTTTTAGGGAGTTTTTTTTTTTTTCCTTTTTATATCTGCCCAGGTGTCTTACATAACTCCGAAGTGTGATGTGATGTGACGGATTTGCTAGGGCCGGCACATGACCGACGAGACCACTTATCCCCCCCATACGGACCGCCGAGCCGCGGGAGAACCACTACTAAGCCAGGTACTGCATAACCCTGCCTACTAGGCTAGGTAAGATGATACTATTAGTTATGCCACTCTCTTATAATAATACCTCTTGCCCTACAAGGCCGGTTCACTTGCCATGTATAACTGGATCATAATAAAAGACTCTCTCCCCCCCATACTATAGATCTTAAGACTGCTCTACTATAGAGATGCGATCCTACAGTAGGTAGATCGGCCCACATACATACATACCTACATACCGTGATACAAATATCAAGCGCTGCCGACTTTTCGACGATGGCGTGATTTGATTGACGAGTCCCAGCTTTAAAGGGAACGTTACGCGCTTATTCCTCTTTTTTTTTTTTTTGCTATTATTAATAGAGCTGGCAATGTTATAGGCGTGCTTCAGATTGCGCGGCGCATAGAACCTCATAGTTGGTCGCGGAAGGAGGGCGGCAATTAGCTTACCTACCTAGGTAGTTGAAGAACACTCGGGTTTAGTTACCTATCATCAGCCCTATGGCCGGTAGGTGCCCAGATGAGTGGTAATGAACTGAGGCAGCTGGAATGGATGAATGAACTAGGTGTATATTCTTGCAACTATGCCGGATCAGTGTGTGGATGCCATTGCTTTGCCATATTGTTCTCTCTTATACCTACGTTGAATGGAAACGTGCCTACCTAGGTAAGCGCTAAGTGGATGTTGAGGGTTCAATCTGGACCGCAAGCGTTTAACGCGGCAACAGTGATGAGGCTGTAGAGCCAGACAGCTATCTAAACTGTTCACCAGGTCGTAGGGTGCCAGAAAAGGGGTTATATCAACTTTGCTCTTACCCTCAATTCTAACAATCGCCAAAATACATACCAAGCTGGCGTAGGCACACATTATGGTCTGCTGATTTTCGCAACTTGTATTTCAAGCTCAAGCGACCAGGGAGGTAGTACAAGAGCCTCTGAATAGGGGCATATTCGGAAAGGTAGGTATCTATAAGTCATAGTTGTGGCTGAGATAAGAGTTGGATATGATTCATATGCCACTGTTGAACCACGAGAGAAATGAGCATACAGAAAGGGGCATGCATTATTACTAGGCATTCAGGTGCGGCTCTACGGCTTATTGCCTAGGTGCCTACTCCTTACTTAGTCTTGCATAATTCAAAGGGGCCTGAAGTCTACGAGCGTATGCCCCGTAAAGCCAGAGAACTGAGTAGCAAGGACAAGCTACATACTCTCAGGACAAGGTATCCCATACCCTCTGAGATATAAAGCCCTAACCTAGTTGTATTCCTCATAACAGCCGCTGCTTGTGAAGGCTGGCGTGAGTAGGCAACTCAGGTGCCAGAAGTGCATACTCTAGACACACGACCAGTCTTACACTCGATAGCTAACATACATGTACCTATAAAAGGAGCCTGCATGACTACCGGCACCAAGGCTTATAAAGTCCAATGTGCACATGAATAGGGGGAAAGTGCTTAGTGTGATATTTCAAAGAAGCTTCCAATTAACAACGTTGGTTAGTCGAACAGAAAGGAATCAAAAAGGGAGGATCAGCTAGTATGATTCCCAAGACTCGGCATTCGGTGGGTAGAAGGCTAACCTTAGTCTTCATTGCCTGGTAGCTCCTATGCAACTATCTCAATGACTCAGGGGGTAATAGGGGATGGGCAGCCTGACATCATGTCCAGATAAGTCCTGAGAAATATCTAGCTTAGGTAGGTATGCTACCTACCCAGTACTGTGCGATAATGAGCATGAGTCTTCCATTATATCACATTCATCTACCCCATCCCTTTATATATTCCGTTCGTCTCTCTCTTGGTGCTTTTCTGATAAGCCTCAAAATCCCTAGAGTAAACACCTATCACAGACGACCTGAGAACTTGCGTCTACCAACTACCTCGATCAGCTGCTGGGCAATCTTGGTAGGGGAAAGGTGATTTAAATCTACCTAGCTACAGCAAACACCGAACAGGCCCACCATTTACATTTCCCTCCGACAGAAACGTTGTCGTGATATTGACCATTCTTCCCTCCATAATACAGCTCCTTGCCCATCCTTTCTTTATACATAGGCCTTACACCTCCCTTACAAACTCCTGTAGACTCCTCTGAAATGTGTCGAGATAGATATACATCTACAATCCAGCAAAAGCAGCACCTTTGAAATTCGGCATCCGTCTAACCACCTCTATACCCCCCTACCCACTTTGCAACCTTTCCTTTGCCGTGAAATCATGCCAACGCCTGACCATCTTATCAACACCTCACATCGAAGAGCAAGCAGATAGGAAAACCCTGTAAACCGCACACCAAGCACAGCCCGCATACTTGCCTCCCTCCCTAGTACATATACCCCGAGTAGGTAGGCAGGTGTATACTAGGCATTCATCCACTTCCTCCTTGCCCTGCCGCCGTAGCAGATGTGGTAGCGTAGTAATACTGCAACGCTGCCTGCTGCTGCCCGGACTGTTGCTGGTGGTATCCCTGGGCAGGTGGGTGCACCGGGGGCGCGTAGTACGACTCGTCGCGCGGCCAGGCAGTGAGGAAGGCACCGTCTCTTGATGCCTTGGCTGCATCTACCGCTGTCCAGTAGCCGGAAGAAGAGGAGGCTGAAGTTGAAGCAGAAGTGGCTGCAGAGGATGGTGTGGATGAAGACATTGGCTGGGTTGACTGCTGCTGCTGCTGCTGCTGCTGCTGTCCTCGCGCTGGATAAGAAGGCGCGGTCGTGGCGAGACGCGGACGGGCTGGCTTCTTGGTAGCGTGAGGCATGGCTGCGGGTTTTGGATGTATATATGTAGGTATATATGCCAGTTACCTGGGTTAGGCAGGTAGGTATTTTTATACTTGTAGGTTTTCCGAGACGTTCAATGCCGTCAAGGTGAATTTTATAAGAAGTATGGTATTGGGTATGTGATAGACAGACGAGTTTGTTTACATTGAAAAGTGAAGCCGCGGGAAAAAAGAATGGTCCAGAGGGTGGCAGAAATCTAGAAGTAGAGTTTACTAGATCGAAGAGGTGAGGAAGTGGGAGCGCCTTTATACTCAAAAGTAACAGCATGGAGCAAGAGCCATGGGAGAGGAGTACGCGAGACGGACCTTCTACAAGAAAAAAAAAACTCACATACTATAGGGAAACCTCATTCAAGACGCACAAGAAGGAGCGCAAAGCAAGCAAGCACGGCACGCGAGAAAGGAAAGAAAGACACACACATCTTGTTCCGTCGTGCTGCAGGCGCGACTCACGGGAGGCAAGACCCAGCAGAATGGTTCCGTTCTACAGCCCCCCCTCTCCCTCCCTCCCTTTCCCCTTCGCCACCGGGAACTATTCGTCTAGAGAAGTTGGCATATACAACATTGCAACACATATACATACATCCATGGATATATATGTACAGCATGAAAAAAGCAGATAGACGAGATAGAAAAAGGTGCCGAATCTTGCAGTTCCAAAGTGCAGCTTCCGATCTTCCCTGAGTCAGTCAGTAGAACAGATCCCTCGTAACATATTTATTTTGACACGAAGGCCCGACTTAAGGCGACCTACCTTCAATTAACCCTTACATACTTACATACATAGTACCTAACCACCTCCCCACGACACGCGCCATGCAGGTACCGCGCCGGATAGATTTCCCCGTGGGAGGAGGTAACCAGAAATAGAAAACAGCTCGGGAGGGAAGCCAAAAAACAAAGGAAAGGAAAAAAAAAGGAGAGAAAGAGAGATCATCATCAAAGATACCTACGGAGACAAGGAAAAGGAGGGAACCAGAGAGACAGATACACGTAAATATTGAACCCAGGTCTCTGTAAACCGTGTCGCGAGACAATCTTCATGGGATCCCGTCAGGGGCTGAAAAGAATTAAAAGCTCCAAAAAAATGGAAGATTGACAACGGGAATTATCGTGACACCAACTTAAAGACTCGCAGGGCCGGGACTTCGGACACGGCCAATCACATAGGGCATGGAGTATTGCGGCTACCCAGCTTGCCGAAGTTCGAGACATTCGTCATGAACAATTAGCTTCTCGTAATGAATGATTTGAGGCTTGTGGGACGGATACAATGTGTAACCAAAGGCGACATGAGTGCTTAAGCCCTGAAAGGTGGAAGGTTCCTACCTAGCTAGAGGTTAGTCAATGTGTGGGATTCGTATATACTTGATCTGGATCTGGATCTTGACATGGAACTGTGACCCCTTGTTTATTGTTGACTGTTCACTAGCTACCTGGGTATGTTGTTATTCACTGTTCATGGCCGAACTCTATTAAGATTCCTGATTGTCATGCTGCAGGGGAGACTGCAGGAGAAACTGCTTGATTACTTAATAATAAAATCCATTCCCATCGGATTCCAGCGTCAAGTACACAGGTAACCTAACCTCCTAGCTAGCCAATAGCTCGCCGGTTTCCGAAACATGCCTGAACCGCATCACTACTTGTCAATTCGATTTGCGCCTAAAATATCTTTGGGCTTGACAGGACGGGTACAACTAGTCTAGTATAAGGAAACCGCGGGAGGGCGAAGGCCTTTGTAGCTCGTTCGATAAGTCCTTTACGCTGGTGCCTTGGTCTCCTCAGCTTCCTTGATCTCCTCTACCTTGCTCTCTGTCTTGGCCTCTTCGTCACCTTCGAGGGCTGGCATTTCGTCGTCGTCATCTTCATCGTCTTCTTCATCGCCTCCACCCATGTCGCCACCGAGCTTGGAGAAGTCGATACCGCTGAAGTCGCCACCTCCTGATGTTTATATGTTAGTTGAAGTGTTTTGTAGCTTATGTTTGGAGAAACTTATTACGTACCCATACCACCCATACCGCCCATGCCGCCCATGCCGCCCATGCCGCCCATGCCGCCCATGCCACCCATACCTCCCATACCTCCCAAACCTTCCATGCCACCCATTCCTGGCATGCCTCCTATAATGAGCGTTAGTGATATCATCCATAAAGGCTAAAGGCTAACGACTAGTGCCTTTCAAGGTTACATACCCATGCCGCCGCCAAATTGCGACAAATCATCCTCAGGAGCCTCATTCTGCTCATCCTCATCGACCCACTTGTCAAAGTCGGTCTTTAGGAATTGGACTTTCTTAGCTTCCTTGAGCAGACGGGGCCAGTAGGCATCGTCAAGTTCCTTCTTGCGCAGTTTTAGCTCGACGTTACGGGCAGTATGGTGCACATTGCTGGCAGCGGGGTCGATCTCAGCATAGAATGTGAGGTCCAAGTGGTATGTTCGCTTGAGTGTGTCTGAGTGGCCGGTGAAAGTCAAGGTTGTTGGCTGCAGATCAAGCTTCAGATTCTCCTTGGGTACATCGGGAACCGAGATAGTGAGATAGATGAAGTTCTTCTCGGGGTCGGTGTTAGAGGAGCGCTGAGCCCATAGAACTGCGCACAAAAACAGTGGTTAGTTTTGGATTTTCATTGGAATTAATAGGTTAATAGCTGTTGTGTAGTCTAGATCTAATAGGCACGTTCTACCTAGGTGCATATAATGTGTGGTATTGGGTAGGTATCGTCAACTCACCTTCGGGAGTAACCTGCGACATGTTGGCAGCGATGATGTAGTAGTTTCTGATGATAGTGGGGTATATGTCGTTGAGTGTCTTATAGAAAGATTGAAATAGGTGGGAGCGGGGTTGTTAAATAGTGATCTCAACGTTGAAAAATAACGACGTTGAACTTGTTCGACAGATAACAGAAAAAATGGGATTTATCGAATTGGTAGGAAGAGGATAGAAGAAAAGCGGTGGAATGCGGAAAACCGTCACAAGAAAAAAAAATAAGTATGAGGTTGTTCTAAAGCTTAAAGATGAAAAGCAACTGCTTGCACCTGCACCCCTCCGTTAAACATCGAACCAGCACGAAAGCGGCGGAAGAAGCAGCAGGGCTGGAATCGAATGGGGGGCAGGTGCCTGACTTGCTCATTGGTTTCACTTTCGCACTGTAATTAAAAAATTCATTTGATTGATTTGATTGGATAAAAGTCGTGCGAAAGTATTTTGGAGATGTACTTCCGGAGCATACGAGGTACATTACCATAACATATCATACCTATTAAGTACATGTAATAGACGATATTCTCAACGTTCAGTTACTGCATACAATGTAGCACAAGTAGCATGCATATGTGCATGCATATGCTATGTAGGTATGTGGTGTCAACTTGATAGATCAATCGTATTCTATACAATGCCTCACAAGCTGCGTCATTTTCAGAAGCAGGGGAACATTATAACAGGAAGGGCCAAGATGAAAAAGGAAGAAAAAAAGCAAACTCCGAGATGACTGCATAAAGGTGAAGTTTGATAGAAGCCCTACGCTACGGTGTAGGTTCCAAAGCCCTGGTTTCATCTGCAGGTAGATTATTGAAGTTGCATTCGTTACGGTTGATACATGTCCATACAATCCATATGTAATCAGTGATCACAATCAATTGATATTTTCCAGGTATGCAAGTAACACAAATACGGATACAGTGAAGTATGTGAATTACAAGTCTGGCTAGATACATAAAGTTTGTACGGTGGAACCTTTCCCACTGTGCAGATTTTGCTGCCTTGCACAGGACTTTAGCGGGGTTAGGCTGGTTCCTGGGCACTGGGGCCACTGCAACGTCATTAGATCGCATTATCAACTATCCGTGTCTTTATCGGGTTCGTTCCTCTCTATCGGTTCCCCTAATCGAAACCTGAACCACCCATACTAAAATCCCATACTAAATCGTGCCAATCCCTCTTAACCACTTCAGCTCCCCCGGACTGCTCTGCCAGATCCCATCTAAGGCATCTCGGCAGGAGCCGTCCTTGTCGAGCTTTATTCCACATATTTACAACATCAATTTTTCAACCTGACCGTCTCCAACAACCCATATTTGCCAAGATGGAGACCATCAAAGCCCTCTTCGTCGCGCCGGATCCCAATGCCCAGGTGAGCTCAACCAAACGCCTCCCTCCCTCCCTCTCCTCTCCTCCCTCCCCTTCCGTTCCCTCACACCGACCCACTCTATATGCTCCCCGGGTTTATCGAAGCGCACGTGTAGGGAACCCATTAGGCAGAGAGAAAACCACCCAGCCAGGCCTCCTTTACAACGAGAAACAAGACCCCTATTCACTAACAAAACCGTCCCTCCCCTTCGAAAAAAACAATAGATGCGAAAATGCAACACGATAATCCGCTCCAACATCCGCAAGCTCGACCGTGACATCGCGCAAGTGAAGCAAGTCGAAGTGAAGACCAAGAACCTGATCGTAGCCGCGGACCGACGCGCGCAGCGCAACCCCTCACAGGCGCGGCAAGCCCAGCGAGAGGTGCGGGACTTCGCGCGGGAGCTCCTGCGCGCGCGGCGGACCTCCGCCCGACTCATCACGTCCAAAGCGCAGCTCAACAGCGTGCAGATGCAGGTGCACGAGGCCTTCGCGGTGCGGCGCATCGAGGGCAGCATCCGCGCCTCCGTCGGCGTCATGAAGGACGTCAACGCGCTGATCCGCCTCCCCCAGCTCGCCGGCACCATGCGCGAGCTCTCCCTCGAGCTCATGAAGGCCGGCGTCATCGAGGAGATGGTCGGCGACTCCTTGCCCCTCGACGACGGCCTGCTGGAGGAAGACGAGGAGGAGGAGGCCGAGGGCGAGGTCGACAAGGTGCTCGGCGAGATCCTCAAGGGCCGCATGGAGAAGGCGGGCCCGGCGCCCAGTGCCCCGCTGCCCGCACAGGCACAGCAGCAGCCGGAGCAGCAGCAGCCGGAGGAGGAGGAGGAGGACCAAGAGGCCATGATGGACCAGATGCGTAACAGGCTCGAGGCATTAAGGAGCTGAACTGAGAGACTACTGTTACCTTTTCTTTGGCCCATTCATTTTTACGTTCGCCAGGTCGGGTAGAAAGTTTGCTTCACTCATAAATTTGTATCGGCGTTACGGAGTCGTGTTTTTTGCGTGCGAGAACGAGCGAAGGGGAGGAAGAGGAGGGGGGGGGGGGGGAGGGGGTGTGTGTGGAATCCCGGGGTTTACGATCGTAATCATTCTTCATATTGAAGGGTTGGGTACATATCTACCTAGGCAGGCAGGCAGGCAGGCAGTCAGTCAGTGTTTAGTGATTGAGATTCGAAGAAAGAAAGAAAGGCGGATGGATGAATGGTCCAGCGCCTGAGTATATATAAAATCACGATTACCATTACTGTTACCGTTACTATTATCCAGAACGAGAACGAGGCATTGGACATTGGGCAGTGAGCAGTGAGTATTTGCAATTGCTTTGACTGTTTGAAATCACTTGCTCTACCATGTATGCGTGTGTGTATGAGTGGGCAACGATGTATAAAACCACGTGCTAGGTAGGTATCCTGAGCAAAGCATACATCTCGCTATAATGCGCTTCTTTCTAGGCCCAGCAGTATCTAGTCTGCTACTCTACTAGCCACCTTCTCATAGATTACCTAATTAGGTAAGTACATGACATATCAATGCAACTATCTACTTAAGCTAAGGGCGTTTATGAATCTTTTTTTTTTTCAAAAACTCCATTTCGGCGTAGTCGACGGAAGACTATCGTGTCCCTGGTCCTCCGCCGTCCAATCCCAACTCGTCGCCGTGAACACGTTCCTAGCAAACTGCTCCGCACCCATCGCGTGCTCGAACCGGAGCCGCTGGTCACCCGCAAGGGACCGCGTGTACCGGAACGGCTTGGCCGGCGGGTCTCCATTCTCGTCACCGGGCGGCATCCAAGTGGTGGCGTGACGATCGACCTTCCACGTCTGTCGGGTGATGGGGATGGAGTTGGCGGATAGCAGGCCTTGGATGAAGTCGAGAATGGGCACAACACGGGTGCGGAGCCCACAGTTGGTGTGGTGCTTGTCGATTTGGTAGCTGGGGCATTGCCGCAGCGTGGAGAGGATCCCGTCGATCTGTAGTAGCGAGGTGTCCGCGACGGAGTCGAGGGATCCCGAGGTGAAGTCGACGGGGAAGAGGAGATGCTTGTTCGTTAGAAACTTGAACATTTCCCCTAGCTGGTACGAGTCGCAGGCGGAGCTCGAGTCGTACCCGAGCTTACACTGCCGCGTGCGCGACGTGTAGAGCTGTATGAAGTGCTGCGGGACAGAGGCGATTGTCTCTAGAATGCACTGGCGCCGATATTGTAACTCATCTGCTCAGGGGGTTAATATGCACAGACACAATAGATGTAGACGTGATCATGTATTCATAATTAATAAACACTTACGCTCAAGTCCATCTTGCAAATACCACCACGTGGCATGTGAACCATCATCCTCTTCAGCGAAGGGGCTCCATCGACAGGACCCGTTCATGATGATCTCCTTTGTGGCAGATTGGAACCTAGTTGGCTGATTCAACAGCCACGACACAAGGATTTTCTGACGTAGAATATCTTCGTTTACTCGGCTCATCACGGAGACTTCATCTCTAACAGGCTTACGGCTTGTTACGGGCCACTTGAACTTTAGGCCACTGGCGAGATACTTGGAGACTGCAGCCGCACAATCAAAACGATCAGCTAACACGGCTAGAGTGGTGACAAATATCATCGTGACCTGCTTCGTAACGACTTCTTTGCCATGGAGAACACGCAAAAGGTCTGCAAATGCACCATCTCTATAAGCGTAGCGGGTGGCTTGGTCATCATCTCGAATCTTGATCCAAGGAAGGTCCTTGGCTTCAGCAGCATCAGGCTTGATATTCTTCAAGGAGAGTGCAGCAAAGGCACTGGATATATCATTGGCCTCTAAGAAGCGAATATCTGTGAGAAGCTTTTCAAAGTATTTAGACTGACCCTTGAGCGCCTTGATGCTGACACGGAAGGCCACGCGGGTTTTCTTCTTTGGTACAGGCTGCGTTCCCTGGCTGCCTAGTTTAGACTGGGCAGCTTGGGCAGATCGGATGGTGTCCCGGGAGTTCTCAAAAGTGACATCTAGGATCAGATCTCCATTTTGAACAATATCAATATTAATTACTTCGGGAAGCTTTCCCGCGACATTATGGTCTAGCGGGTCGTTGTCTAGAGCCTGGCCTGAGCCGTCCATTTGGCTTGTCTCCTGTGTGAGGCAATACCCTGTATATGCAGAGATCCGAGGTGGTCATCAGTCCGAAAAACCCGTCGTCAGGCTCAGCTTATTGATAAAATATATTGATATGCTTGATGATATAGAAATAGACGATTGAAGATGAAATGGGGAAAGAGATATATTTATTTATCTTCTAATGTTGAAGCACATAAGATAGGTAAACATCAAACATTGCACGTTGAACATTGAACATTCAACATAAGAGAGTGACGTGCGTTGTCATGTAAGAAAGAACATTTGTGGTGACAGCTTGGCGATGTGGAGACGTTAAGATCCAATCATGTTTGCTTGCTTGCTTTTGTAATAAAATTACCCTACCTAGGGTAGGTACTAGGTTAGGTATATCTCATATCTCATACGACTGGATCAGTTACATATCAACTCGTTCTTTCTCTTTCGTTTCGTATAAACTATAAACCATAAGACATGAACTTTATATCTAGTACGTTACCCTACCTTTACTCTACCTAGGGTAGGGTAATATCTTTCTGGTCAAATGACTTCTCTCCCTTCTCTTACTACAAGAGAGATTCGAACACCTGGAATTTAAGTCATTTTCTGAATATGATATCAATCGATATTTATAGCCCCGACCCCAGTCTCGTCTCCTCAAAGCCTTCATCAAGTCGTCGTCAGCAGCAGATGTATTCGTTTCGCTTTGAAATACATAAACGTGATAGAACCTCTGGGTTAACCAGAACAGAATTTACCAACTCATTCCGAGTAACTTAATCGATCGATCGTTTGCTTCATTGAGAGGTGGCAAAACAACACTTCCTTAGGATTCTGACTTGTCAGGCCCGTGTTGCACCTCATCAGGCTTGCTAGTCTGCTCAACTGGGCCAACTGAGTTCTTCGCTTTCATTAATGGCCAGTGGCCCTTGACTTCGCGATACCTCATGACACCGAGTGAGATCATAACGGCAATCCAGTATACGTTATAAGAAATAACGGAACCGTATGATGCTGAGTTGGTCCACCCAAGTATCGCATTGAATATTCCCCAACCTCCTTCGCCGCCGTTGAATTCTGGGCTGCAACACTATGGTATATAGTTAGGACTTGCCTTGCAACAGATGAGAAACATCACTTACGTTCACATGCCAGACGCTCTTATCTATATCGTAGGACCCAGGCCCGTCTCCCAGCTCGGCCGCATCACCACCAATGATATTGTTCCACTGCTGGTTCTCAAAGTACCAAACAGAGCGCGAGAACAGACCTGCACCGACCAAGTATAGCAGACATGTGGATGCTATTAGGAAGTATTGCAATTTGGCGCCAGCTCCTCCCCTATTGAAAATCAGCCAAGTACGATTGCAATCATGCACCAAAACTCACTTGTATAGGATATAGCCGACGATGGCACCAGCAGCTAACCCAACAACTACCGGAAGCGGGACTGCAGTAGCTGGCGCAGAAAAAGAAACGCCAGCAATGAAGACGATAGCTTCAATGCCCTCTCTTAGGACGGTAATAAAGGGAAGAATAAACATGGCGTACTTTTCGGCAAAGCGTTTGAACCGACCACTCCGATGACCACCTATTACCACGGGACTTTCAAGAGCTTTAGCAAGCTTGACCCGCCATTTTTCTTGCATCTTTCCAACACGAAGAAGAGCTGCGCCGACGATGCTGATGATGATGGACGCAATAAGCGCGAACGCGCCTTCGTAATTGTATTCGTTGGTTGCCCAGTTATCTTTGCCCAATGTGTAAAAGGCGCCGATTAAACCGCCAGCGACGACAAGGCAAAGAAATAAGCCAAGGCCGACCCCGACCCATACCTGGAGAATGAACGGTTATTTCACTGCGCCTCGTGTCACAGACTATATATGAATTGATGCGATCTTACCTGCTTCACGAGAGTCTTGTACACCTTCAAGTCTCGGTTAGGCCCATCGAGAGTTTGTTTGAGAAAGGCCAGTAAGACAGAAACAATGATGACTGTTTCGAGCGTCTCTCGGAAGACGACCAGGAATACTGGGACGGAGAAGACATTGTCTGCCGCCATTTTGAAGAGACTGAGAAGATGCAGACCGATTTCCTTGGGTTTGTACCAATAAATTCAACGTGAGAAATAGCGAATTATCTTGGGATCTGATAAATAGAATCTGATAAATGGGATCAGATAATATTAAGTGGGGTACTGGCTCAGGGGGGGTTGATCGGCTAACAGTTGAGATGGTTGCAAGATGGATGTCTAAGGGATGTGGAGGGGAGTTTGCTTGGATGATTAACGGCCGATTACGGGTGGATGATGGAAAGACTTTTTTTTTTACCGGCTCTGGAACTGCCAGGCCATCGGAGTCTAATATCTTCAGCTTTGAGCACTTGAGACGTTTATAATTCGGTGGCTCGGTACCTATGTAGTTAGGTACCTAGGTCCTATATCTCGAACATGGGACTACCTAGTACAAGGTATGCTAGATAAAAAGGGCTGCGATGGGGATTGGATGGAGGTTATTGCTGTCTACCTGGTCTACCTGGTATGTAGTATATACTAACCAAGGCACAATGGCACACAGCACTAAACAATTGACAGGAAAGAAGAAGAAGATAAGATCGATCGGCTTGGGTAAAACAGCGAGATGGTTCGATTCATGAGGATAATCGAATGCTTAGTTATGCCAACCCTTGTTTATACAAGGTTCGACTGGTTCAGAACAAGAAGTTCGTCGACAGGATCAGCCATTATAAGCATGGGCTAAAGTGCCGTTTCGTTGCAGTGCTACGGACGCTGTGTCAAGCTTTGCCAACCCAAGACTACTGCAACATATGATCCTAGCTCAATTCTGTTACCGAATTAGTCTTTGTGCGGATCGGGCGTCCAGCGATACATTACCTACATACGAATACTGCTATGTAATAGGTACAGTTTCTTCTGTTTGCTCCTTGAATATATTGTATTGTACATACCATTGAACACTTGGAGCATTAAAGAACCAAAGCTAACTAGTAGGTAATAGGTAGGTAGGTAGGTACATAATAATCTTTATCTGTTTACTCCCTTCTAGTTACTTCGTACTCGGTTCTTCATTTCACCCAATTGTCACATTATCTACAAGGGATTGCTAACGTAGCAGACGAATGCTGGGGCCCCATGCCGAGAAATCTTATCAGATCATCGTATTATACAAGCTTCCTAGCATGTTATAGGGTGGATTGTGCGACCTGCATGTCTACCGAGACTGCTACGTTGTTTAATATCCACCGCTAGCGAAACAACTTGAATAGTACATACGGCGTACCTACCTACACCTTGTGGACCATTCTCTTCCGCGCAAACATATGAGCTAGCTACCGAGATTTCCTAGGTAGTTACCTGCCTAGTAGAGGAAATCTAGACCAAAATCATTAGTGAGGTCCTATGGTAGCCGAGCTCCCTCGTTTACAGAACGAGCATAACAATATTAGTGTTAACCCAGGAACTGGGAGCTGCCTCTCTAGACTGGTCCAGATTTCGAAAGCCTCATGGCTTTTGTTACTGACCTAGGTAGTAGCCTAACCACTAGGTAACGATGGCGCTGTGCGAAGGCGTTGTTTAGAAGCAATTCCGCCGAAACCTGGCGATTTTATTCGGGCCAATCTTTTCACATTTTGGCGGTCTCGAACTGGGACTTCCCTTCCCTTCCCTTCCCTCCACCTCCACCCTCCACCCTCCACCCTCCACCCTGCTGCTTTAATACTCGTAATGTATCAGGATTCATCAGGTTAATATGAAATCGGAGTCTATATACTAAGTACCTAGCCTACCCGACAAGGTTCAATTCTCACCGTGCGTCCCAAGTAACGTATACTAGGGTTGCATACACTGATTGATAAGATAATCCTTCAATGTTTCTTAATCCCTCCTCCCTTGATCAAGCTTTGTCGGTACAAGGTAGAAGTAAGTCGTACCAAGAGTGTCGTCGTATGGTACGGTGTTTAGCTCGAGATCAACTTCAGCCCTGGCAGGAAAGACGATTTCGGCTTCTACCAAGTAAATCGTCAGATTAAGCGTCATTGAAGACGTTCCGGCTCCAGACAATTTTCTTTTACAATATACATCCCTATTTGCGTCCCTTGGATATTGTCCATACCTACTGCTTAGTTTATATTGTCTCTTATCCTTTCCTGTCGCTCAACCGCTTTCTACCTTGCCTGTGCCGCGGGGTGTGTCTTCAATATGTTTACTCTTCCCGGGCGCCTCGTCCCACTCGTGGCTTGGACGGCCACGCTTTTAAGTCTCTCCAGAGCTGCCACAGTCACCTATGACTTCAACATCACTTGGGTCACTTCAAATCCAGATGGCGCATTCGACAAGCGTACCATTGGTATCAATGGCCAATGGCCACTGCCTCCCATCGTCGCAAATGTTGGCGACAATGTTATCGTCCGCACGACGAATCAACTTGGGGATCAGCCGACATCTCTCCACTTTCACGGTTTGTTTATGAACGGCACGACACATATGGATGGGCCGGCTCAAGTATCACAATGCTCCATTGCGCCAGGCTCTAGCTTCACCTATAACTTCACTGTTAGTAGCTTCATGATGATAATGTACCCATGTCTCCGCGAAGGAAAGTGTTAACTCGTTGAAAAGATCAACCAGCCCGGCACGTATTGGTACCATTCCCACACCAATGGACAATATCCTGACGGGCTTCGGGGACCTCTCATCATCCATGACCCCGATTCTCCCTTCCTGGACACATTGTACCAGCAGGAAAATGAGAGGATACTGACCGTCTCGGACTGGTACCATGATCAAATGACTGATCTGCTGCCCGGGTTCATCAGCAAAGGCAACCCCACCGGAGCTGAACCCGTCCCACAAGCCGCTCTCTTCAACGACACGCAGAACTTGCAGATACCGGTCCAGCCTGGGACGACTTACCTCTTCCGTGTAATCAACATAGGGGCCTTTGCTGGCCAGTATATATGGTTTGAGGGCCACAACATGACCATCATTGAAGTCGATGGTGTTTACCACCAGCCCGCGGTTGCGGACATGATCTACCTCTCTGCTGCTCAGCGGTGCAGTTTCTTGGTGACGACTAAGAACGAGACAACAACAAATTATGCGCTGGTGGCAAGCATGGACACGGTAGGTGATCATCCCTAATCATGAGAAGTGTATGCTGCTTGGTGTTTGGTTATTGATAATCAATATGTGCTTTGACACTACTAGACTCTGTTCGATACGCTACCTGATGACCTAGACTACAATACTACGGCATGGCTGGTGTACGACGACGCCCGACCTCTACCAGAGCCTGCGCTTGTCGATGAGCTCAACCCGTTTGATGACATGACCTTGATTCCGTACGACAACCTAACTCGCTTCGGCGAACCGGACAGGTCCATTGAACTCGATGTGATTATGGATAACCTGGGAGACGGTGCCAACTAGTAGGTTTCCTGCTTTTGCTATAACAAAACTGATGCTCGTACTGACTGACTTCTCAACAGTGCCTTCTTCAACAACATCACCTACAAGTCTCCAAAAGTACCCTCCCTCTACACAGCGCTGTCCGCCGGGGACATGGCCACCGACCCGACCATCTATGGCACCTTCACGCACTCCTTTGTCCTCGAAAGGGGCGAAATCGTGCAAATCGTGGTTAACAACTTAGACACGGGCCGCCACCCCTTCCATCTTCACGGGCATGCCTTCCAGGCCGTCTATCGCTCCGAGGAGGAAGGCGGGACTTTTGCGGACTCGAACGTGGCGGAAGAGGATCTTGCGGCTGTCCCGATGCGGCGCGATACTTTGGTGGTGTACCCCAATGGCAACATCGTGCTAAGGTTTCGCGCCGATAATCCGGGCATTTGGCTCTTCCATTGCCATATTGAGTGGCACGTTGCGTCTGGTCTAAGTGAGTAACTTATCTACCTACCCCCCTATACTTATAGGCCCCAAGCCCCGTTCATATAGGCTTTTTTGAGTCGTGGGGGATATCTGCCAATGACAATGACTAACACGGAACACCCCGCAGTCGCAACCATGGTCGAAGCCCCCCTCGACCTACAAAAAACCATCTCGCTTCCACAAGACCACCTCGACGCCTGCGCGGTACAAGACATCCCAACCGCGGGCAACGCCGCGGGCAACACCGCAGACTTCCTCGATCTAACGGGTGAACCCCGTTCTCCGGATCCGCTGCCTGATGGGTAAAGTTCCACCTACCCCCTTCCCCCCCCAACGCCATCATCCCCGCAAGCAATATGGTGACAAGAAGCTAACAAATATACCTATCCAGATTCACAACCCGCGGCAAAGTAGCCCTAGCACTCTCCTGCCTCTGCGGCATCCTCGGCGTCATCGCCGTCGTGCTATACGGCCTCGCACCCGACAACGGCACTTCCGCTCCCGCGTGGGCCGGGGAGCAGGGTGTCCAGGAGGAGACGCGGTCGTCGGAGGGCGAACCGGAGGTTGCCACTGTGGTTGCGACGTCTGGAGGTGGGGGTAATGCGAAAGCATGATATATGATTTAGGTTACCTAATGGGGAAGAGGAAAGGGAAAAAGTAAAGAAAAGAAGAAAAGGGGTGTGATGTGATGATATGAGACGAAATCAAATGTGAAGAGGATACGAGAATAGGCCATCCATGTGTGCTGTTGCTTGGATCTTATATAGGTAGGTACCTGCCTACCTACCTACCTACCTATTTTATTTGGTATGTGTGATATATGAGCGATATATCTCGTTGTACGGATCGTTTCGAATAACTCTTACATACCTACGTAACTACCTACCGAACGAACGAAAAAAACCCCCCCAATGTTCCTTTATGATGCGCTGAATAGGTTACTTCTGTGATACCTGATAGCTACCTGCATAGGTAGGCGTGTGGACAATCACTAGGTTAGGTAGGTCCCTACTTACTTACCTACCTACACAACGGCAACGAAACAGCACAGCACCGCGTTTCGGGGACCTCCAGCTTTCTTCTCTCGCAATGTATATACCTATATACCTAACAACAACACCTACCCAGGTTAGTTACCTAGGTACATAATTCCTCTCCTTCATCACATGGATAGATACCTACTAATATTATCTAATCTACAGAATGGTACCTACCTACCTACCTACCTACATATGTAGCAAGGAAGGAAGGTGTATTTAATGATGATGATGATGATTACCTATAGATACCTAGGTACTACTAATGTATACATCATCACCAACTACCTCGCTCTCGCTTATAGGAGAAAGCAAACTAGACAAGTGTACATACCTATATTACAATCTTCTGGGACAGAAATATCTGTAGGTAGGGATGGATCACTTGCCTCCGCTTCATATACTCAGGCATTCAAAGTTTAGACCCAAGTGACTGAAAAGAGCCTCTCCTCGAGAAAGGATACAGGTGAGAGAAAAGCACGCGTACTTATCCTCGTAGTTTTACCCTTATGTCCTGTAGGTACCTAGTAACAGAACATTTTCAAGTCTCAATCCTACCTTGCAATGAGTCTTATAAAAAACGGGACCCTTCTTGTTCCTACGATGTCTACGAGAACATGAATAACACTCACTGGATCATAAGGCAGCTAGGAAATTAGGGTGAATTTGTATGTTTGGTATACAGCTCACAAAAGGAACTCAGTTGAGCTAGGGAAAATCATCAGAACCACGACTGCTCTCCTTTTCTAGATATACACAGGTCACTACCTTTTTTCTTTCGGTAGTGTCTATTTAACAGCAGTTACTCATTAGTTCCTTAAGACGACTTCTCCAGATCAGCCAAGATCTTCTCGCCCTTCGCCCGAGCCGACGCCAAGTCACCAACCATGTAGAAGGCACCTTCTGGTAGGTCGTCACCTTCACCGGCCAAGATGGACTTGAAGGAGGCGATGGTGGCCTTTAGGTCGACTAGCTGACCCTCGATACCAGTGAAAACCTGGGCAACAGTGAAAGGCTGGCTCAGGAAACGCTGGATCTTACGGGCTCGCTCGACGGTAAGCTTGTCAGCTTCCGACAGTTCGTCCATACCCAGAATGGCAATGATATCTTGCAGAGACTTGTACTCCTGGAGAATCTGCTGAACGCGGGTGGCGGTGTCGTAGTGGTCCTGGCCGACGACACGGGGGTCCAACATACGAGACTTGGAGTCTAGGGGATCGACAGCGGGGTAGATACCCAACTCAGAGATACCACGGGACAACACAGTGGTAGCGTCCAAATGGGCGAAGGTGGTGGCAGGGGCAGGATCAGTCAAATCGTCAGCAGGGACGTAGACGGCCTGGACTGAAGTAATGGAACCCTTCTTGGTGGTGGTAATTCGTTCTTGCATACCACCCATATCAATGGCTAGAGTGGGTTGGTAACCGACGGCAGAGGGGATACGACCTAACAGGGCAGACACCTCGGAACCGGCTTGGGTGAATCGGAAAATGTTGTCAATGAAGAGAAGCACTGTGTATTATTAGTAAGTTTGAACTGTAAACATGGCAATATGGAAATATGCATACCATCCTGGCCTTCCTGATCACGGAAGTATTCGGCAATGGTCAAACCCGTAAGGGCGACACGAGCACGGGCTCCGGGGGGCTCGTTCATCTGACCGAACACAAGGGCGACCTTGGACTCGCCATCGAGTTGAATGACGGAGGTCTCCTGCATTTCGTGGTACAGATCGTTACCCTCACGGGTTCGCTCACCGACACCGGTGAAGACGGAGTAACCACCGTGAGCCTTGGCGATGTTGTTGATAAGTTCCTGAATGAACACAGTCTTTCCGACACCGGCACCACCGAACAGACCAATCTTACCACCACGAGCGTAGGGAGCTAGAAGATCGACGACCTTGATACCAGTAACCAAAATCTCGGCAGAGGTAGATTGCTCAACGAACTCCGGGGGATCAGCGTGGATAGGTAGGAACTTGTCGGTCTTGATGGGTCCACGCTCATCAATCGGGTCACCAGTGACGTTTATGATGCGACCAAGTGTGGCGGGGCCGACAGGAATTGTGATGGGGGCACCAGTGTCGCTGGCCTTGGCGCCTCGGGTGAGACCTTCGGTACCTATCAAAATGTGAGATCACTGTCGCAAACGAATTTTTTATGTGGTTGTGACGTACCGTCCATGGCAATGCAACGGACGACATTTTGACCCAAATGTTGCTATAATAAGTTTAGAAATAGCTCTGAATAATGAGAATGTGGTGGATAAAACTTACTGCGACCTCGAGCACGAGCTTCTGGCCGTTGTTGGTAACCTCCAAAGCGTTTAAAATCGGAGGGAGCTTCGCGGTGTCGAACTTGACTGTAATAATTACATTGTCAGTATAATTGACCTCTTTTTTTTACTACCAATAGCTCCAGATATGATAACTTTTGGGGTTACTAACCGTCAACGACGGCACCGATGACCTGTTGATTTCTCCATTAGCTCCGGTTCATGGCTCGGCAAAGCTCCGCAATGTGCGTCCCATGGTTACAACTTACCTGGTAAATTTTGCCATCACCAGCACTCGTTGTGCTTGCGAATCGGCTAGTAATAGGGAATTTGAAAGCAGAGGCCGCTGCAGGTCTGACCGCGCGCCTCGTAGAAGCGGCGAAAGCAGGCCTGGAAGCTCTCGCGAAGGAAGAGAGGCCGCTAAGTCGGGGTAAAGAAAAAATCTGTAATTAGCTCAATTGATCCCAATTGATGATGGAGTAAGTGGAAAAGTATATCCAGACATGATAACTTACCTCTTGAACATCTTGCAAGATGACCTAGAGCGATAAAGGATAGAAGGAGTGGAGGAGGGTGATGAGTTTGGGAGAGGAAATAATTTGAATCAAGTCGAGGTTGAAAATGGCGCTGGCGGTTTCCATTTGGCCCGGGTTGGCACAACTGCCCCCAAAAGGAATCGAAAAGTAAAAAAACGCCCCACTTGTTAACTGGTGCGCTAATTACACGTGACTTATATACCTAGTAGGCACTCACATGACCTTACGATACTACCCGATCCGACTCCACCGCACTTTCAATTCATTCTTGAAGTTCTTTCCTTTTATGCGGTTTACGGCTTAACCACACACTATACCACACACAAATCAGTAACACCATGATCCATGTATATATTCTTATGCATATGTAGTACTATGTACATATCTAGGTCTATTCCCAAGTACCCGATGCTATCTATATGCATGTGTAACACTTTTATAGATAGGAACAAGTGGTATTTATAATGCCCTCTACATACGAAGTACATGGATAAATAATTGTATGTAACTCCGACTCCCACGCGGTGTCAGCAAAAAGAACAGAAGAGAAAAAAAAAAGAAAAAATAGGAGAAAAAAAGAAAAAGAAAAGAGAGATGGCATCCCATTGATTTTATAAGACACTTAATACAAAATCGGCCAATCCTAATAGTCAAACATTCCAACTCCAATTCACACCCTATGCCTTATGAGGTCCCTGCCTAGTGAAATCCCTAGAAATTCTATGTACAAGATGATACAAACAACAGTTTATATGACTAAGGTATGTAGTACCTAGGCGCCCAAGCCCACCTACCTGGCATGTAGGTACTCAGCCATAGTGTGTCGCAAGTCTATAATCATCTTCAACGTTTATCCCGTATCGTTCAATGCGTTATAAGCCCCCTCCGCCTCATATCGTGAAAGGCTGTGTAGGAGTCGAAGTACACCCATCGAGCCGTTTATCTCTTAACTCGATCCTCATACCTCCACGTTTCCTCCTGCTTGGTACCCGGTGGCAGCCAGGCCGCATTACTAGTTCCCCTCTGCCGTCCCTTACCAGCATCATCACTCTTCTTAAAGTCGTCAGCCCCTGAGTTAGGTTGTGAGGAGAATCCGTTGGTATAAGTATGAGATGCTGATCCATTAGACGTTGGCTTTGGACTTTCAAAGATCTGCAATGGTTGACCAGTGGAAATAGAACCTCCTTGGCTAGTGTTGAGTGGTAATAAGGGCTGGTCTCGTCCTGCACTTTGGCTCAAAAGACGTGCGCGACGGTCGGCTTTATTACTGTCGTTGGTTCGGTCATACAAGTAAAGGCCAAGGAACGTAAGGCCAATACCCACAGCCTGAAGCGGAGTTGTAGGGTTGCGGAACCACAGAATTGCGACTATGATAACCCAAACCCGCTTAATAAGGGATGCAACCGAGTACGTAACAGGCGAAACCATCGACAGCAGAATAAAGGCTAATATGTTTTGTCCAAAATGAAAAGTTCCATTGAATAAGAATTCGATTGTCAAACGTCCGTGATCAAAGCTGTTAGGGTGTGAAGACAGGTCTACCGAACCGTCGTGGTAAACGTCCCTGATTAGACCAACACCTTCACTCCAAAACCAGATAGGGGAGGTCAGTAAGAAAGCAAGTCCGGATGAATAGCAAAGAAGATTTAGCTTATCGAGTTTGCGAGATTTGGCAGACTGTCCATCTGCTTCAGCTTTGGCGGCCTCATTGAAAAGTCTCTTAGAAAAGATATTCTGCGTGACAAATATGATGGTGGCTAGAAGAGCGTAGATGAGACCGACTATCTCTCCTTTAAAGGTGTGGTTCGACGAACAAGCGAGCATCACACCCATAGTCAATGGCACTAGCGAAAAGTATGTCGCCTTTGGGTATCGAATATCGAAGATGAATCGGTAAGCAAAGACGGTAAATAGTGGAGAAAGTCCTTTGACAGTATGAACCATAGAGACCGGGATCTTGGAAGTTGCTGTCGAACTTAGTAGATGGCCACCTATTTGGAAGGCAGCTAATGGAAGAGTAGTTGTGATGACATCTCGCGACGGGTATCGGATGGCGTTCTTCAGTGCTGGGATGGATGTTCGTAAACTTGGAAATACTGATGCTAACCACGAGAAGGTTATACAATAGAATGCGACCAAGAAGAACTGGATCATGGTCAGGGTAGCAGGTTTGTCGAAAGCATTGAGGATTGACTTCGAGGAGGTATTTGTCAAAGCAGAAGACATATACCACATGACGCAAAGGAACTAGATTACGCGCGCCACGTCAGCATGCAATGCGCAAATAATAGTGGTATTAGATTGACATACAACAAGCCTAGGAGATACAGGTGCCCGTAGAGCATCTGCCAGCTCGTGGGCATTCTGGCTGACACTACCATTTCGTCCTCTGATAGTACGAAAGGCTTCACTAATGCTCTTCTGTCGCCCATGACCTCGAGAAGGGCCAGGCGATGGTCCTAGAGGAGAACCCCATCGTACACCTCTTGATGCAGATAGGTCTCTTCGCGGCATCCAGCGATCTCCATTGATGTGAGCCCCTCCACTTAACCCGATCCCATATGCGTTTAAAGCGGCAGGGCTTATTGACCTCGCACCACTGGCGCGCATTGCTGGAGAATCGATATGGTCTGGGAATTTCTCGAGGCCGGAGCTGGTATCACTATCTGGGTCTGCGTGATGCTTGGCATTGGATCGCGGAATGGATGGGTCTCGCGGGTATGAGCCGGAGCTCGTAGAATGAGGCATTATAGTTGTCGAATTTGCGGTGCAGTGCAGATTGGTGAGAGTATAAACGAAGGACAGAGATGCAACACGCAAATATTGGGGAAAGGGGGATTTACAAGTAGATCATGGCTTCAAGTCGTGTTGTATGGTAGGTGTTGAAGTGAACGGATGTGAATGAACAGCATGAGTTTTTGCAGGTCGGCAGTTATAGGATGTCACAAAGTGATTGTAGATATCATATCGGATTCACCCATAAAATTGACCTTGACGGTTGTAGTTGTGTTCAATGTAAGATATCACACGTAGGTTATGTAGTAGGTTGTGTAGGATGTGTAGGATGTGTAGAGGTAAGTTGTGTAAGTTGCTAAGTTGCTAAGTTGCATATGTATGTAAATGGTAAAAGGAGGGTCTTGATTTCTGCCGCGTGGCAACCCCTGTAAAAATGACTGGTTACTTGACGCGATTGAGAAAAAAATATGTAACTAACAGTGTGTTGAATTTGAGCAACCCCCCTAAAAAAAGAAAAAGTCAATGCTCCACCGCAATTCATGATTGACCGTTATCAAATCAACCAACTTAAGCCAAGCACCTGCCAAAGTTGACGCTAATAACCAGTAAAATGACCAGGTATTTCGTTATCCCCCCACCGGCCAATCTGCAGCCCACCGTAACCTACGGAATAAATTTGGTAGATTGGTAGAGCATCTATGGATGGATCGCTCCACTAATCACGGCCCTGGGACTAGTAAAGTACTTTTGTAGTTAGTACTAACTACTAGTAGTAACTACATAAGGTACCTGCCATGTGGTGTCCACAAGTTAGTTATTTTACCCAGTGGCTCAACAAAGTGTGGCTATGTGCCAAGAGATTGAAATGTCATTGCCAGTGCACTGCAACTTTGCACTTTGAACCTGGATCTTTTTTCAAGTCGCGCTGAATTATTAAACTGGACTCAGCCTTGTTGGAAAACTTGAGCTTCGTCAACATTACCATCCACCATCCACCATCCACCATCCACCATTCGATCATTCTATCATTTGATAGAATATCTGATAATTATTCATTTAATTATCAGCAAAGAAGACAACACTTTCTTTGTATTGTCTTCTTTAATCCAACCAACGAAAATACTATTACATCCTAGTGATCGCATTAACTTCCACTAAAGAGAGGTGCTTTTCAAACGAACCGACAACATGGCGGCTCCTAAGTTGACCAAGAACCAGAAGCGCCGAGCCAAGAAGAAGGCAGATAAGCAATCAAAACCTGAAGTAAGCAGTTCCTATATATTTATCACACGTTTATCTCAGATATTAACGAAATGTAGGAAACACCACAACCAGATGATACCCCCCAAGTCGAACCCACTGAGGACGAGTCCGAACCGACCCAGGACGCGTCCGATGCAAATGGTACAACAGCACCTGAAGTCAAGAAGGATGTCGATTCATCAGACAAGATACCCGCCGATGGGCCTGTCGAAACTGATGAATATGACTTCGACGAAGAAGATCCTACTTTCTCCATGTATAAAGATATATTCACCAAGTTTGGCGTCTCAAGAGAAGAAGATGACATCGCAAAAGAGGCCAATGCTGGTAACCAGGGCGAGGTGTTCTTCGATGACGATAACGAGATACCCGACGAAGAAGAGGAGGGAAATGCACAACCCAAATTGTCCAAAAAGAAGCGAAAGATGTTGAACAAGCTCTCCATCGCCGAGCTAAAGGCCTTAGTAAGGAAACCTGAGGTCGTGGAGTGGCACGATACATCGTCATCAGATCCTCGAATGCTGGTTCAGATCAAAGCGCAGCGGAATGTAGTCCCGGTTCCTTCACATTGGTCCCTGAAACGCGAATACCTCTCCTCCAAGAGGGGTATCGAAAAGCCGGCTTTCAAACTACCCAAATTTATCGCAGACACCGGTATTTCTGAGATGAGAGATGCTGTGTTGGAGAAGCAAGCGGAGCAAACCCTGAAGCAAAAGCAGCGTGAAAGGGTACAACCCAAGATAGGAAAACTAGACATCGATTACCAAAAGCTCTATGATGCCTTCTTTAGATTCCAAAGCAAGCCGCAGCTAACGCGCTTCGGGGAAGTCTACTTTGAGGGTAAAGAGTTTGAAACCGATCTGCGGCATCTTCGACCTGGAGAACTAAGCGACCCTCTTAAAGAGGCATTGAGCATTCCTCCAGGTGCCCCCCCACCGTGGCTAATTAACCAGCAGAGGTTCGGTCCTCCACCTTCCTATCCCTCTCTCCGTATCCCCGGACTCAACGCCCCGATTCCACCAGGAGCGCAGTGGGGTTTCAATCCAGGATGCTATGGCAAGCCTCCTGTGGATGAATACAATAGGCCTCTGTATGGAGGTGACATTTTTGGTATCATGCAACCCTCTCAGCAAGCGCCTCCGCCTGGCGAGCCCATTGAGCGTACCTTATGGGGTGAGCTACAGGAGCCCGAAGAAGAATCTGAGGAAGAGGAGGACGAGGACGAGGATGAAGAAGAGGAGGACGACGAGGAAGACGTAGGTGCTGGCTTGCAGACTCCTTCTGGTATGGAAACACCTGGAGGCTTAGCGAGTAGCGTCCCGACAGAATACGGCGGCACAACTACCGAATCTGTTGCTGGAGAGCTCGATCTGCGGAAATCCCGTCGCGGTTACGAAACTGAAGATAGCGCACATCCCCGCGCCGCTTACACGGTTATCCAAGAAAAGCAAGCCCGAGCAGAGGGCTTCTTCGGTAGCGATCGGATATATGATCTCAAGAATGCTGGTGGGGACATGCGTGTTCTTGGCCAGGACGAGGATAGCAGTCGGAAGCGTAAGAAGCCTGGTGACGTGGAAGTTTCTTTCGATCCGGATGCATTGGTAGATGGTATCAGCAAGGAGGAGATGAAGAAGAGATTTGAGGAAGGACGACGGGACGAGGGCATTGGCGCTAATTGGAGAAGAGAAGAAGGCCTTGACGAGATGATTGCCAATGAAAGTCGCAAGAGGCTGAAGCGGGACGAGGAGAAGAGGGACGAAAAGAAGAAGTATAGGTTCTAATACGACAAGTTCCGGGAGGACTGGCATTTGCTTTGCGGGTGTTGATTAATGTACAATAATGGGAACTGCCAGCCTTTTTGGGTTTCTGGACAGACAGCCACAACAACAGCAGTGACCTCTTCAAAAGCAGGAAGACCAAAAAGGCAAAATACATCCAACACATTTTCTAAGGCTATCAAGTAAAGGTTGATTTATTTCGTTGTTTGAAATTGATTTCTCACTAGTTTCGAGCTACTTAGCATCACCATGGGCAAGTAAACTACCTCATCCCATCCCTTCCCGCTCCTCCCTTCTCCATCCTCCTATAGAATAATAACAGCTCCATCTTACCCTTATCATCAACGCTCCGCAACATTGTTGCCAGTAATCCGATTCGCCTGCTCTTTCTGCGCGCTTTCGGTGCCCTGGACCAGGGTCTCGATCTTGGTGCTGGCGAACTTGCGAGCGGGGATTTTGTTCTCGAACAGGATGTCTAGCTCGGCGTATGTGCGGCCCATTGTCTCGGCTGTTGGTGAGAAAGCCGAGAGTCAGTAAGTCGAGATCAATTTTCAATATATAATATAAATCGAGAAAGGGAGTAGGGTAGGGTAGGTAGGTAAGGTACTGGAGGTGAACTCACGCAGCCTGAAGAAAATCCAAGCCGTAAAGATGGCGTTGGTGCCGGCCCAGAAGAAGGCGGTCTTGGGGCCCCAGTTCCACTCGGCCGGGTTCAGCTGGCGGTAGGAGACGACGTTGACGAAGGCGATGTTGATGGCGTTGTAGGCGTTGCGCGCGAGGATGATGGACTTGGCGCGCAGCCGCGTCGAGGGGATCTCGGATACGATGGTGTACACCACGGGCCCGATGGAGAAGTTGGCGGCGGCGCTGAGGAGCAGCACCATGGTTCCGGCCGTCCAGGCTTCGGCTGTGCTGGGGGGGGTGTGGATGCCCATGAAGCCTGTTATGCTGGTGTGGGGTGTGAGATTTAGTTTTTTTTTTTTTTTTTTCACAGTTTGGTTGAGGATGAGTTGAGGAGTAGCTCACATGAGAAGGACAAACATGATGCCCATGCCGCCGAGCACCAGCGTCTTGCGCCCGATCTTATTCAGGATGAACCAGCTGGCGATCGTGCCCACGGCGTTCAGCCCGGACTGGCCCCAGCCCAGCTTGAAGGAGTCGCTGTCGGAGATGCCGGCCTGCTGGTAGAAGTACGTCGAGAGCCCGCCGACCGCCGTGCCCGACATCGTCTGCGCGAGCCAGATCAGGCACACGATCTCTGTGCGCCGGAGGTCGACACCGCGGAAGCAGTCCCAGTATTTGGTCCCCACCGACACTTGCTTCTCCATTTCGTCGGTGTAGACCATTACTTTATAAATTTCCTATTAGCAAATTTCTATTTTTATATTGTATATATATAACCCGCTCTGTGTGGGTGTATTAATAGGGGAGGCAAAGGGAAGGGAATTGAAAACTTACAAGCCATCGCCGCGTCAGCGTCCCGTTGCGAAAACCCCGAGCTACGAGCCAGCCGCTTCAGCGACGCCTCCGCTCGCTCCTTTTGGTTGTGCCGGACACACCACCACGGCGACTCGGGCGCAAGGAACGTGCCGATGGCTATGGGAATCGGCCAGATCCACTGCAGGGAGAAAGGGATTTTATATCTAGAACGTTTCAAGATTCTCAGCACACTGAACGAGAAAATTCCCAGGGGTTTTGTTTCTGACTCTTTTTTTTTTCGAAAGAAAAGGAAAAGAAGAGGGAGAAAAACTCACCCCCACTCATCCTGCCTGCCCTCCAGCGCAACAAGAACGCCGCCGGAGATGAACTGGCCGATGATCCAGCACAGGTTGACGTAGCTGGTGAGGTAGTGGCGCAGGGGCACGGGGCAGACCTCGGCCGCGTACGCGACGGTCATGGTCTGGAAGACGCCCCAGGCCATGCCCTGGAACAGCTCGCCGACGAGGAAGATGGCCAGGCTGTTGGCGAAGAAGGGGAAGAAGATGAAGCCCGTCACGGCGACGAGCGCGGAGAGGAGCGTCCACCGGTACCCCCAGCGCTCGCAGAGAACGCCTGCGATCTGGAAGAGGGGTGAGTTTGGGTTGGAAGATCTAGGCAGGTGGTTGTGGGGGGAGGGAAAGGAAGGAAGAAAGAAAAAAAAAGGGGAAAGGGGAAACTATACTTGAAGACCGATAATCTCACCGACGTTCGTGGCGCCCGAAATGCCATTCTGCCAGCTCGCGGGGATCTGGTAGTCGCCGTTGGGGGCTTGGGTGCCGAATGTATCGCGGAAAGGGGGGAACGAGACATCTACGAAACCTTCAGCTTTAGATGTTTGGCTCGAGCTGTATTGGAGGTGTGGTAGTAGTAACAGAAGAAGTAGAATAATAATAATGAGAGCTTACACGACCCAACTATCGAAGTCCCGAAGCCCTCCATGATGATGCAGGACGAGAGGATCATGGACCAGGCGACGGCTTTGGGGTAGATTTTGAATGCGTCGGAGAGCTTCATGTCCCGCTCTCTTTCGTTTGCCTCGTTTGCCTCGCTTACAAGTGTCTGGATTCGCATTAGCCTCGTTTCTACGGACACAAAAGGGCAAGCAATTCATCCAAGTAGAATGGAGAGAGGCTCACCATGAAATCATCGACACTGGCCGCAATGCGACTGGCAATGGCCGGGTCAATTTGGGCGTACTGCCCAGTCTCCTTTGCATTCCCACTCCCAGTTCCCTTTTCCGTGTCACGCAGCTCGCTATTCGTGACGTCCTGTTGCGTCTGCGGACTAATCTTCTCATCGTCGCCATCACCTCCCCCATTATCCCTAGATTGCACCATTCTAACTCTAGCCAGAAAAGTCCGAGACACGTTGTGAGAAATATCTCTTTACCCGTTATGGTTGCGGGGAGATTCGAGGCTGCTTTGTCTTCGCCACGAGGTGTCCGGCTTCTTATTCAATTGCTGTCCTTTGTTGTGGGACCTGAGAGCAGCGGCAAACTCTTGAAAACCCTCGGTATGTATATGATAGCTATCTAGGTAGGCGAGTATACTATATATTCCCCCGCATCGTTGCAACCACTCACCCTACCCACGTATTCATCCCTTCGTAGATAGACCGCAGAAATACCACATTCCTCGGGCCTCAGGGCCAACCTGCAGGCTGTTTGTTGCACTTATCGTATAACCAAACCCCATGCAATAACTCGAATGATTGGGCAAGCGGCGCAGCTCGGATGCGGGGTACCTATGGCCTCCTCGCCTCTTTCTTGTCTAACCTTTGCTCTGATTGAGTTCACAATGTTCGGTAGAAAGCACGGATTCGAAACCGTTTTCTGTCTGAGGCGCTGACCTGGACCGTTTGTGTGTGTGCACCAAGGGGGTCTGATCACTTGCCTAATGAGGGAGGTTCGAGAACTCGTAGTCTGACCATATATCTACACAAATCTTGTCTGACTAGATACCTTAATCGTATGCAGGTATCCTTCTCGTCTTGTTGGAGTAGTCACGACGACATAGGTCATGTGATGGGTTGCTTATTATGCTGGTGATGGACTATCATAGGTATTACGAACCAACCACTTCAGCTTTAGTATTTGATGGGTGGTCATGTCTGCTTTGGTTCTATGTAGGGAGAGTAATCCAAGAACTTGAATACAAAATTGAAATATTATGGTCTCTTCGATGTGATACTTGCTTCCAACCGGGTAGAAGTTTAGGGAAATTCCCCTTTTTATTATGAATAGTGATCGAAAGAATACGTATATCTACGTGAATTAGAATCACATCATGCCCCCGAGAAGAAAAGCGAGAAGACGATAGTGTTTGATTTTACTGTTATACCAAAGGGTGAATGATTGATATCTCATTAAATCGCCATTTAGGTTATGTCTGTATATCTGATGTCTATCAGATAACAGTCTGGATTCCGTCCAAAAATATACTAGAGGTCTATGAGAAATTTACCAAGTTCCTCATACTTATTAGCTCGTGCTTTCACTACTATATTCAAAGTTTTTATATCAGTTACTCACTATCTACTATCTACTCGACTACATGCCTAGGTGTGTAACGAAAACCAAATCAAAAATAAGTGACTCTACTACCTTAACATAATGTGCTTCAGCAATATTAGAACTTTGCATGATACTCTAAATAAATTCCCACCTGGAGTGAATCTTATCCGCCCCCCCTGCCCCCTGGATTCTTTATATAACAAGTTTTTCGTTCCTGTCCCAGTACATCTACCACACCATCTCTCCAACCCAAGCCAAACAGCCCCCCTGCCTAAATCAACCGCATCGCGAGACACCCGAACAAGCCACTCTACCAACCACGACCAGCACCCTCACCCTCACCTCACCTCACTACACTGCACACACAATGCCATCCAACCGCCCCCTCACACTCCCCACCACCACGACCCTCCTCCTAATCCTCGCCAACAGCGTAGCGCAGGCCCAAGCCGCCCCCACAGGCACAGGTTCGGACACGGGGTTCATTGCGGCGGCCATGGTCTGCTCGGGGATAGTCTTCGTTGCGCTCTTGTTCATCGGCTGGAAGTGCTGCTGTTTTCGGAAGAAAGAACCACGGCAAACACCTAACCTACCTAACTTAGGCACCTAGCTACATGCCGAGTCTTACCTATATAAGTTCCGGAGAGAGAGAGTATACGTCGCGCGGCAAACGGGAAAACGCCAAAGCACACTACCTATGCCTACAAACTAGGTAAAAAAAACTTCTGACCTTTTGATTTAGAAAGACTGACAGTGGGAGGAAGGAAGGGGAGCTCTGCCTGCGTTGGGCTATAGAAGGATAGGTATTTGAGCTGGGCGGCTCCGCATAAATCGACCAAACTGCCGATGCAGGAGTCTATATCTACGCAGAGATAAAACAATACAAAATATCTGACAAAAGGACTCTAGCAATTTACCTTGCTGATATTTGTGTACGTAAAGAGACCAAGGTCGGTATTTGTCATGTTATGACTTTAAAGACGTTGAGTGGCATTCCCAATCTTATATTGGTCTTAGGTCCTAGTAGTTACCTATGATTATCAATAAATATAGGAGAGAGGCCTGTGGTCAAGATTGGCGTATAAACGAGTCTAGGAGACTGTCTTTGGAGGTAAATCTAAAAAAAAGCTACGGTAGTACCTAGGTAGGTTGTGTGATTTAAGGGGCCGTGGTAGATAAGGATACCTACCTACCCAATACCCATTAATAACGCAGGGGAATATTATTCCCTATTGCATCTATTTCATACAGACTCGGACTTTAATTTCACATCTATATATGCTGGGTATCTACCTAGGTAGGTATGTCGTAGGCAGATTTTGAAAGATTTGATTTGATTTAAATCGCAGTAAGCTATCCCGCATCTTCCGGTACTGATGGCATGTTGAGTGTGCCCTTCGCAAAGTACCTAGTGGGCTTCGGAAACGTGGAGCGCTTCCATAAATTACATGAGCATATGAATGCTTCGTTGTGATGTATACCATCATTGCTCACAACGGCGCTCTATGTTCGGCGCTGGCCGTATGGACATCACTCATCAGCCTTGCATCATCTTCGTAAATGTTGGTGCTGAATTTCTCGAGTTGCAGTGTGCACTACTCCAATCACTACTCAAAGTAATTCCCATCATCTCTACTAGACAGGTTAGGAAGTTTCCAAACTATGTGTGAGAGGCACAATTTGGGTATGTCAAAATATTTCTTTTCGGAATGAACTTCTTATGACTCGCAGCATTCGTTGCAGCGCCACTTGCGTGTCTTAACTGGTACATTTGCGGTTCCCTTTATGCAATCAACGTGGTAGAGAGGTTTATCGCAGTCCTACAAATAGTTAGTAATGCAATCGTGTTAAGAATTGCCTTCAACAACATAGGAAAACTCCAAGTAGGTATATCATGGTGAATAGGTACTAACTAGATTAGAGCAGATGAGCATAGCCGGGCCCCGGACTGGTTGCCCGCAAATAGCACACCCTGATGCGGACTTGCGATACTCAGTTCTTGGGGATGGCGGCTTCGTTATCTCAAGTGGTTCAGGGTGCTTCTGGGACCGTGCCTGTCGCATAATTGTGAGAGCCTCAGCAATTGTTGATTCGGCTAGAGCATTCCTCGCTTTTAGGTAACTGAGATGCTTCGAGAATTCCGTCATGCGACTCTGAGACGCGGTTAACCACGCTCCCTTGCTTTGGCAAAACTTAAGATAAACATCTTGTAAATGAGGTTCCGATGTAACGCATTCTTTGTTGACGTATGCGTCCCATTCCGAGATATACTCTTTTTCATCTTGGTGAACATCGCTGTAATCACGAATGATGTCCCGATGCTTTTGCATCAGCCAAGTGTCGTCGATAGCAGGTGGATCAACCAAGGTTCCAGGCTCAAGTAAGGCTTTGCTGAGATGATCATACATAGGTTGCTTATTGTTCGGAACAAGCTGCCTTGTATCCTTAGGCTGACTCGAAACCCATGGCTATTGCACCAAGTTAGTATGTACTGATGATATAGCGGTCATAATCCATGTGAAATTACCTGTGAAGGTTTCGGTCGCTTTAAAATTCTTTGGGCCCTTTGAGGGGATATATCATCACCCAAGTCGCTGTCGTCGTCGTCGTCCAGGCTTGATATATCTATCTGGGCTGACCTAGAGCGGCGCGGAGTCTCTTGGCCATGGTCAGTGACCCAGATGCGAGAGGTATCTGGATCAACATCATACTTAAACTCAGGATGGACCCTTATATGCTTTATAAGTTGGCCCATGGATGAGTTGACCGCAAAACATCGTATGCATTGATAATCTTCCAGCGGAACTTTTTTACCTTGTGGAGTTATCCACGTAACTTGGTCACCGTGGCTCTTTGCATCTGCCGCTTTCCGTTGTTTCCGTTCCTTACGCTCCTTGCGTTCTTTGCCTCGCGCCTTATCGCTCAGCAATTTCAGATTATAATTTTGTGGTTTTCCTCTCGTCCTCAGCGAACGACTGGGAGTTGTCGCCTCTTCAGCCTCTTCATCCTCCTCCATTAGCGTGTCCTGATCATCTTTCGAGAAATCGTTTGCCCAATGGTCTACCCTCCCATTAATATAGCCATTTGTGAGTGGCTCTAAAGCACCGTCCTCTACCTGAGCCCTGGTCTCTGGCGGAGAAACTTCGACGTCGGTGGTGCTACCCGGCCTATGGCATGCGGACCATCTCAGATCCATATCCATCATCAAATCAAGCGGAGCTTCAGTGCCCACTTTCTTCCTGATTTTGATTGGAGCCGAAGTCCGATGCTTCTCAAACCTGTAGACGACCTGAGACGAAAGCACCCAATGCTGAGGGCGACTGACGAGTATGTCGTGCGTTTCCTCCTTGGGCAGTAGGTCAATAGGTGGCCAGGCAGGATCACCGGCGGACTCTAGCTCGGCTTGAACCAGGTAATGGTCGGCCAGGGCAAAGCCCCTGTTATCATCTCGTTCAACATAAATCTTATCCGCCGGAACATGAAATGGCGAATTTAAATAGATTCTGGCTCTCCGACAGACATCGTCTGAGTCTCGAAAGACCTTGAGACTGCATAATTGACTATCGCAATATAGCACCCGTATCTCCTTGGCTACTCTCCACCGAAAAATGCTAAGCTTGCAGCGGACACGGATACTGGGGATGTCCTTTTTGGCGGGAGAACCGGTGCCATTCAGTAAGTTGCTAGACCTAAAACTGGAGCTATCCTTGTGAGTAATCTGAAGGACCTCGACGCGAAGCGCTTTCTCGAAGTCATCTGCCATCTCAGGTAGCAGGTGGCCCACAGCACCGTTAGGAGTAGAGTCCGGTGAATCATTGACTATGCGACGTCTCTTTGGCGCACGAGGACCGTGGTCACCGCTGATCCCATTATCATCATTGGCCGAGGAGAGTTTGATGCCCATGCTATATGGAGACAGGTGATCGACAGCAGTCTTCCAAGCTCGATGAATGAAAGGTAAGTCGCGTTTGTAAGGAGATATATCCGCCATCTCTAAAGGAGCACATGAGCGCAAGCTGCCACGATACCGTGGCTTCCTGCGCTACGAATAGGGGGAATAGAAGGATGGGATAAGGCGAATAGAGTGAATAGAGCGAGTGACTGGGCTCATACACTGACTGCTACTAGGTATTCGGGTAGGTTAGGGAGGTAATGGGTAGATACAGGTAATAGGTAGGTTTGGACTATGGCCGAGCAACCACAAAATGCCAATACCTATACCTAATCTGATACCTATAGCGAATCCTAATCCTAATCTGTATCCTGGGGTGCACCACCTGCCAAACACAACCAATTGGGAAACTAAAAGGATTGAACAAGCATCATCGAACCCTCAGGCAACAAGGGACAAGTTTGCAAATCGATGATTGTTAAGATCAATATGGGCCAGGTGAAGAATAGAGACGAAGTCTATGGATGATGGATGGCTCAGGGAAGAATGAAGAAAAAAGAATGAATTGGATGATGGATGAAGAATGAATGAAGGAATGAAATGATGGATAAGACAGATATATAATAGTGGCTTGTGGTTGATGAATGAGATAATGGATAATGCAACTTTGGGACAGGTTTTAAATGTGGCTACAGGGTCGGGGATAAAGTTGTTTACGTGCAATATGCAAAATGCCAAAATTGCAGATTGCAGGTTGCAGATGACTTAATTGCAGATTTAGAAAAAAAAATGTGATAATAACAATAAACTTAAAAAAAACAGTTAACAGTCAGTAGTACTAAATTATCGTCGTAAGGTAGGCAGCTAAGGGTAAGAACAATGATTGGTGAGTTTATGTAGATATTACTCCTTGAGGTTGTGACTAGGTAGGTAAGGTAAGGTATGGTACAGGAGGACGGGATGAGAGGGCATGTGATGTTGGTCAAGATATCCGCGATGGCGATGCGAAGGCGTGTGAAGAGTGGAAGATCCCGTCGACGCGTTTAAACTAACCAAGGTAGGCTACCCTTTAAGCAGGCTGAGCCTTTAAGGGAAGCAAGCACAAATCCTGCAGGGGTCTATTAAGATTTGTGCAAATGTGGCTAGGTACAGCCAACTTGCCGGAGATTCAATGTTCACTGCAAGGTTCAAGAACATTGAAAATGATTGAAGTCATAGCGTGCACTGCAATGTATTTTCCCTACATAATAATACCTTCGGCGCATAGTACTAGGTACTTAGTGACGCCATGCGTACAGCATTCAAATGTTGAACAGTTTCAATATTGAAAGCACAACATTGAACATTGAACCAAGCAAAGCACCAGCCACAATTTTAACGGTAGGTAGTCACATATGTAGTATCTAACTTCACGCTACCATAGTACGAATACATGGCGAGAACATCAATTTAACTACAAAGAAACGGTTTGCTACAGCGATCACCAACTTTTGAAAATGCATGTGTGCAGTGTGCAGTGTGCACTATGGCTAAGTCCAGTACACAGGTAACAGGTATATTACCTTATCCCTCATACCTGGTATTATCCCGCATCAGAGACATAAATACAAAGCTGTAGATCCAAGTCTTGCTCTACTAATCCAACGCAATACAACTATTGACCTGAACGTGCTATGTACCTACATAATGCTAGGCATTCAATTACTAGGTTGTATTCAGCTGCTTGCGGAAGAAAGTGGCATCTTGATATTTTTAGGTTGATGAGGATGGCGGGGTTGTAAAGCATACGTAGTTAGCAAGAACCAATCAGAAAGCCAGCCAAACTTTATTAGATGGGTCCCTCGACAAGCCAAGCTAGGTACTAAGATACATAGGCAGTAAGTGGGGCTAGCACAGGTCAAGTTCCAATTGACTTGATTGATTAGAATCGTTTTCAATCTTCCCAGCTTGACTCTCCCACGTCGTACCTGAATGATAAATTCCCATCTTCAATTCTCGCACCCTTTCATCTTCTCACTGTCGATCGGTACCAAGAAGCGTACTTGGAAATAACTTAGCAGTTATTTTCCGGTTACGTAAGTAGCTACGGTCTATTTTCTTGCACTTCTTTCAATACTATTTACCTTTTGGTCATTTTACAACTATTGTCCTGGTGACGGCTCAACTACTAATACAAACCAATGGTTCTTGTCCTTAACAATGAACCGTCCTCGACGAGTCGTACGGAGTAATCCGTCCCGAGCCGCCAAGCTGAAGATGCCGGCCCGTGAAACAAGATCAACCGCCGCATATTTTAGTTCCCGCCCACCTTCTTCTAACAACAACATCGACGATAACCATAGCAATGATAGCGATGACGCCGATGACGCCGATGACGATGACGATTATGATTCCGCCGGCAGCACATATCACGTCCCCGTCACTTCGCGAAAGCGAAAGAAGTCTCGCAACGATGACTCGCCGTCTCCGAAGAAGGTCCAACGTCGATCCACCACCCCCTCAAAGACTATCACCCCACGCACCTCGCGTTCGACTGCGACTGCGACTGCGACTGCGACTACGTCTGCGTCTACGTCTACCCTTGCAGCTACCAACAGCGCACCTCCTTCCTGCCCTCCATGGGAAACCTTGCCATACTTGGTCTTCTTGAATATTTTCGATCAGGTCGCTGCACCAATTCGTGACACTTCATCCCGCCGCGAAGATGTTCACGAGGCTGTCCGTACTTTGTTATCAGCTTCACAAACATGTAAACACTTGTTTGAGCCTGCATTAGCGAATCTTTACAAGTGTCCTCCCTTCTACCATCAATGGCGCTACACCAAAACGCCCCACACTTCCTTCAGTCAATTCATCGACACTCTGAATCTACCTTTGGACACAACCATGATGAACTATCTGCCCAAAGTCGAGATCTTGCAGCTGAACGTAGGTTCGGCCTTAGCCAAGAAACAGCTTGTGAACTGGGTGAGGTTGCAATCGGTAATGAAGCATCTACCCAGACTTTCTCACTTCGAGTTTTATCACCAGGCCGACGACGCCCCGTATCGCAATTTAGATTACAGCGTTCGATTCAAATGTTCGGCCGAAGAGTTGATGCAAGCTCTTGCAGCACGACGCAAGACATACAGTTTGGCAGAGGGCAACGCAAGGCCCACGGAGTTGAAGAGCTGGCGTTGGAATTCTCGTCTCACCTCCGAGTCCTTGTCGTTGGAGAAACTGGCACGATTTCATCTAAAACCCAGTTTCGCCAGTCTGAAAAAGGTTGCTTTTGTCAACTATCAGCTTGCGTCTTGGGGTCTGACACGCAAGGTTCAGTTCACTGAAGAGATCCTAGCAGAAGATCGGCAAAGGGTGACCGATCTCTCCAACTGCATTTTGGCATTGCCAAATTTGGAACATCTTGTCTTGGAGTCAAGCACCTTGGCAGGCGAAGCACTTTTGGAACAACTCCCGACTACGCTCAAGCATCTTGAATTGATCAACTGCTGGGAGGTGACAGGCGACAGCTTCTGCAAATTCCTGCTCACCCACGGCAATCATCTGCGAAGTCTCACCCTAAACCATTGCCAATCCTTGAATCTGGCCTTTCTCCCTCTATTGCAGAAGAGCTGCCCGCACCTTAGTCATCTTCAAATAGATCTGTCCTACTTCCGGCATCATGAACACTACGCTGACAACAAGCCTGAATATGAAATACTTCTCAAGGAGCATGAAGCACCAGCGTGGCCTTCTTCGATGCAGTCTATTGAAATCCTCCACATGCGTAAGTGGAGCCGCAAAGCAGCAGAAGTGTTCTTTGGAAGCTTGGTTGAGAGCGCTCCGGATCTGCCTCTCCTTCGTCGGCTCGTTCTCTCGGTCGCGCTTGATATAGGCTGGCGACAACGTTTAGAAATCCGAGACTTCTGGGTTGACAAGTTCGACAAGGTCTTCAAGAGAAAGTTGAAGCCTCCTATGGGCTTCGGGGCGAAGCGCCCGCCACGTGCATCTACCCCGGAACGCACGTTATCGAACTTGAAGGCCCTGCCGAAGGCCACGAAGCCTGTGATGGCATCTGCAACGACATCTGCAACGACGCCTAGACGACGCAGTGCACGAATCGCTGAGATTTCTGAGATTTCGCCCTCATTGACCCCGTCAGAAAGCGAGGTTCCTTACTTGACCAAGACTGCGCTTAATAAGGCTTCGGCTATGAGTAAAGAACTCAAACAGCTTAAGGGTAGTGGAAAACTACTCAAGGAACAGGAGGCAGATGAAGAAGACAGCGAAGATGAACTCACCGCTGATCACTCTGATCGAAGTCGATTATATTACAAGGTCACAAGACGTTCTAAGCGCTCACCGACCGAGAAAGAGTTTGTTCATGGCCTATGCGATGTTGTAGATGTCCAACTTGACAACCACCGACCGACGGAAAGACATTTTGACATGGATGACTTCATAGACTCGCCGTCGCCGAATAATTCCGACCCAGACTGGGACGGCGGAGACGCTGATGTTTTCGACTGAAAGTTGGCGCCAGAGCATAGGATTCCATCCCATATGGCCGATACAACTTACAACAGCATGATTTGCATGAGAACCAAGACAGGCACGAAAACCCCGCATGGATTTGGCGTTTTCTTTTTCAGTAAACTTGTGGGTTTTACTAGACTTAAGTCATCACTGACATTTCCACACTAATTCGGCATTTGCAAACGTTTGATACCCCAAGATATGGAACCAAAATTGGGCGGAATGGGCCGTTTGCTTTACCTTGCATGGTGAAAGAGGAGTTGTGGTATACCGTTGTCAAGACTTCGGAGTTACAGATAGCAACCTGAAATGCATTTGAATTTCCATCACTCTGAATCGTTGTGGTAAATGAACTGTTAAAATTCATTTCATTGCTGGGCTTCGTAAGGCGTGTCTAATGTAGGTACCTACCGATTACCTGCACGTAGGTATCTAGAGTAGATAGATATTGGTACGGCAAAGGCCATCATACGAAATAAAGGATAACATTTCAGTGTTGTCACATCATACCGTTTACTTGGCCTTGAATACCTAGGTAGACATGAACAAAATAGCAACCCCTGGGTAGCTGGGAAGATGCAAGATAGTAATATACCTGCCTGCCTTCCTGTCTGCCGATACATTGCACCTCTTGCTTGTAACTCTTAGTAGTAGTCTCTTACAGGCTTGAACTAGGAATTTAAACCAGGTACTTATTCAAGGTGATAATCTCTATGTTGTAATAGCATGTCGTTCCATTGACCTTGTAACGGTTGAGATATAGAATCAACTCATCCAAGCCAACCTCGGAAGTCTTGCGTAGTATGAGTTGAGGTTGGGAGTTTTTAAGATTTGAATATGTACCTACCTACGTACTAATCTGGGCACCTAAATTCTTCTATTTCTTTTTTTTAAAAAATAGAATAATTCTTCAAGTTGAAATAATTTCTCACAATTTCTATCATTGGGATGCATGGATTCATTGGATGAAGTTTGGAATGATTCTCATGAATAGGGGTTCCCACTACTTGATGTAGGACATTGTTGACAGTAGGGAGCGAGAATGTCATCGTATCATCGAGTGTTGAAGGTATTTGACAGAAATATCAATGACAAATCCTTAGAACGCGACTAACCTAGTATGTTCGTGATGCCATCCGAGTCCATATTCTAATCAGACGAGACAGTGATATCCATACTTGGGAGATTTTGATAAATGGCGAAAGATAGGCTGGGGAAGGTCGGCACATTGGCCTCGTCGTCGTTTTCTTGCTCATGTGCTACTCGGTAGATGCTCGCTTGGACAGGGGGATAATCAGTACGCCCCTATTTTCAGTCAATGTCAATACTACCTTGGTAATCTAGGTAAATCTAGAGGGCGATGAGGTCATTAGAGAGACCTTAAGACGAGCTAGTGTAGACGCGTCGAAAATCAGCCTAGACGTCGTTAATTCGAAGGAGATGAAAAGCAACTCCAGTCGTGCGTACTAAGTTAAAAGGCTCTGTACTGTCCTTGCAAAACCCTGTCAAGCTAACACTTCGTTTTCGTTTTAAAAAGAACTTCCCAAATACTTCAGCTTTCGATAGCCAGCCTCTTGACTACTTCATCACCAGTCTTGGGCACGAAGTAGACAAAATAGACAAAATATCCAAACTCATGCTTAATCAAGTACGAGATCAAGATTTTGAAGAGTAGGAACAAGGTTATGAAGAGTCAGTTTTGGAACCACCTCCAATTTCGACGAGTATTACCAAGACATCCACCCAGGTACTAACCTGAGAATATGGCAGAGCGTATTAGACACGCGGTGACCCAGCACTTTCGAACGAGACGACCTGAATCGTATAGACGAAACATGACTGGAGTGCAATCCGATCGATCGTGGAGAGGCCTCTACACTTACCCCTATTTAGTTCTTTAGTGGATGCAAAGCTCTCATCCGTTGGATACTATGTAGTACCTACCTACCCGAGGCAGGTAGCTTGCTAGGGGTTATACGCATTTATATATCTCCAGTTAAATCGTCTTCTCCAAAAAAACCTTGTAACCAGAGGGTTTGCCTGGCATGTTGAATTTGGGGGTTATCTTCACTGGGTAATTGTACCTAGTAGTCACCCATCTGCCCCAAAGGTAAATTCACTTCCCGAATTCGAAAAAGGAAAGAAGAAAATAAAAAAGGCCTTTCCGCCTAAATTGGAAGTCAATAGGCTCTGAAGTTGTATCAATAGGGCTATTTAACAAGGGTGTTCGCTGTACGTATGTAAGCCGGGGCTTAGATTGATGACGTAGTGTAGGAGCTTGTCGATAATCCTGTAGGGTAGCTACCTAGCTGCTAGCACCTAGTACGGTGTATCTACCTACCTACCTACATAGGTACTTAACAATAGGCAACCGACCAAATAATCAACTCAACTTAAGTGAAAATTCGACCATAATATAACTCTGTTTATTGAAACCGAGTTCATATATGATTGGGTACCAAGAGGGAGGTAATCGTATAGCAGCATGTCCATGTTTCGGAAAGCTAGCGCATTGCTAGGTGGCGGCGATGCAGGCGACGCCAAAAAGCACCACGAAGATGGGGAATCACTAACCACTGTCCTGGAGACGGACGAAGATCGCAGCACCCTCACTCTTCTCATATGTGATGTCACAGAGCTCATGCGCAAGGGGCTTGTCGACACTTTTAATCCCAAAGAGATTGGGACTGAAGAAGATCGGCTAGCTGCATTATCATTAGATGACAATGAGCTAACCAACTCTGAGAAGCCAAAGGATGATGAGAAGAGCAAGGAAACCCAAAAGTTATTGGAGAAGCAGCAAGCCGAAGTTGCTAAGCTTGAAAAAGAGGTTAGCGTTGAGAAAATGGTCATGCTCAAGACGAGCGCATTAGATTTCTTCGACGACTGGAGGGATACCGTCATTCTAAGGGTCGGGGAGGTTGTCAACTCCAGCAGAGAGAAGACTGGACAACAAGCTGAGCAAGCAAAGCCGAACCCTACTCACCCAGAGGACCAAGTGTCCCTCGAGGGTATCGAGGGTACCGAGGCAAATGAGCAAGTAGACGAGGTCACTGAGGCACTCCTGAAGCTCTATCCTCCTATTGAGACCCCGCTCCGCAAAATGGCCAAGGAGAAGCGGGTATTAATCCTTCACTCGGTGTTCCTGCTGCTGCTGAGTTTAGAGCACTACAATGCGCACTCGCGGACTTTGTTGCTGTGCCTGACTACGAGTTTGGGTCTCTCCGCCATAGTACTTTCTGAGGATGAAAAGAAGGTCGCCCAAGGCCTGTTGACGGCAGCCGAGAAAATGTCGGCGGAAGAAGAGACGAAGAAGAGAGCGGAGAAGAATCGCACGTCTCGCAGAATTAAAATGGGGGTGGCTGGAGTAGCCGGCGCTGCCCTCATCGGCATCACTGGCGGATTGGCGGCGCCCCTATTGGCCACTGGTATCGGCACCGTTCTAGGTGGGATTGGTCTTGGAGCTACTGCCACAGCAGGCTATTTAGGGGCATTGGCCGGAAGTGGCGTACTGGTAGGCGGCTTATTCGGGGCCTACGGTGCAAAGATGACAAGCAAAGCCAGTAAGTCTCCTCCCCTTTTCATTAATTTCCATATACCCACAACACGAGGCTCAGAAAACTTGGCCAATTGTTCAGCATGATGTTATTTTATAAACGCGTGCTGACTCAATGGGTACAGTGGAACAGTACACCAGGGATGTTGAAGACTTCGCCTTCATGCCCATCAACAAGCTGGGTGAGAACGATATCGAAGCACGTCGTTTACGAGTTGCTATCGGAATCTCCGGCTGGCTCGGCGACAAAGACGAGGTAGAGAAACCGTGGAATTGCATCGGACCAAATATAGAATCCTTCGCCCTGCGCTTCGAGGTGGAAGCCTTAATGAACCTCGGCAACGCACTCACTTCTCTAGTCACTTCAGCTGCATGGTCCATCGCAAAGTCTCAGATCATCAAACGCACTGTTTTCGCTGCTTTAACCGCGGGCTTATGGCCTTTAGCTCTTGTAGTACGTTCATGAGACTTGCCCATCATCAAATAGTATTGCTACTTACATACTAACCCACCACAGAAAGCCAGCCGTCTCATCGACAATCCCTGGAGCGTCGCAAACCAACGGGCGCAGAAAGCCGGGGAAGTACTCGCGGACGCTCTGATCAACAAAGCGCAAGGTGAGCGGCCTGTGACCCTTATCGGATACTCACTCGGCGCCAAAGTCATCTACGTATGCCTCCAGCAGCTCGCCGAGCGGAAAGCCTTCGGGCTGATCGAAAACGCAATCATGCTCGGCGCGCCGACCCCAAGCAGCTCCGCAGACTGGCGCTGCATCCGCGCCGTCGTGACGGGGCGCGTCGTCAACGCGTACAGCACCAACGACTACATCCTCGCCTTCCTGTACCGCAGCAGCAGCGTCCAGCTCGGCGTCGCCGGCCTGCACCCCGTGCTCAGCGTCAAGGGCGTCGAGAACGTCGACGTCAGCGACTTGGTTAAAGGACACACGCTGTACCGCCACGCGACGGCGCCGATACTTAAGCGTATTGGGTTTGAGGATTTGGACTTGGAGGATATCAAGATTCAGGAGATGAAGTTGGAGGAGCAGGAGAGGAGGGAGGAGGAGATGAGGAGGGAGGCGGAGGAGGGTACGAAGGGGAAGGGGCTGGATAAGGAAGGGGAGACGTTGGTTAGTGATGAGGAGGCGAGGGGAATGGAGTTGGATGGCCAGCAGGAGAGTGGACAGGAGAGTGAACAAAGGGGTGAGCAGATGGGCAAATTGGCTTAGACTAGTCAGAATGAGCTTGGTTTCGTTGGCTGAAATCTGAGAGCTTCATATAAGGAGGAAAGGGGGTATGGGTTTTCGTGAGTTTGGATTCCTCGCCTTGAATCTTATGCTGTGTTGGGCTGAGTGCCTAGGTGCCTAGGTATATATGAGGCATCTAGGTTAAGATATATGGGATAAATGGTATAACAAAAGTCATTGAAAGAAGAACTAGGATAGACCTTCTAGTTCGTACTAAATTAAATTCATATAAGTTCAAGGGAAACGGTGAAATTATTCACACGTCTTCGATTCTTTCGTATTACTTTAGCTTTAGTATCCAAGAGTGTCGACTTCAGTTCCCAATGCTTTCTCTGAAGGAAAGCATGAATTTTCGAAATAATCTATGGATATACTACTTGTGATATTATTTATAAGAGTTCTTGTAGCTTTGGCTTTACACAGTCGTTATATTATGAAGACATCTTGAGGCAGATATTATCTAAGGTTATATCACTCTCCCTACACTCGCATGAGTCGCTACGTACTTATTTGGGCTTCGCAAAGTACGACAACCTTACAAGAGCTTTTAGGGATTGCCCTTAGGTAGGTACCAGAACATGGCATTGTGCTGGTTATTTGGATTGTTATGGAAGCTGTCCTGTCACAGATTTTAAACAACAGACTAAGAGTCGATTATACTTCACTTCCGAGCGTATATTTCTACGTCTAATAGGGGGTTAGGTAGGGAGCGAGTGGTCTATCGCTCACAACAAATCTTGTGTCTATAGTTGTTGAGAAGCCATAGGGGTGAACCTGAATGCAACAAATCCAATCAGTATGGCGTGAACGGCGAACATTCCTGTCTCTCTACGCTCTTCTCAATTCCAAAGATAATTCTTCCTACCAGGCCAACATTGAATTTAGTTTCCGCATTCTATCACGCGGTATTCTCGACGAGTATCACATCTCAAAACCACTTATGATAGTCATGACATGTTAAGATCTATTTTCGTAACCTTTCAATTATCACAGGTAACAACATTACCTTTCTCAAAGGTCCGAATACAACGAGCTCCATACCAGACGTATCAGGCACCGTTAAAAAAAAGGAGAGGCAAATCTCTAAGAATATCCTCTTCGGCAAATCCCGATTCTGCAAAGTCCCGATGGCGTACCTTATAATAAAGAGAAACTAACTATATTGCAATAATTGCTATATAAAGCTCCTCAATATGCGCGCCGTGCCGAATATGCCGCCGACAGCTATTTCTGTCCCGCTAAGCTGAGGTTAAATTATCATCCGCCTGAGCATCGAAAACGTCTAAGTTAAAATGATACTAGATCTTCACTCCAAGCCTTTCCTAGCCAAGCTTCAATATAGAATGTGCCTCATCAGTCCTGAAAGAGAACTAGATATTACAGTAGATAATAGCGGCCCGCCGGAACGCCCTTTGATTGGTGATTCTGGTAAGGCTGATCAGGGGATAAGGGGCTCGGGTCAACCAACTAAAGCAGGGCAATGGGGTCCTAACTTCGTATAGCTTTGAGATAGAACGGAGATGGATAAGGATGGCTACCTACTAACCTAGTTGTATAGCTAACGTACCTGGTAGTTTAGAAGGAGGCTGAATGAACACCCACACACACCTTTCAGCTCTCTCCGTGTACGTATCATACACGGTACTAGTTCCTACAAAGCTGCATTCCTTTCGGCAGCACCGATTCATCATTTAAGCATCTACTAGTTATACGCCGTAGTACAGCCAGCCCCTCTGGAGCTATCCCACGTGCCGCCTCAATCTAAAGTTTTGAAACGTCCCAGGGATTCCTCGAATGTGGCTAGTGTTCTCTATACACTAGGGGTGCTGTGCCATCTTCATTCTGCGGCGTAGCTGCGGTTAACTTTAGCCTCTGACCTTACGACATGAACGAAGAGATGGGGGAGTGGAGAGGGACGATGTAGGTTATGTAGGTATGTATATACACACCCCCCCTTTCCTCCCCGCTTATTACTTTATCTATCCTCATGGTTTATAGCTGTGCCGTACTTTTTTAGATGGCTTCACCTAGCACATACCTAGTACGTACATAGTACAATACATAGATGTCGTTCATCACGCTCGTGGCTAGTACGGCACGTCTAACCTACCAGGTAAGCCACAAACTTAGCAGCTTCATCTATTACTAGGTAACTAGTCGGTACGGTAACTCATACGTAGTCCATCCGTACCTAGTCTATCCATGTGCTCTTACCTCAGAGCTAGGATTCTCGTCGTATCGATCTAGAATATAAGCCTTTTTCATGCCGCAGCTAGTCAGCCGCAAGGATATCCAGAGAATCTACGAGGGGGCGCTGAACTTTTTTAGTTTCCAGTTAATAACTAACAACTATTAGGAACGTCACGCTCGGATATCAATAGAACGTTCAGGTACTAGTTATGGATCTTCGCTCGAAGCGGTGTGAAACGTCGTTCGATTTTGCATGTCGGTAGTTGATTACAGCGCAAAGAGCCTCCGCAGGATGGATAGATCAATATATTGCAATATTCATTACCGTGTTTTTTCTTCTGAATAACTAGTTATTTGCTTGGGAATACTCTTCGCTGCTTGAGGGAGGCCTGGAGCTCGAGTAGTAACGTTGTAGATGTTGAATAAGCAAGCTGATGTCCCTACTGCAGACCCCCTGACCACCATATAAGTCCCTGTGTAGTTATATATATACCTACCTACCTGGTAGGAATATATTTATGTACGACGCAGGTATAGGTATACTATATAACAGCCGCTTTTATTTCCCCGAGCTAATTCTAGGCTCAACCCTCCAACTGTGCCGCAACATACATGTATGAGGTAGCTCAGGCAGGTGTAATCGATGTACAGCGTAGTATTGCAGCCCTGTGCATTCGTTCTTAAATAGGGCAGCCGAGCCATGTAGCTATGCGGCGTCGATGCGGTAAGACACATGTAGCACGACAATCTTTGAACCCTAGGTACTTTGCTAAGGTTGCTACATACATACTACCCGAACACGACTCTCGAAGCAAGCTGAACTGGCTTGTGGAGCTGAAGAGAACGTCCGAGATGCAAAACATATTATCTGCCAGGCTTGGCTTCTTACATACCTCGTACCTACCTCGTACCTACTTGTGTGCTAGGTAGGTATGCATGTATGTAGATGCTTATTAGACGATGCTCAAACAAGATGTTGGACCTGTCATATCTCGTGATTCCCGCTTGAATCTTTCAACCATGGCCACCACCGACACAATCAACCAGGTCTTTAGAAGTTCTGTTTCTTGTTAACTATCCTCTTTCCTCTTCAACGAACGAGGTCCTCCTAGGACTACTCTCTACGTACCAGCCAACGGTGGGTACGCATAGATCACAATATGCGTGCACACGAGATAAACTTCAACGGGCCCCCCTTGTCCAAACCACAGTCTAATCCAAGCAAGCCAAGCTACAGCCCGTACCAGGAAATACAATCCACACATGTTTAAAACCAGTTGAACGCCAAGACCCGACCTGGCTTCGGGCTCGTGCTTTTTCCAAGGGAAGAAGGCGGGTAGTTAGTTAGTAGGAACAAACAATCGGGTAAGATTGGGTTTTTCTATTTGTGCCCCCCCCCCGTCCTCTAACCTAGCGAAACGAAAAACCACCATGTGGTTCCGTGTGTAGTTATGTAAGTGTGTTCATCCCTAGGGTAGTAAAAGTCGGGGAGCCGACGTTCGTTTCTTCTTCAATAGGAGCTCGGCTTCTCCTCGCTAGACACACCACCCTCCTGGCTCTCCTGCCCTGCCATGCCCTACCCTAACCCTAGTTGCATGTTGTTCATGCCCGCTCATCCTCCTCCTCCGCCTTTTTGGTACATAGTTATGCCTTGCCTGCTCTGCCTATCTACCGAGGCAGGCCTTGTTCCATCACCTACCTACCTTCGACACTAGGGTACCCCCCCTAAGGCTAAATGAGGTAGTTGTAATGCAGACCGTGTAACGACGTGGGATGAAAGCAACTCTCTCACATCCATCTTCCCCATATTTACTCGGCCGTGGATCTGACTTACACTAACCAGAGGGAGAGGGCGGGAGAGAGAAAGGGAGAATTGAATGATGGGAACCCCCCCCCCCCCCCGCCGCCCGGTGTCCATCGTGGGAAGGGGGTTTTTGGGTCGGCAGGGATGCCGATCCTCTTCTCGCCCACCCACGGCAACTTCCTACCTGACTAGCCCCCAAAAACAACCCTTTCATGATGATGGACGTGCGCTTTTATGCTTCGCTCACATGGCTGCATGGTACTCATATGTAGTTACCTAGTTAGCATATCCAGATGTGCTACCTATCCCCAATCATGCCATGCCCTACGTAGTGTATGTTGTAACTACCTATGTAGTAGCTAACTGCCTACGGAGTAGATACTGACAACTGTAGCCTACCTTGCGCATGTTAAGCGCATGGCAGGTAGCACAGGTCAATCTTTTCCCTCATGTAGGCCTCTCTCTCCACCGTTGGGGGTTGCTTTCTAAGCACCCGGACCCAGGGTAAACAGCAACACGGCATCCCTTTTCGAGTATAATGACGATGACGATGATGCAAATCATATGTACATATTCATTATACCCATGTCCTGTCCTACGTCGTAGTTATCTGGGTACCTACAGCAGTGCCCTACATATGTAGGTAGTAGTTAGTAGGACCTGGCAGGTAAGTAAGCAGCTAACCTAGGTACCTAATAAAGAAGGATTAACTGAACCGCTATGTAACACGCCTAGTAGTGTTTTAGTTGTATGATGCCAGGCTTCAAAACGCGGAGATAATCCTACTATTCCCCCATTCTTCAATACCGGCATCACCTACCCTCCTTCCAACCAGTTGCATCTCCTATAGGTACTTTTTGTCCTTTGCGTGAGAAGGCAAGTTGCATTGTAGGTACCTACCTACCTACACACAATTCCATATGCGCGTAACCCGCAATCCTCCACGGCCAAAATTGGGATGTCCCATGGAACCCGCTTCGGCACGAGCGAGCGGCTGTCCCATCCCCCTGGGTTAGCTAAGCTAGGGATGGATTGTAAGGACCTTTTCTTCGTACGTAAAAGAAATAAGCAGGGCGGTGTACCTAATAAGGCAGAGATGGAATCAATTTCGTCGTCGAACAAACAAGAGGAATCATAGAAGAGAGTCGTCAATGGTAGTTTTAAATGTCTACCTAAACGTCGGATACCGAACAAATGCTAGGTATGTATGTACTGTAGGACACAGACCAACAACGGTGCCCACCCGTCCGTCATGCTGCGATGATCTTTTTTTTT